ATAGCCTAGCAGCACTTTAATGTGTTCTTTATAATATCTTAGTAGATTTATAGCTATTAAATAACTATTAGTATTATTCAAGATACCTAATACAAGGCCATATATATTAGATCCACGCTTCCTTACTTGCTTACACGAAAGAACAATAAGATATAGACAACTGCGGGCGTTAATATAGGTAGCCTCTTGCTTGCGATAGGATACAACGTTATTCTCTTCATCTTGTATAACGTGCTTCTCAAGCTTGCGAGTATCAGCAGTATCATCTCCGTGATGGATACAACGAAATTCGAATCGAGGGCGCGCTTGCTTCAGGCTGCCACTTGTTCGAACGATAGCAAATCCCTGTGATAAGGCCCAGCCCTGAAGACGCTCTTGACAAGTATCAGGGCCTTCGAAGACCTCACCAGCGATAGGGAGCAGCAAGAAGGAGGGGGGTAAGGACCGCACACGGGCTTCGAGTTCTATTTTGACGTGCTCTGGGCAATCAGAATGGGCCGTCCACAGCGTCGTCATGGCAGTAGTAATAGCAATAGTTCAACACCAAGGATTTCTATCTCAATACCAATTGGGAAGCGATAGCAAGCTCAAATTACAAATGGCAGTTGCGTAAGAGAGTGTTGGGAAATGCCAGGAACGCTACATACAAATTACGACTGCGGAGTCACGCCAAGACCCAAACGCCGAATGCACCGTTTGCCGAATGCACCGTTTGCCGAATGCACCGTTTGCCGAATGCACCGTTTGCCGAATGCACCGTTTGCCGAATGCACCGTTTGCCGAATGCACCGTTTGCCGAATGCACCGTTTGCCGAATGCACCGTTTGCCGAATGCACCGTTTGCCGAATGCACCGTTTGCCGAATGCACCGTTTGCCGAATGCACCGTTTGCCGAATGCACCGTTTGCCGAATGCACCGTTTGCCGAATGCACCGTTTGCCGAATGCACCGTTTGCCGAATGCACCGTTTGCCGAATGCACCGTTTGCCGAATGCACCGTTTGCCGAATGCACCGTTTGCCGAATGCACCGTTTGCCGAATGCACCGTTTGCCGAATGCACCGTTTGCCGAATGCACCGTTTGCCGAATGCACCGTTTACGCCAAGACCCAAACGCCGAATGCACCGTTTGCCGAATGCACCGTTTGCCGAATGCACCGCTGCGAATGCACCGTTCCGAAGGCATTCCGGTCTTTCCAGGGGCTCGGTCTGAGACTACCCTTGCTCTAGCCAGTACCGGCTGGCCCTGCTGCTCTATCTTTGTTCGATGTGAGCTTATGTTTGCTATTCTCGGCCTGCTTCGGACTCAACCCCCCGGAGAAGCCTCTCGATGGACAGCCTTTCTAATGTTCTACAAGGGACGAGGATCAAAGCACGAAACTTCAAGTATCACAATCCTGTCTTCATGACTGGCCCCCACGTCAAGAAAGCCGGGCTCCAACCATGACTCCCTTTGGGCGTCAACGAAACGTCTCTTCCTCCACTTCGATATCGTCACCGCTTACAAGCTTCTATGTTTCTTTGCTTGAGACAACATCTTTGCTTGAGAACGTATTTGGCTCTACTGGGATGTTTGGGAGAGAATCTGACTTTAGCACGTATAATTAGCGTCCTTCGGCCTGTAGGAAGCGAGATTGTACGTTTCGCGAGTGAGCACAAGATACTGTACGAAGCATGCTTCGTAAATAGCTGTTGTCTCTGCTCCTAATACTGTTGTGCTTCAGCTCGACTCCTACTACTAGTAGTTATGTGCTGCACATATCACACACCCAAGGTTGACATGCTAGATATGCTGCTAATTCGAATGATTACCGAATTCCATCTCATATATATAGCGCTCTTGATATCGACTTCCGCGGCTTATGATAGGAGTAGCTGGTAAGCAAGCTCCGGCAACCATCGGCATGATATATCACTCAAAATAGATACTATGTGCCCACAACTTACTACAGGTGGCTTCAGAACCAAACTACATGATGGGACGTGCATGAAATATGAAGCAAGATGTATAGTCCAATAAGTGCTTCAAAAGGGAGCCTCTCGCATCATTGTGGCCTCTAGCTCACCTTATGAGACCCTAATTGAAATGCTGTGACAAGCGATATGTACAGGACCTTCCACATGTGGACACTTCCTTGCATTCCAGCCGATGTCCTACACTTCAACGTATCGGACTAAAGTTGCACGGTCCAGGAGGCGCATTCCGTGAACCGGGATTAAGCAGATCGGCACCACAAATTACTCAAAGCATCATCAAGTGCAATCGCGGTAGTGTAAGAGTAGCAACGGCGAGGCGGTCTCTTACTAAGCAGTCTTGTATGTCGTCTAGCTCTACGCGATAGTAATGACACTGCTCGACTTTTCTAGAGCGGTCAGTTAGAAGCAAGGAAGAGTAGTACTACTATCGCACGAGAAATGAATTGATCAAAACCTTATAAATGAATTGAACGACAGTCAATAGAGTTGGGAATTTCCTTTAGCCTCTATTCACTTGTGCTCGATTGACAAGCAACCAACCCTAATACCCTTCAACCTTCAGCCAGAGTCTGCCGACAGACCTACAGCAAACTATCATGGATACTTTTCGTTGACGTAGGAGCTGCCAGGGAGTTTTGGATGGCAACCATTAGTGGACCTAAATTCAGCATCGTGAAATACCAGGGCATTCTCTGATGACTTGATCGAGGCTTTGCCTTGAGGGCCAACGAGCGATGAGAAAGACATCATGTTGTTATGGGCCACGAGCGACTTGCACAACAGTTACGATGATGATGGATCTACCAATCTGAAAGCTGGCTGTCCGCTCACTGTTAACCGCATCATCCGCCAGGGCCATCGGGCCAATTGACAGCCTGAATCCTGATCCAGCGGCAGGACATTCCATGAGAAGTGCATCCAGGGGTGGAAAAACCTAAGGGTTATGGCTGACTTGATCCTAGAAATACATCTAGCTGCCGAGGCCGCTCACTACGTTCTTCAGCAGTCGGACTTTTTGGTACTGTGGATGTCTCGAAACTCTATCGTACAGAACTGAAAATTGGACATGCTAATTGAGAGATTCCAGATTGGTGTCACCCGCCCTCAGACAGCTTGCGCGTAAGGGGAAAGTAGTGTATCAACTATACGAGACCCAGCATCAATGACGATAGTTGTGGCACCCTTGAGCTGTGCTATCGGTTTGTTGCGTTCGAAAAGCGTAGGCGGAGAAGGGTCCAGGGTTTTCTACTCAACAAAAATGAGATAGACTTTCACCAAGATGGCCGCGTCGGTGTCTCATGGTCGGTGTTGTCAAGCCTCAAGTCTCAGGTGTGATGGTTGCTGGACTCTCCCATAAACTTGGATCTAGGTCTTCCGTGCCTTCAATCATTCGCAGTGTCTATGCAGTTTCCTCCATTTTGTAATCATGTTTCTGGGCGACCAGAACTCGCTTGCGCTCCACATCGACCTCTAGACGGCAAATCTGTCTTCTTATCAGCTATTTTCAATATCTTCTCGATGAGAATGATTTACCAGCGTAGAGAATACGATTGAAAGATGGTGGGGGGCCTGCTTCGTCGATGAGAATATCAGAATCCACTTCGTGTTGGACTCGTCCGAATATCCCCGCGCGCTCGCAACGTACACATGCATCAGCGCTGGATCACGTCTTTACAATTTTGCAAGGGTTCTGAGAATGATGTTACGAAGATTCAAAGCATGGATGTGAAAGAGGATCTTGCTATTCCTTTCGTCAAGAGCACACCTCTCCTGTAAGTGGTCGCGCATTTGGGTCCCCGACCGATTCATATTCCTCTGATAGTATCGCATTGAGCCTGTCTTTTTCGTTGTATCCATCTGCGAAATATTCCTCACCCTCCAATCGCCACCATCGGAGGTTCAGATCGGTCACGATTAGTTCGGCTAGGCGGAATGCTCGAAGTCCCGGCGCTTGGTGATACAAGTAGCTAATAATCTGAGTGACGTCTGACCATGTAAAAAAGGCTTCCTGTATGTCGAAGTCGACTGCAACAGGCTGAATCATCGCGAGGTTCTCCTCGGCAGCTGAGTTGAGTGATTGCCAGAAGGACGACGAGAAAGGTTTGCCGCCATGGGCACACCTGCTGAGGTGGAAGACATTTTGACTGTAAAGGAGATGTCGTCCTTCCTCATACAATTGTTTGCATGTCAGGAGCAGCTTCCAGCCAACACGACCGAACTTGGGGTCATACTTACCCCATTCTACAAGCATGCGAGGTGGGACGAGCATCATCCCGAGAACAATCTGTCGGATCTCTGGTGGCAGATCAAGGATCGGGAATGGCTTCTCTATGGTCTGGGTAGATGAGGAGGGCATCGAAGTATCCATTTCCTGTGACGGGAATATAGATCTTCGGAATAGCTGACTTCTTGATATCTTGTGAGGTGAAAAGCTAATAAGGTAGCTCTGAGTGAGTTTCAGCAACCAGTCGGGTCTGGTAAGAGGAGTAGAGAAAAGCTATGTGAATTTTCTGTGGCTGATATGAACGATACCAACAGGCAAATCACATGAAGACTAACCGGGTGAGGACATATAGCTTGCTGTGAGAATCTGTGAGCTGACCTTGTATTAGTGCGTATTCAAATTTACAATGCCGGCACATGGAATTGCATGCTCACAATCCCAAGTGGCCACGTACATAAGTGTTCTTGAGCGAGATCATTACCTATACCGCAACTGCACTGCACGAGGGTCTCAGGCAGGCAAACAGACGAATTTTCTGCTGAGTCACTATCACACCTTACGCAACTCTACCACGCCGAAACTCTTGCAACCAGTCTTTGCGCAAGCTCCGATGTTCCACCCTGGGGATTTCGAACATGTCTCTCAAGCCCCATCTTCTCACGTTGCCAGCTGAGGTCCGCATAATAATTTGGAAGCACTTACTCTTTTCTAGGAGTGACTTTACCGGCAATTGGTGGAGTTATAAAGGAGACAATTTGAGGAACAAAGTGGCGGGACAAGTGCTATGGACCTGGAGGAAAATGTTTAACAAAGGCCTACCATTACTCTGTGGTGGAAACGTGTTCGATTTGTCTTTCCTTCAGAAAAACTTGACAAAATTGGGGCTCGAAAACGCCTTGATGATCTCGAAATTGGAGCTCAATTTCTCCCGGTACCCTCTCCAGGGGCTAGAAGAGTACCCGTTTGGTCCCCCAGAGGCTATTGACATAATGTTGGTGACCCAAGAGCTCGAGGATTTCTCCATGTATTGCAAGCGGCTTGGAGGCCTTCAACCTCCGGCGCTATGTCTTTTGGCGCGATTTCCGTTGCTTGATGACGTGGCGACACGCTATTTGAAACGTCTTGGACGCGAACATACTTACCGGGCTGCATGGAATTCATATTGGGATATGAACCTTCTGTCCAAGGCTCACAAAAATGCAATTCAGGAGCTGGCAATTTTGCAGGCGCAAGCAGCTGCATCTGCAGTCAAAGTAGCCGCTGTTACAGCCAGAGCCGCTTTAGAGATACACTGCCCAAAGCTACAATATCTCTTCTTATGCAATGGACCTGTCTTTAATTTTGAGCTGGCGGGACCAAGACAATGGCTAATTCTTTCGACAGACCGCCTCGCCATAAATAGTCGGCCATACAGCAGTAAAGAAGAATTGGTTCGTTCGTACAAGATATTCCTGAGAGATGCTTTTCTGCTAAAACTCCCAGGTGTGCGAGCTGCATGTCGATGTCAAGAAGGAGTCGGTCACTATTGTGAACGAGCAGAATATTAGATTCAGCAAGTCCGCCGGATCTCGTCCGGTCTTTGAAGGGGGATGACGCCCCGATCATGAGTGAATAAGCATCGGAAAGGGCGAGACAGACCTGTGCTTCCACGTCTTATCAGCTTCAGAAGCCACCACAAATCACAAACTTCAATATCCTTAAAAGGTCGGAAGACCTAGTCAACAGACTGCTGATGGGAGGAATTTGATACACCGTGCTTAACATGTCGCTGCGTTGAAAGAGCCTTCTATTCACTCTCACCGCAGAGTTGAAGATTCTCATCCATCACGAAGACCACAGTGCAGCAGTTTACTTCCAGATCTCCCGCCATGTCTTTGCATGCTCAAAAATACCGGGTCCCTGGAGCAGAAGCCATGAAGACATAAACACGCAGGCACAACAACTTCAATCATTCCTTCGCAACACCAGCACCGTGGAAAAGACCTACCTAGCTGTGTTCGCTGCTTCCATTCGCTCTTCACTCAGCCCGGGAGCCAGCACGGATGAGGAGGGTGTCAGATTTAGGAGCTAGTGGTGAACCTCTGGCCCAACAAGCGGGTGGGGTTCCCTCATGCAATTAAAACTTCTCTTTTCAGTCAGTCCACTACGGAGTACGAAGTTGTGCCCCAAAAGTAGTTAAAATTAATACCTACTTTTTTTATTACTTTATACTTTTGAAAACTTAAGTTGATTTTCAAAATTCTGAGAACTGCCATAGATTTTAGCACCCAGTTTCAGTCCCCACAAGCAATTTACCTTTACGATAGTCAAAATACAAAGCTAGCGTTTAATGTCACGGCTGCCATGCTTGTCGGCCGCTAGCGCTAGGGCCGCCAGGTATTGATTTGCACTACGCGTTAGTAAGGGGCATGCTCGCCATATAGGAGCGACCCCAGTGCCATCCTCGTCGGCTCTGCAGTCTTAGGATAGCACTCAACATGGGCTGAAGATCTCGCGCACTCGTCGCCTGCTTCTAACATGACACGTGACATTTAACGTCAACGCAATTATTGCTACAGTCTGGATGCCCATCCTGAGTCTGACCCAATCTTATTTCCTCGATGGAATGCCCCATTTGATGGGAGACTTGGTCGGGTAGGCCACTCTGGCAAGATCCAGAAGATTACGATCGCGCTTGTGAGGGACTCTTGGGAATTTGTTCTCTGTGATCGTACACTAATAGTATTCACAATGGTTTCGATTGTACAACGCAGCTCTAAGCGTCTATTTCTAGATCTGCTATCGCATCACTGAAAGCTTTAATAAAAGGGTCGTACAGTTTTCGTGGATCAGGCTTGGTCGTGAGATCCAGTTCTTCATCCTTGGTAAGAGGAAATAGAATGCTCCGCACCTTCCTGCACAAAGGCTTAATGCAATCAAATGCCGGCGCAAATTCCTCCAAAATAGCCTTGAACCCATCAGCATGCATGGAACCTTGTTTCCTGCATGCAACCATCTTGTTTGTGTCCCCATACCAACCGCTCAACTTGCTGTCTGCTGGTCGATCCTTGCGTTTGCAAGGAAACCCCTTTTCCCACGCACGGCGAGCGCACATCCACAATAGCACGTAGAAGAAAGATTCCAGGTCATGCCTGTAGGTATGCTCGACTCCGCGAAGCACGTCGATCGCCATAAATTCCATAGTACCGGTCATATGTCGCCCACCCGTCCGCTCGTCATCTACTATGGTGAGATCCAGGTCGATCAACGTGCCTGTGAAGCCGTCGGCTGTTTAGGAATCACTGATGATGATGTGGTTCTCTGAGATGTCCCTATGCAGAATTTTGGCCTTTTCGAATAAGGATTAATGCGCCTTGACGGCATGGCGGAGCGCAGTCAATAATTCCTGAATTGATCGAAACTCTTTGATTGTTCGTCCGGTAGGCGAGATGACTAGGCAGCTGAATATGCGGTTCTTGTATAACTCTACTTGTGTATTTTGTTAACTTAGATCTTCACCTTGTGGGTTGTGCTTCGCTTCGTACTCATTTCTGAGTTTCGATGTTTAACTCTCGGATCTTTTCCGTTTCGTAGCTCATGGCGCCCTCTCGGTAAACCTTCTTTTCCCTAACGAAGTTTAAGAAGTTCCTAAGCTTTAGAAGGCTCTGAAGGATGGAGAAAGCGACACTTAGGATTGAGATTCTGGGAATGATGTCGAAGCGCTAAGTGGTGTGTTTCGGAAGCGATATAGGGGGGGGAATGTCAAACCGTCGCGCAATTCCTTGATGGTGGTGATATCATAGTGTCCAAAGAGCGTAGCCACACCCATGACTCTAAGACTGCGTGCTCAGCGGAGAAGTTTTGCCTCTGGTGGTCGCAAATCACTAGGCTAGGATAGCTTCACAACTTTCTTTCCATCCTTCGAGAGATAACAAGTTGTTCCCTGATAAATGATGGCTCGATGTATGATTATAGGCTGCTGCTCAAGCTAGATCTTTATTTTCTTTCTAGTCGAATCTTCCTGAGTGATAATAGAGTCGTTTTGACCATCATGCTCAATAAAACCATCTAGACTGAGCTCATCGTCACTCATTAGAGTGTAGCCCACCAACGCCCGGATAAACTTCTTAGGCTCATCATGAATGTCGAAAGGCCCGGAGCTATATAGGCCCGAGCGGTCAAACACCCACAGCTCTATAGAGGTGCTGAGAAGCGTAAATGCGTGGACAAACCGCCGGGCGGGCTAGACAGAGAAGACGTCCCTTACATATCTCGCAAGCTAAAGAAATTTATTTTTCCAATCATTCTGTAAGACCCAATGTTCTCTGATGACTCGCACATCCTTCCAGTCATGGCTAGTATCAACAGCATCCGTCCTTCGTTTAATAAAGAAGTCAAGCTGACGCCGTGCTTGCGCGCCTACGAGTTCCGTTGTAGCTAATGTTCTGTAGTAGATGCCGCAAGCGTCAGTCAGATACTCGTCTTGAATGCGCGACAGCCAGTCCTAGACGGCGCTTTCGTCTAAGGGATCAGGGAAGTCAGTCCATCGGCCATCAACATGGTGATCTTTCACGGCTTCGTAAATTTCCTTGCTTCGCTAAGACTATTTCTTTCCCTCAAAATACTTCGCGAAGAATCCTCCCACGTTCCGATATGTATAATTCTTGATCTCATCAAAAAGTGGGACATCCAAGAGCCTCTTCGTCTGCTCGTCGCCTTGCATCGAAGCGGAGGAGTATATGACCGGAGTGCCGTCGAACGAAGAAGAAATGCATATAAAAGGGGCTATTTGAGAAGTGAACCTTATGAGATCAAAAACAGCATTCCAGACACCAAAATCCGATGCCTCCTTGATAATAAGTAGTGAAAGCGCGCGGTATTGTTGGTAGTTAAAATCGCCATTTCGGACACGTCTGAAAAGGGTGGATAACTCAGAGGCTAGATCTCCGGCTCCAGTCTTTGAGCAGAGGGTAAGGGCAACATCGTGGCCTTGCAAGGTGTAAAGAAGTCTTGAGACCACTTTGAGGCGTCCCTGATCCGGAGTATCGCCAGCGCCATCGTAAGACTGCTCTGCCTTTCGAAGTGAATCCCGTAAATGATCTAGACAGTCGTCCAAAGGATGCTTTTTGATAATATCACGATCGTCTTGCGAAAGATTGGCCATTGAGGGGATGTTTATGAGATGGTAATGGCTGTCTGAGTACGAAGTAGTTGACCCCCTGGACAGTGTGGCGCTGCTAGAGTGTCATAGCATGAACATACTAGTAGGTTGACCCGTCAACTATTAATTGTGTAAGGAGCCAGCACCTAATGGTGCTTAAATTAGTTACTAGATAGTCCTTATCTTTATAGGTACTTATAATGTTACTGACAAAATGTAATCTTATCTTATAGGCCCTGCCATCCCTAATCTCAGCCTACTAAGTGTTAGATGATCTAAGAGACTAAGAGCTTAGCGCTAGCATGGAGATGGCTAGCTGATCAGCCACACTTTAGTGTTGGTCAACTACTTTGAACGCACGACTTCGTAGGGAGTCGTGCTTCAAAAGAAGTTAGCTGCCACTGGAATGTGGCTAAGAAACTAACCATCTTGGACTTAGTTGCTAGTAGTTAGTCTTTCAGATGATATCTCATTTATCAGCTATCTAATGTGTCTACACTGCCAAGCTCAATTAATTGGCTTCTTGAAGTACTTGTAAGCTCAAATATGCGGGCCGAAGGATCAGCCTTCTGAATGGATAAAGTTCACCTTCCTGCCTTCTTGAGTGGAACGTAAGGCTATTAGCTTGCCAAGACTGCAGAATTTTGCTAAGCCGCACCCATCAAAAATGAGAATGCACACAGAATGCGCAGAAACAGCGCACAGAATTTGCACACAAAATGCGTAGAATTTACAGAATGGTCTTCTGTCCTTCTATCCTTCTATTTACTTATTTAACATTATGTAAAATTAATTAAGAGATTTAAGATATTCTTATAAGCGGGATGAGGAATAGCAACTTTAGAGGAGCTGCGAGAAGAATATTATAGGGCAGCCACGGAAAGCGTGATCTGGTAGGTCATTGATATGTCAGTTTGCTGAGAGGTGGATTGGTGGCAATGCTGCTGTAGGCTGTGTCAGCATACTGGTGAGTCCTGGAAGTACTTGAAGATGTATGCAAAGATCTACAAGTGTCGGTTGTTGAAAAGTGTATTGTGATAATTCTGCCACATGAATTTGCCACTCTTCATCATGCTGGAGGCTAGCCGTATCCCGATTCGTTGCGAAAGATACAAATGAGACGTTAGAAAATACCCACATACCATCCCAATCAATAACCCATCACCTCCCCTATGCTCAAAGTATTGATTCTCACTACGCCCCATACGACAACGAGCAACACCACATCAATGACAACCAGCAGCGCACTGCTCATCAAGAACCTTGGCATAAACACCCGATACAACATCAGGTGCCTCCGCAAATGCCCTGCCCACATGGTGGTAGCCAGCTGAATTATTGCATAATACGAGGCGTGCGTTAGCATTGCCCACATCACGTCGCACAAAACCTCCTTCATCCACCCTGGGTTCTTGCTGATCGGCCTTTTCCACAGCACGGTCAATGGCACTGCTGCAGCGCAGAGTATCTGTGGCCCAAAACTATTGAGGATAATGAGGATAGGAGACCAGGGGTAAGTGATGGTGCGGAAGGGAACGAAAGCGGCGTTCCATTGGATGGAGGCAAGAGTGGCTTGATGGCCTGTTTTGAAGAAGTGAAAAGAACCTAACATGGCTAGGATGATGGGACCTATTGCTGTTATTGCTCCGGATGAGGCTGACATCGAGATCGTCAAGCCGTTGGTATCCAGGATCTCTGATAAACCGAGAATCTGACATGCGCAGATTGCCATTGAAAATTGGCCCATGGGAGGTAGCAGGACGGACACCAAGAGGATGAAAATTGGCAGCAGCAAGAAATACCGCGTGCCATGGACATTTGCATAACCCAGGATGATGACTGCTGGTTTGGCCTGCCTGGAGTCATCCTCTGCTTGCCCTTCAATGGGCTTTTGTCTTGCCAAGGAAACGTCAATGCATGGTTTGGCTTGAGCGATCGTTATGCTGCCGACGAACACCGCTATAACTATCGCACACTGTGAAGCAGTAAGACTAGCTTTCTTTAACGTCTCCAGAGACACCGCCTGCTGAAGCCATCCGCCATTATCAGCGGCATCGAGCACCCAATAGATTGCAATCAACAGAAGTCCGACACGGAAGCAGAACCCTAGCCAGAATCCTGCAGGGCCAAAATAGGAAGCTGTACCCTTATACCGAGCTTTGATGAAAGCTGGAAGAAGAATTGCAATAGTGAAGGGCAGGAAAACCTGCCACGGTGCCGAAGTTGAGGAGTTTGAAGATGCATAGAAGGTTGAACGGCAGCCAGGCATTTGTTCTTCGCGACACAGGCGGGAGAACGATGCCGCTCTTGTCAACAAGGTGAAGAATATCGACTGCACTGTGCCCAGTTGTCGATCCGATGCTTCGGATTGTCGCAGAGAAGATATGCAGCTGATCAGTCCAAACGTGGCCAAGAAAAACAAGAGAATAGAATCTTCGTGTATTGTGTAGGAATTTGAGGCAAAACCCGCAGATTGTGAGATCGAAAAGAATACGGCAAGCCCAGACCACAGGTTGCCAGGGATCAATATACCGGCGTTCATCTTGGGCTTCCATGCGGAAAATGCTAATAGATAGACTAAACCTCCCGTCAGAATGATGACACCTACCGCCATATCGCCGACGTTGAAGTTCGCCCATAGCTGGCGGTACAGGCTCAAGACCGTGTCCTCGTACTGTCGCAGAGCAAGGTAGGCTTCTTTGAAACGAGCTTCATCGTTCTTGGTAGTAGTGACATCTACTTCTAACAATGACAAAGCGGATTCATAAAGTGCGTTTTGATGAGGATCAGAATCAAGATTAAGATTCCGTGCTTCTGAATATTTTGCCTGGTATTTGCGTATCTGGTGTACTGCGATTTGATTGACGGTTGCAAGAGCCCTCCATTCTGAGCCGCTTCGTTGAGAAAAAGCTTCCTCGATTGGTGCACCAATGTTATTGAAAGGAATGGGAAGCCCAAGCAAAAGTGACAAGGTCGAGACTAGGTCTATCTGCCTTATAGGTCGTATCTTGGCATTCGCTGGTGGTAAAACGAAATCCGCATGCGTTCTACCAAATACCGGCCTCGTGGAATACAACCAGAGAGCTGCCTCGACTTCCTCGTCAGATTCTCCTCCATGGTCACCTTTGGTGTCCATTCCATGATCGCCTAGGACTACAAGGAGTGTGGTGTCGTCTATTGTTTCCATGATGTGAAGAATGACATTGTTCATCTCTTGGAGCTTGTCATTCATCGCAGGATGATCTGGTCCGTAGCGATGGCCTGCATGGTCGACTCCCAGAAAGTGAGCGAAGATGTAATCCCACTCTGTGCCGTTGTGAGAATTCAATAGTGGCATTAGATGCGATGTAACTCCGTTGTCAACGGTATAAAGGTCCCACACGTTGAAGGAGTCGTATGGATGCGACAAATCTTCATGGAAATATCCTGGAAACAAAGACTGCCATGTATCATCACCCAGATGTACGATTGTTTTTCCGAGATTTCGCATTTGCGCCAGCAAGTTATCCTCCTCTATAGCAGTTCCGGCGAAGTTAGAGCCAGCATCAATGAATGTTGGCAATGTACCAGTCGTCAACCCTTTCAGTCGCTGTAGAGTAGTGGTCGGCGGGTCTGCAATGAATGGAAGTAGAAAAGCATTTTTGGGCATCGTTTTTGCCGTATCGTAGAGGATGGGGAAGGCATTATGGAACTGCCTCGCTTCTTTATCTTTTTCAGAGGGCAGGAAAGGCACTGTAAAGTCATATCGCAGGGCATCAATGACAATGATGACCGCCTTGTTAAATTTTCTTGGATACCAACATCCCTCGACTGTCGAGGAATCTCCATTGATTCGGGAAACATTAACTGGAGGAGCGTCACACGTGGATTTGTGGTCGAGTATCAACCGGGTCAAGAGGAAGCCCTTCGTGAAAAAGAAGATGCCGACAACGTGTATGACACTGCTTTAATCAGCTACTCATTCTATCCCTTGAGAATCTGAGATCACCCACCAAAGCACAAAGAACAGTGCGCCATTCAAAGCATGGAATTTCTTAAATTGTGTAACCCTTCTCTTGGTCGCTTCCCCTCTTGTGCTATCATCCTGATGAGTTGAGGGGTGCACTGAAGTCTGTTCATTTTGTTCATCAGAGAGAGCAATACGGACATCATCTTTGGACATTAGACGGCAAGTTCGGGTTGAAAAGGGTCATGTTGCATTCGTCGTTAAATGTGGTGGTTGTACCATTCGCGTCCTCACTTAAATGCACCCGCTGTGGTCGGCAACTCAAGCCCTAGTAGAGACCCACAATCGTCTACATTAGAGACGTCCTATGTACTACATAATAGACGACGATAGAACTTTTCCAAGGACTCAATATATTCTTATGATTTTGTACCACCCCTCATGGAAAGGGGCTCCCTTGACCGATCTGTTAAGATAATACAATACAGTGCCGATCCAGCACTTAGCATCCACACATACGTGTCTTCAGAAGACCAGAGAATATAAATAGCTGCCAAATATTTGGAAACGTCAAGATAAGCCAAAAAGAGCTTTGTCATCCAGCAATTGTTCGCTGCCATTCGAGCAGTCATAAAACTCTTCTTGTGGTGTCATGGCTATTAGAATCGAAAACCAGTCGAGGTAGAAGGAAGCGGTGTTTTGATGCTTTGGCCATAAAGACAGGAGAGCATGTTCCTCTGAAATGCACCGACCTCATGACCATCTTCGAGGTTCAACCTTCTCCCTTAGTCCACCCATTCGCTCTAAATCGAGAGACTGAAATCTCTCCGTCTCTTTCAATTGATAGGGAGGCAGAGAATCCTGTGCTACAGGCTCCATGCCGACACTGCCTGAGTCTCCAATCCGGACAACAACCACCCGTCCGTTTTTCTTCTTTCCTGATTGATCTTCTTCGTCGGGAAATGTGATACGAATTTCAGGTACAGGGCTGTCAGGAGGACTGGAAGAGTTTTCAATCAAATTGCGTTTCTCATCATAGACATGTGCCGATTCTGTCTTTCCAGTATATGGTGTCGCTGTAATAGTCAAGCGACGATGATTGGAATTTCTTTGATGTGTTGGCAGAACTTCAGCATTTGTCGCCTGGCGCTTGCGGAGGACGCAGAGAATGCCAACAAGCCCTAGAGCAAAGACGATCAGGGTGAGGAGCGCAAGAAGGAGATTGCTGACTGAGGGTGTAAATGTGGAATCGGCAGTTGTGCTGTCATTACGACTGACTAGGCGCCTAGCGAATTCCATGTTTGATTGATGGTGGTGAGATTCGAAGAACGGATTTTGACAAGCTAGAGAAGATCGGTGCGGATTGTTTCGATGCAAAAAGGGTTTGCCTTGATGCTTAGCAGTTCATTAGGAGAGCAAAGTCGTATTAACGCAGCGAAGAAAGAGCGTAGTGTGCGTGGTGTATTAGAGGTGCTCCGAAGGAGTGGACAGCACGATTCCAGCAAGAGAGTGGAGCTGAGATCGGCCAAGCGGTAGTGAAGAGCAAGGTGAGGAAGAGCTTTTGTCTCAAAGGTGAAGCAGGAGCACCGCAAGGAGGATTGCGAACAACAGAAGAGAAAGTCTCTGCCCCCTTGTACTCGTAGCGCCTAATCTGGCGCTTTGGCCCGTTCCTGTAAATAGAGCACAATTTGAATGAACGCTAATATGAAATAGTCATCGCTGCTTTCGGCTTAGATCTTGCACCGTCGGCCGTTTATGAAATTACCAATAACATCTTCGTGATGCCTAGCCAATCATCACGATTGTCACGAGTATCACGCGTGATCAAGTTTTGCCTAGTACTATCTCGCCGCAATTTGATTCTTGCAGTTGCAGACTTTCCTCTGCTTCCGCTGCACATCATGGGCCCGGAGATGGTATGTAATCTGAGATGCTATGCTTCTAAGAATACAACCTTCTACGTAGTAAAGCATACCTAGAAGTCATGCGATGCATCCTTTGCTGACTGGATCAAGCCGATTTACATCTCCATGAATAAGAAAAATGATACCAGCACATTACCTTGCTCAATGGCAGCGTCCCAATGATTCATTTTCCCGTGGCTCTCTAACTACCCATATTAGTCGAGTCCATCATTTCATCAAAGAGCGTCAGGATGCTTAAGTTAGCTAGAATTCACTAAGCGGCAAGAATAAAGTGCGACATATCAGACCTGACCTACAATGCTCATCTTGCCCGATGCCGCTATACAAGCACGACAGTCAAGACTCTTTTGCTTATCGCCACCTTGAGTCGAGATGAACATTCAGCATCATTTCAAACCTCATCCCAGCATTTTCATATGTTGGTACGGATGCAGTGGATACAACGTAGAAAATACCACCCGATTTCGATCAGGTCCAAGATCATGCCATGTCACTTAGGCCCAGTACTTTGATATCGTCCACCAGAGAAGCCATTCATCTGTATATATTGGCTCAGGGCCATCAAATGTTACACCAAAACTGGAGACCGCTACTTCGGATAACTGGCTGAGGTTTGCTTACGAGTGAGCCCCACTTGAAGTCGTACAGACAGCGGAAGTGGGATAACTCTGCCTGATGCACAAGTAAAATACTCTGACCGCCGCAAGGCCGCCAGATGATGTAGACCAGGTCATCTAGGAAGTTAGCCGTGGTTTCGCGAAGTATTTGGACCATCCGAAACGCCCTGAAACGGTTGGTTGCCCTCATTCGGAGTTGCTGCGAGGGCTGCCTGCAGCCAGAGAGTCATCATGATCGCAACAGCCGTGCGCCCGTGGCTTATCCCCAGTTTCAAAAGCTACCAGGTACTTACTACGTAGAACGTCAAATGTGTTGATGCTGGATAAACACCATGATACTGACACAAGTGAACCTCCACACTTGACACTTTTTAAGACAGAACTACAAGTACACCTTACGCACACATGGCATATCGGACGTCTGGATTCGTACTACTACATGACACAGTTCTATAACTATTCTGGAGAAGATCTGTTCAGTGTGCACGACTAGTTACCCAAGACCCTGCTTGTCTTCTCCGTAAACTACAGCCGGGGCGCTCCTTTAGTTTCTGGGCCACTTCCGGCCCTGGAAGGATTGACATTGGACCATGTACTTAAGCCTCCATTGGGCTTAAGCGCCACCCAAACTAAGGAACCCGCTAGGTCCAGCCTGACATGCGATGCGGGCAAAAGAAAGTTGATACATCTTCACTTCGCTTCAGATCCAGATTCAAGCGCTTCTTTTCATTAGACCTATTACAACCTACCTTGATCTAATACTTTGCTGCCTTTTTTCTGTGTCATATTCTCCTGTCTGTGCGACGCTCGCCTCATCTGTTCATATCTTCTCCCGCAAATTCTTCTACTTGACCCCAGATTTGCGCCTCAATCGACAGAACCGGCGATAGTAGCATTCCTCACCCTTCGCCCAGCATATCTCCCTTGCGGGCTCTAACCGTCTTGGACTTCGATCGGATGTTTTCAATACAACCCACAGCAGTTTCCTGGCTCGATACACCAGGCGCCGAGGGGGTTCCGCTTGTCATGCACGTAATCTGTTCTGCGGCTGCCTGCTGAAGTTCGAAGCGACCAACACTGTCAAACGAAGGGATCAAGAGACCTACGGACACCTTGCATACGCACTAAAACCGAACGCTGACGGCTCTTCTGTTGACAATAACTTCTTTTCTCGCCTTTCTTCTCGTACATTATCTCACATATGGTGCTTGAGACTTCAACGTGTCAAAATATTCTGAGAGCCGGTACGTTCTGATAGCTTCTAATCTAAAGCTCGGGGCTTTTTTGCCTACTAGGAATCGAAATGCTGACAAGTGTTTGCTGAAACAGTCTGTACTTGTGTACCCACATACCTCGTTCCTTTCTACACCACTGCAATCAGGCTGCGCCCATCTTGCTGAAGAGAATATTTGTGTATAAACGGTCTGTTCAACATGGCTTCTTCCATGGGCAATCCTACAGCAGTGCAAAACGTAAGTTTCCTTCAAAGCTCAGTCACGTTTCACATTTGCTTATATTTGTGGGAAATCAGGCCCGAAGCAACCGTCTTGCCTCGTTCGATCAAGTCTCGGGCTTGAAGACACCGTTGCATTTCGGAACAGGTTTCAATTCCGCCAAAACCGCATGGAACAGCAACATTTGGGCAAATGCTAGCCGCCCGAATGCTTTTACAGATGGAGCCGGAGACGCTGTGCTTTCTACAGGTATGGGATTCCCTCAATATCTAGAATTCCAGTTCACAAGCAATAGATTCGACCTCGCATTCTACTGAAGGTGATACACCATTCGAAGGCAAGACCGGTTCAGGGTCACTCCTATCCACATCTGAATCTGATGGGTGGAATGGGCGCTCGGGACTACCCTGGCCGTCCTCTGTTAATAACACCTCACCAATTCTATCAAGAACGAACAGCCACAATATTTCGCCTCTCAGACCACGAAATGGCGACCAGGGCTCTCTGCAGATGCAAGATTCCAATGGACGCTCCCTACCACTATCATCGCTCAATCGCCCTGGCATCGGCCAAATGACGGATCAGGCTCCACTGAACAACCAAATGAATCCGATGTTAAGCTTGTCTTCGCAGGGCTCGAACGTCAACTCCTTCTCTGCTTTTGACGATTCTGGCCAGGATGAGGAACAGCAGCCCATTACGAAAACGATCACATTCGGTGCCAGCTCTTTCGTTCCTTCTACGTCGTCAGCTAAGCATTACGCAAGCGCTCCGTCGGACCATGCAATGCCTAACAACCCCGTCCTTCAACAAATCAGCGCTTCTCGAACCAACTCGGATATGCGATCCGGCACGTATTTTCGACCCTCAGCCTTTGTCTCCAAATCCAATCTCTCACACAATAGTGCATCTCGGGCATTTCACCGCCCTTTCCATTCCACTGATGCTTCCCTTGACACAACTCTGGAAGATATTGACGACCGCGCTAGTGGTAGAGACGAGCACTTAGTTTCAGAATTGGAAAAGCTGGGATTGCATGGTACCAATCAATTTATACAAAGCTCAAGGTCGAATGATCGACCAACATTCAGCTCTCAGATGTCTTACAACATCTCTGCTGAGCGGTCCACTTTCCGAAGTGTTTCTGGCGAGAGATTAACGTCCGCCCAAGTCCCGTACATGTCAGACGGCTTGTCTGACCATGGATTTCACTACCCTCCAGCATATCATCGTAGCACACCCTATGGCAATCGCGGATCTTCCTCACCAAGCATGAGTGAAACCCGAAAGGAACCCACCACTCCGTTTTACTCCACGGCCAGTACGCCGCCTACGGCGCCAAATCCATTTAACGCAGGCTCTGATAGCGGTGTGTCGAGCAGAGTGCCAAGTGGTCAAGCCACGTTACTAGAGAAAAAGCTACGAGGACTTCAACCTTACCAGACTGAGCAGCAATACTTGCAGGCCAACCCGTTGCAAATGCGTCCTTCGTACCAACAACAAATCGACACGCCATATCAATCACAGATTCAAATGAATCCTCTTGCGAGGCCATATGCGATGCCATCTTACTCTGCATACTCCAACATCCAATCCGCGCCATCACAACATCTGCGTTATAGCCAGACTGAACAAGATTCGAATCAGGTGATTCGGAGCCCTTTGCTTGAGGATTTTCGAACAAACAGCAAGACTAATAAGCGTTACGAACTCAAGGTAAGACGTTTTGCGTCCTATATTGTGCACGATCTCACAAACGACAGGACATCTACAATCATGTGGTTGAGTTCAGTGGTGATCAATATGGCTCTCGTTTCATTCAGCAGAAGTTGGAGACTGCCAATTCTGATGAGAAGGACCAGATCTTCGGTGAAATACAGCCAAATTCAATTCAACTGATGACGGACGTCTTTGGCAATTATGTGATCCAGAAACTCTTCGAGCATGGCAACCAAGCGCAGAAGAAGATCCTTGCAAACCAGATGAAAGGTCACATCATGACTCTCTCCACGCAGATGTATGGTTGTAGGGTAGTTCAAAAGGTATAGTCCGCGTTTTGCACTTGTGAGTCCTTTACTGACACTACATTTTAGGCACTGGAACATGTGCTAGTTGACCAACAAGCCAGCATTGTAAAGGAACTCGAGAACAATGTATTGAAGTGCGTCAAGGATCAGAACGGCAATCATGTCATTCAAAAGGCAATCGAGCGAGTTCCAGCCCAGCACATTCAATTCATCATCAATGCCTTCCACGAGCAGGTTCAACGCCTAGCCACACATCCATATGGATGCCGAGTCATCCAACGAATGCTCGAACACTGTGAGGAAAATGCTCGACAATCAATACTGAGGGAACTTCATGGCTGCGTGTCGACGCTTATTACCGACCAATTCGGGAACTATGTTATTCAACATGTCATTGAAAATGGAGAGGAGAAGGACCGTTTCAAGATCATATCCGTCGTCATCTCTCAACTTTTCATGTATTCGAAACACAAGTTTGCCAGCAATGTCGTCGAGAAAAGCATCGAGTTTGGCGAACCTGGTCAGAAGGCAGAGATCCTGAAACTTCTCACCACTATGAATGAGAAAGGAGAGAACCCGGCGTTGGCTCTTGTTCGAGATCAGTACGGCAACTACGTGATCCGCAAGTCAACCCCTGTCTAACACTGCTATTCCAGCCTGACTGACAATGGTACAGAAAAGGTTCTCGGTCATCTTAAAGGTAGCGAAAGGGAAGCTCTTGTCGAGCAAATCCGAGCACACCTTCTACATTTGAAAAAGTTCAACTATGGCAAACAGGTCGCTGCCATCGAGAAGCTCATCTACAGCATTGAGACTGATTCCAATCCGAGTGCTAGCAGCCAGAGCTCAAGCCTTCCTAGCACAACTGCCAGTACTGTTGAAGGTCCTACTGGGAATGCGTTTGGGTTGAAGAACGTCGACTCTGAGCAGATCAACACTCCTAGCCCAGCCACAAGCGCGCAGCACCCGGTCAAATGAAATTTTTATACACTCACTTTCTACGAACATGGTTGTTTTATACTTCACAAGACTACTCTCTAGGTTACTTTCCTACGCAGGCTATGTCGTTTAGTATTTCCTAAGATACCACAAAAACAGGGTCAGGACTACAAGTTTCAAGCAAGCGAAGCGCGCATTTGTGTGGGGTTGGGCTTGATATGGGAAAAAGATCACGGGCCATGTTATTAGCTTTGCGGAGCTTGACGAAGTCATGAATGGGACGGTCGGTGGGACGAACAGGTGGATGCACAAGGTCATCAACGACATAAAATAGGTGATAGGCGCACATACCGTGTGGATAGACACACTCAGCTCAAATTTGAATGAGCGAATTCGGTAATGCAGTTGTACTCGAGGCAACAATTTAATATCTCTTGATGGTTGGATGCAAAGATATACCTGTCTCGTCGTAGTACTCTGTTCATCCTGGGAGTAGGATGTGACTAAAGTAACTCTGTAGAGGTAAGGTAAGTACCAAGATACATTACTCACCATCAGCGTTGGTAGTGGCCCGGGAGTGAGGAGAGCTCGACCTCTTTTCATATTCGAACGTCCATTGTCAGCTGCGCTGGCTAGCTGGCACTACGTTGGGCGCTTGCTGAGCTGAATTGTCTGTAGGATCGATGATTTTCAGCTCACCTGTTCAGTTTTGTTTTAAGCTTGAATATTGTACTTCATTGCCTATCCTTTGCTGGTATGATACTCAATAGACGTTATATGACATGCCGCCAGGTGCTGGCAATAGTACTTGTCTTATCCGTTGGGGCTTCCTACAGCATCCCCGGCGACCTTTATGACAAGGTGGTAGGCGTGGACGGATTGCTTCATATCTCTGCCCAGAACAGACCCTTCATACTACAAGATGATAGACGCAATAGCGATCAGTACTCTTGCTGCCTCAATAGTGAGCAAGTGTTACAGGTACGGGTGCAGTGTTGCAGATGCACCTGACGAAGCGAAAAGGCTTGCCTCGGAGGTCACCAATCTCAGTGGGCTGCTCATAGGGCTTCAAAGTGTTGCAGATCAGCACGAGAGCTATCTTGAGAGTCTCAATGTGTATAAAATTCTGCTGGAATGCTCTGCAGATCTGAAGGCAGTCGACTCGCAGCTCGAAGGACTTGTGCCAGTCGCGGGTCAAACAAAGACTCGGCGCATCGTGAAGCGGTTGAGATGGCCACTACAGCGCGGGGATACGCTGTTGATGCTCGAGCATATCGAACGACAGAAAGGATCTTTTGAGTTTTGTATTGGAATCGCTCACTACGTAAGTCACATTGGCTGTGCCTGGCAAGCATTGACTCATTCGAGATTAGGAGGATCGTCTCTGACCAGCAGAAAGAACTCCAAGATCTGTCGAGGGCTTTCCAAGCACTCGATGCTAGGATTGCTAGCAAGGAAGAATTGGCGGTAGAACAGAGTGTATTGGACTGGGTCTGTGACTACAATTATCAAGCCCAACATCATCGGGCTTACAGACTGCATTGCGATAATACATCCTCCTGGATTCTCGAACATCCCCTTTTCCTGCACTGGAGAGAATCAAGAGACCCTGTTCTGTGGTTCCGAGGAGCACCTGGTTCAGGCAAGACCGTCCTGGCTTCCTACGGCGCGGAACATTTTTTACAGCGGCAGTCGTCGACCGCTGGGGCCCAGCCGGTGGTTCTATTTTACTATGATAAAAGCACTAACCAGAGTCTTTCGTTGCAGACCTTCTTGGCTTCGGCTTTGCGGCAGCTATGTGTTCAGATGGGGACTCCACCATCTGTCAAAGAAGCCTTCAGCGCAGCGAAACTTTCATCAGGTGACCTCAGGCCCATCAATATCAATCAGCTGACATCGATGGTTCGTCGACACATTGTTCACGACCCTCCGTGTATTGTCATCCTCGATGGAATGGATGAAGCTGAAGACATACCTGGTATCTGCGACTTTCTTACAACCATGCTGGAGTCGGGTACAAAGTTCTTCATATCCAGTCGTCCTCATAATGTCATAGCCAATGTACTTCCAGGTGCACTCAAGATGTCGGCGCCATCAACTTCAGCCAGCTCAGATATTGCTCAATATATTGATCAGAGGTTGCATCATGATCAACGTCTGCAGAAGATGGCCCAAGGCTTGAAGTCGTACGTGCGAGAGAGCCTTTGTGAAAAAGCGGCAGGAATGTACGTGTCTCTCATCAGCTATCTCTTGTAATCGTGATGATAGCGGATCAAGCTGTGAATTTCCATACGAGCGAACTGACAATATGCAGGTTCCGATGGGTACAATGCCAGCTTGATGAGATCTCGAAACTTCGCACCAACAAAGCCATCAAAGCGGCCATCAAAGCTCTTCCAGAGACGCTAGAGGCCTCTTACTCCCGCAACGTTTTAAGAATTAACGAGGGTGACCTGATCTACGCGTACCAAGCTCTGCTATGGCTAACATACGCGCTGTATCCTTTGAAGCTCAACACGTTGGCCGAAGCAACGGTTCTTGAGCCGGGCGCTACCGCCGTAGATGACGAGTCTCAGCTAAGCGATCCAGCTGATATCCTAGACATCTGCGGCATGCTGGCGTTCTACAATGACTTGTCTGATGAAGTCCAACTGTCTCACCATTCGGTGCGAGAATTCTTGTCGGCCAGTTGCAAAATACCATTCTCTTTCCCAGAGAAGTCTTGCCACCGTACAATCGCGGAGCGTTCCATCTCATACCTACTCAACGACGACTTTGCAAGCGGACCCCTAGCATCGTCTCAATCCATCAAAACCACACTGACAAATTACCCCCTTCTCGCATATGCGGCCCGCAGCTGGCCTACTCATGTCCTCCGCTCTGATGCTGAAGAGGCGCTGCAACCTCTCATACTCAAAATCTTGACACCCGAAGCCACGCCACAATTCTATTTCTGGCTGCAAATCGTTCTGTACCATTCCAACCATGGCTTTCAAATTCCCGGGACTAAGTCGTCTTATATTCCTACAGCTCTATATTACGCCTCATCTTATGGCCTGTACAACACTGTGAAGTCTCTTATCGCCTTGGGCGCCGATTTGAACGTCCGAGCTGGCCGATATGGGGGCACTGCTTTGCACGCTGCGTGCTGGCGTCAACATCCGCATATCATTCAACTTTTATTAGGAGCGGGAGCCGATACGACAATTGGGGACCGTAACGGCATGACGGCATTCGATCTGACCAAGAATGGGGTCGGGAGTGAGTAGTACGAAATAGTAACACGGAATGAAGTTGTGGACGAGCCGTTTAGGGCAGTGTATTTGTGGGAACGAATACGGAAGACCAATATGGGCGGAGAACATGAACGGGCCTCAGGTAAAGCAACCACAGAACCTGAATAAACTACCTCCGACAAAGTTTAGCAAGCTAGGTGAGAGAGAGACCTTCGAGCTGGAGTAGTATTATACGACAGGTTATCAAGTGGTCGTCATCCCGAATTACGAATACTACTTTGCTCGGGCAGCACATCCAATGTCTGGAGCATTCATGAATACTTCCTCCAAGTAATCCGAGCATTTTGATAAGTAGCAGCTAGACATACCGTTTTCTCACGAACGCTTGTACGCGTCCGGTACTGGCGTGCGAGATTGAGGCTGTGGCCTTGCTGTCTTATTAGGATTTTGTTATGCTTTGCTGAGGCGATTTTTGTGCCATAGCCGTCCTCACAAGGAGACTGCGGCGAACGAAGTACTTTGATCTATAGATCAAGAGTGCTATAGCGCATCAAGGTGGTCAAAACATTATAGGCAACAGCACGAAAATCCAAAAGGGGCTTCCAATACTACTATCACAACCACCTCCCACACCAATAAGATTTGTCAGTCTGGTGATTTTGACAACGAGAAGTGCTAGTTACCATCCGCGAAACATTCAACAACTTACTGATGCAGTAGAGCTTCTCACCCTACGAAGTCAAGCTGTGATCATTTCCCGCCGGGTCGGCCAAGGTTTCTCAGAACCGATTTCTGTTACATGACTGTCAAGCCAGCACACTCGAGGAAACCCATTCTGCTATAGGCAATGATTTCACTGGAGTGAGTATTAAATCGTGGCCATGAGCTATATAAGGCAAGAACGCTGCGGGAAGAGAAGGAGTCGTGTGTTTCCAAGGAGGAGATCTATTAAAGTGGGTTGGGTCAGAAGGCGACCAATAGCATTTCAACGAATTAACGACAGCTGAGACACGTATAATAAGAATAGTGGTCAAAGAGTCAGGTGTTGTCCTTACTACATATAACAATAGTGATGGTCGGTCCGTTGTGTTTGTTGATTCCCCTGAGAATACATCGTGGTTGTGGTGCTAATCTCAAGTCAGGCTTAAAGCAGCAAGAGAGTTGCCAAGCACGGATTAGTCATCCGATTCACGATGAACTCTTTTCAGCATTGATGCTGCTATAGAATGAATGGCAGCTTTAGCGGGCGAAGATGAAGCCGATATGGCGACCTCGAGTCTCGCATATATGGGGTCACACTCCTCGCGCACGGTCATGTAAAGAGAATCGGCGTTGCTTCGCGAGTGTTGCTGATGGTGTCCGGTAGCCCTTCTCTACCATTCTCTTCCCCCCGAAGCGCCTGAGGCTAATGGTACCGATTCAGGCCGTACGATGTCGTTGTCATTGGCGGTGGTCATGCCGGTACCGAAGCCAGCGCTGCCGCTGCTCGATCTGGAGCTCGGACTGCTCTCATTACACCTTCGCTGGACAATCTGGGCGTGTGCTCCTGCAACCCAAGCTTCGGTGGAATTGGGAAAGGCACCATGATCCGAGAGATTGATGCACTGGATGGACTGTGCGGGAGAATAGTTGATAAGGCCGGTATCCAGTTCAAGGTACTGAACAAGAAGAAAGGTCCTGCCGTATGGGGTCCCAGGGCACAAATCGACCGTGACCTGTACAAAAAATACATGCGGCAAGAGCTCACGTCTACGAAAGACCTTAGCATTCTCCAAGGCAAAGTCGCGGACATCGTAACCTCCAAGACCGAAAACCAAGAAAGATCCTTCTCTCAAGGCATAATCACTGGTGTCCGTCTAGAGTCGGGTGAAATCATTCCCGCCTCCCAAGTTGTCATAACGACTGGCACGTTTCTTGGTGGCGAGATCCATGTTGGACTCGAAGTCTTCCCATCTGGCCGGATGGGCGAAGCTGCAACCTTTGGCCTCAGCAACTCACTTCGTACAGCTGGCTTCACCCTTGGACGCCTCAAAACCGGCACACCACCACGTCTCGATCGATCTACTATTGACTACTCCGTACTAGAACTCCAACCCGGAGACTCCCCTCCACAACCGTTCTCCTATCTTAACTCCCGTCCCGACATAGGCGGAGCAGAGCAACTTCCATGCTGGTCCACATACACAAATGAAGCTACTCACTCGATCATCCGATCGAATCTCGATAAAAGCATCCACATCCGCGAAACTGTAAAAGGGCCCAGGTACTGTCCCAGCATTGAATCGAAGGTCATTCGCTTCCCCCACAAGCAGCAACATTTGGTATGGTTGGAACCAGAAGGCCACGAACCTAACCACATAATCTATCCGAACGGCATCTCTGTGACTTTGCCTGCTGAAGCACAATACGAAATGCTGAAAACTATTCGAGGCCTGGGGAATGTAAAAATGCTGCAACCAGGATATGGGGTCGAGTACGATTACATCGACCCGCGCAATCTGCTCCCTACCCTTGAAACGAAATTGATCAAAGGCCTCTATCTAGCCGGCCAGATCAACGGAACGACAGGCTACGAAGAAGCGGCTAGCCAAGGCATCGTAGCAGGAATCAACGCTGGTCTTGCAGCCCAAGGAAAAGGAACCTTCACCCTGAGTCGGAGCGACAGCTACATCGGCATCATGATCGACGATCTCATCACCAAAGGTGTCAGCGAGCCCTACCGTATGTTCACCAGCAGGTCCGAATACCGCATGAGCGCTAGGGCCGATAATGCCGACACAAGACTCACCGCCAAAGGCCGAGCCGCCGGCGTCGTAGGCGACAAGCGATGGGAAGCCTTTGAAGAGCAGCAAGGGAAGATCTCCGAGCTGACGAATCTGCTCATGGAGAAGAAACTCCCCAGCAAAATGTGGAGAGACCTCGGCTTCCCCATCAGAGACGACACCGCCGTCAAACCCGCCTTTGACCTCCTCCGTCTCGCCGGCACAACGGTGCACTCCCTCCTCCCCTACCTCTCCTCCCTTCCCGCTACCTCAAACCTCTTGACCCCCTCCCCTTCTCCCGAACAAGATGTGGAAATATCCAAATTCGATCCCAAGACCCTCGAAAGGGTCTCCATAGAAGGCTCCTACGCCCCCTACATCCTCCAGCAACAGGTTGCAGCCAAATCCTTCGAGCGCGACGAACACCTCGAGTTACCGGCTGATATCGACTACGAGAAGGTCGTTGGCCTCAGTACAGAGGAACGAATGGCGTTGAGCCTGGTGCGGCCTGGGAGCGTGGGTATGGCGAGACGCGTCGAGGGGGTTACGCCGGCTGGGGCGTTGAGGTTGTTGAGCTGGGTTCGAAGAGGAGACAGAGGAGCTGGAGGAGCGGGTACGAAGAGGGATGGAGGCAAGGGGAGAGGGAGTGAGGAGGTGTTTAGGGGGGAGGGGGGGCTGGATGGGATTAAGCTGGAGGGGTTGTTATGATTTTGGATTTTGGATTTTGAATTCGGGGAGCGAAAGGAGTAAATAAGAGCACGGCAGGAGGGAGGACGCGTATGTAATTGCAGAACTGCGCTGCTGGTGAGTAGGATGGCATTGCGATGGTCGTTTAAATGGCGGTGCTATAACTCATTGCGGGATGTCCGTGAAGCTAGAGTAGCCATGTTTGGCCCCTGCTGTACTTGATCCAGATCTGAACATATTCCTCACATCACTCCTCAGTGGGAGAATAAAGGACACGGAAGGAGATCTTGCCCTCTCAGATATTTCGGGTATGATCGGGTCCAGCTGCGTTCAAAGAATCTTTCACACACCCCCAAACCTGTTTATGTGACATGTCCCGCTCAACACTACACTCCCACACCTTTCCAGCAGGCTACCATCCCATAACACCATCTTCCACGACATTCCTAGAAAATAATCAATCACCGCCCAACCTCCCTCCTCACTCTCCCCTCCGCCGTCGCAGCCCGCTCCTCCGGCCACCCCTCCACCGCATCTCTCACCTCATCCAAAAATGTCTGACTATTATGCACCGTCGTCCCGCCCAACACCACTCGGACACCGGGACTGCTGGCGTTGACCTGCGCCACCATCTTGGCCTCCTCGTACGTCGTTCCGCCTACCATGAAGATGATGATATCTTGAGGTTTGTCGCGTGTGTGGCCTCCGCCTTCGAGAAAAGGGTATTGGAGCTCTTTTAGACGGCCTTTGATGAGGTTCTGGAGGGTTGTTTCTAACCGTGGAGAGTGTTGCGTGTACACGTTCTCGACGCCCTTGAGGGGCTTGAAGCGGTCGCGGGTCATCATAGAGGAGAAAAACGACGAGGACTCGAAGAGATCTGTAAAGCCGCCTGCGACGGGGGCGGGTTGCAGGGAGTGGTGGTAGGCGAGGAGTTTGGGGATAGTGCTGATGAGGTGGCTGGGGACGTTTCCTGCTGCGGTCAGCAAGTCTAGAAGGATGGGGAGGGCGTTTGTGGGTGATTTGGAGTAGCGGATCGCGTAGAGGGCGACGAGGCGGAGTTTGTTCTCGGCAGGGATCTTGGGGGAGGGGATTAATCTTTGCAGGTTCCGAAGGTCGGTGGTGTGGTTGTCGCTGCAGACGAGAGATTGTTCAAGTTCCGAGACGTCGAGGAGGCTTTCGGCGTCGACACGGCGGCTGAGTTCGCCAACCAAGGCGACGTGTTTGGAGACGTTGCCGGAGAGTTTACGGAATTCTGGGTAGTCTTCTACGAAACGTTTCATATCGGCGATGCTGTCGATTTGCATGCTGGATTTGGTGCGCGACTGGAATTGTTCTACGTATTCTTTGATGTTGCCGCCCAAGTCGCCGAAGTTTTGGTACATGTTCTTTTTGAAGAAGGGGTCTTGGTCTTGAGAGAGGGCGATCTCTTTTAGCTCCGGGCGAATATTCTCGACATAGGAAAGGTCGACCCGACCGTTGAATATGCCGAGAAGTTCGTGGACCATTGCTTGATAGGTCCACTGAGTGAGAAGGGGGGTAACGGGGTCGTCGCGCCGGTCGAGGATGAGCAGGATTGGAGGTGTATCGGTTTTACGGAAGTCGAATAGTTGCTCTTCTTGTGTCAGTTGATATCGGACTTCAGTAGCGAGCTTTTTGGCCATTAGACTGTTCTTCTCGTAGCGGATGAAAGGCTTCTTCTTGAGCGATAGCAGTAAGGCAATGATTCCTTCTGTACTTCGTTGTAGCGCATCGCTGTTCCAAAGGTCTGCACTGTGACTCCATATCCTCTGCTTCGGATATGCTAGGCTCAAAGACATCAGGTCTGGATTGATCACGATATAGTCTGCAAAGTACTCCTGCACCGCCTTGACGACCTCATGATCGTCCGCCTCAGCCAGACGTTCCAATGACGATTTGCGGATAATGTTGCTGAAGTAGATGTTGTATTCTCCGTATTTGGGTGCTCTCAGCTCGTCGATCAAGAATTGTACTGAGTCTGGCGAAGGTCGAACGAAGCATAGGCACCTCAAATGTCGCATCTTCTCCCTCGCATGGTTGTCGAGCCTGTCAATGAGAAACACCTCATGCTTGAGCAGGGCTGATTGAGTTATGGCGGTAGAGAGTATCGATACCTAGTGAGCATCAGTCCACGTCCGCCACAACGCAAGAGCTCTTACAGTCTCGCTATCGAGTAGCAATATCTTCATTTTCGCTGTAGATGTGCCTGTGGGACTGTCTCCCACGGACACCATCTTCGATACATAGCCCGAGATGGCAGAGGCGACATCCATCTTGAGTTCTCTTCATGTCACCGGAAGTGGAGTTTATCGGGGTCGATGCTGAGGTGTGGGCAGTTTCGCCCTATGCTATCCTGTGATCTGTAAGAATTGCTTTGTGTTGACAGGGACATCTGCATTGTGAGGATGCAGGATGCAAGATGCAGGATGCAGGGTCCCGTCCTGAAGCGGATCAGATGCCACGGACCAAAAAGCGTACTACGTAGGTCTACAGTGACTTCCCCACGAATTTGTTCTATTTTACGACAGAATTGTCTTGCTGTTCGATCTGGCCAGGTGTAGGTATATGGGACATCCTGGGCCAAAAGGATGCTGCCCTACATCAATGCGCGTAAGTACATCTTCCCTCTGCCAGGTAGCCAGGTAGTCCCAATTGACATGGGCAGCGTTTGATCCGGTCGCAAGGGCGACAGGTGCATCGGTCGACGAAATCAAGCTGATTGCATCCTTTCTCCTCTCATACCCGCTCGCGGCCGTACTGAAACGACTTCCAGACACGAAGCCATGGCAAAAGAACGTCTTTATCATTGCCGTCTCATTGTTCTACCTAGTGGGCCTATTCGGCCTCTGGGACGGGATGAGAACGATCCTATACAGCGCCGGAGGAACTTATGCAATTGCCTACTATATTGACGGTAGCTTTATGCCATGGATTGGCTTTGCGTTTCTGATGGGTCACATGTCAATCAACCATCTCGAGCGGCAGTTCACCAATAACCCTTCCAGAGTGGACATCACCGGAGCACAGATGGTAATGCTCATGAAGCTGAGCGCGTTCTGCTGGAACGTACATGATGGTCGATTGAAGCAAGAGAGTCTTACAGAGCATCAGCGAGATCGAGCTGTTATCGAAATGCCAAATCTCCTTGACTACGCAGGCTATGTCCTCTTCTTTCCCTCCCTTTTCGCTGGACCTGCGTTCGACTTCAATGATTTCAAGAAGTGGCTGGAGACGTCAATGTTCGATCTACCGCCAGATGTAGACCCTGCAAAGGCGCCACCAACCCGCAAGAAACGCAGGATACCAAGAAGTGGAAAGCCCGCGGCATGGAAGGCAGTAGTTGGGTTAGCCTGGATATTTCTATTCATCAAGTTCTCTTCATGGTACACAGTCCCTTTCGTCCTGGCCGATGACTACATGCAATATTCCTTCATCCGTCGAGTCTGGTATATTTACATGCTGGCATTCACAGCTCGCCTGAAGTACTACGGCGTCTGGTCTCTCACCGAAGGTGCTTGTATCCTTTCTGGTATGGGGTACAATGGGATCGACCCGAAGACTGGCAAGGCCAAATGGAACCGACTTGAAAATGTCAATCCCTATCACCTGGAGACAGCCCAAAATTCGCGTGCATACCTCGACAGTTGGAACAAGAACACCAATGCCTGGCTCCGCAACTACGTCTACCTCCGAGTCACCCCAAAAGGCAAAAAACCCGGCTTCCGAGCCAGCCTCGCCACCTTTGCCACCAGTGCCTTCTGGCACGGCTTCTACCCAGGCTACTACCTCACCTTCATCTTAGCTGCCTTCATCCAGACCGTAGCCAAGAACTCCCGCCGCTACGTGCGCCCCTTCTTCCTAAGCCCAGACGGCAAAACCTCCACCCAAAATAAAAAATATTACGACTTCCTCTCCTTTCTAGCCACCCAACTCGCCTTCTGCTTCACCGTCGCACCCTTCGTCATCTTGGGTTTCTCCGACTCCATCAAACTCTGGTCCAGAGTATATTTCTACTGCATCATCGGCGTGGCGGCGACGATGGGGTTCTTTGCTTCCCCAGCAAAGCAGTATCTCATCAAGCAGATCAACAAGCGCAATCATCCACGGGTGCAGAGGACGGCTAGTCAAGAGACGTTAGGTCAGCCGACGTTGGGATTGCCCAGTGATCCAGGGAGGGATATTGATGAGGCGTTGAAGGAGATTAGGACCGAGGTTGAGACGAGGAGGAGAAGAGGAAGTAGGGTTAGTATGCCGACGGGCCAGGAATTGAAGGCGGCGGTGGAGGATAAGCTGGGGAGGAAACTGGGTTGAGATGTACCTTAGGTGTGGATATAGATGTGCAAGGGGAAATTCATCGAATATGGCGGTCCTCTGGAGCGCTGGTTGAAGGACGCGCTGAGGTTGAAGAACCGTGATGGCTTCAAGATGTACTCCCAAAATAGCATTACTGGGATCCGTCAAGTGCGACAACAGCCTCATGAGCTGTTTAGCGATGGCTTACATGTCCGCTGTATGACCACAGGCATGTACAATTCAGCTTACATAGATATCAGACGCTAGGTCCGAATCACCATCAACGAGCATAGAAATTTCATCTAAACACCACCGAACAGGAAATAATAGCACAAGTAGAGCGGAGCAATAGACTTCTTTCTGCGTCTTTCTTTCTGTAACCTACTCGGACATACACATATCGTACAATCGCAAACAACGCCCCTGATATTACAGCTCGCCTCGCTTGTGTGACTTCCGGAAATGTGCCCCCTTGATTGGCATTTCGCTTCGCGCTATCTCCTGGATTAGAAGACGACTTTGAAAGGCCTATTTCTATCCGGCTAGCTAACGGTCATGAACCTCCTCTTCCTCTGCCAGTCAGACTCCAATTCCAAGTTGGGCTATTCTTTCGTTTTGGAAGCGCTATTTTGTTCTGCCAGATGCTAGCCCTGTGGCAGATTGATCCCCTTGACTTGCTCCTTTGGGTCTTGTCCTGCCTTGTTCAGGGGCGGGCGGGCTGAGTGACCCTGGAATGCTGGGTCATGTAGCTTTGCGTCGATTCGAGACTCCTCATTTTCTGAACACAACATTCACAAGCTTACTTCCATCTGGCTTGTTTACCACAATGAACCTCTTCCTCTTGTCCCATTGGTTTTTCTCCCTAAGCCAGTACCTGCCTTCAGTAGAGTTCACTATCAGTTGCGCTAAATCTTTTTGCATCATCTGGACGTCAGCTTCCTTTCTGTTCTTGCTTATTCCTTGTTTGTCTCCTTTGTGGAAGAATTGAGGCGGAATGTCCATGCTAAATCTCAGTTTTCCGTCGACCTGCACCGCGCAGTTGACAGACTTCCATTGCGACTGGAGTAGAGTCTGCGCTTCTGGTGTGAGAGGAGAGGATGGGAAAGGAGTTTGAAAAATGAACTTATTGCTGCCAGGCCAGTGATGATCACACCAGACTGAGATTTTCGGGTCCTGTTGTAGAGTTGCCCAACACTCTTCTGAGAAGGTTGGAGCAATGGGGGCGAGCATGCGAAGCAAGGCAGATGTTGCCCACAAAAGGAGAGATTGATCGATGACGACATCTGATACTTCCAGCAGCTTGTTCGTGAGCTTGATGAGGTCTGAGATGATGGTGTTGAGGGCATAGACGTTATGTTCCAGGGTGTGGTTTACGGAGCTGACAGTGCTGGCAACCAAAAGTAAGATGTCAAGGTCTCGGGGCGAAAAATTTTTCAAGTCATGATCGGGCGCGTTGAGTATCTCGACTGTAAGAGGCGCTTTCTCGCAACGAACCCAAAGATCGCCAAAATCTGTCTTTTCACATCCATTACTGCTCGAACCTTTGTAACACATATCGACGACTTTTGCTACCCGGGCGAACCATCGCTGAATGCCAACGATTTTCTCCTCGTCCCATTCGAGGATCTCGCTCACGGGAGCAGAGAAGAGAATATGTGCTCGGGTAGCATCCGCACCCCACTTGGCAATGCAAACGGAGGGATCAACGCCATTGTGCTTACTTTTTGACATCTTTTCAAATGTGATGGCAGGCCTGAGGCCTGAACGTTTGATCATGGGATTTGCAGTTTCAGCGCCGTCAACCTCGGAAGGATGCAGAAAGCGGCCTGTTGCAGGTTCTGAGAAAGTTTTGCCGTGAACCATGCCTTGACTTATAAGTCTCGTAAACGGTTCTACAGGAAAATTTTCACGTTTCTGGTACTGGGGAAGTAAACCTTCGCTGGAAAGGAATTTGTAGATGAAGCGCGCATAGAGTAAATGTAAGATCGCGTGCTCAACACCACCAATGTAAGTGTCCACCGGAAGCCATGCTTCAGCAGCCTCTTTCGAGAATGGCTGCTTGGCATTCTGAGGGTCTGGAAACCTCATGAAATACCAGGAAGAGTCCACAAACGTGTCCATTGTATCCGTATCGCGCTTCGCTGGCTGACGACAAGTGGGACATGTGGTGTTGACCCAGGATTCGATCTGCTCGAGCGGGTTACCCTTCTTGCCCTTGACAGAATCGTCAAGTTTGGGAAGCTCAACAGGTAGTTGGTCCTCAGGAACAGGTACAGCACCGCAGCTTTGACAATGCACAACCGGGATGGGTGTGCCCCAGTATCGTTGTCGACTGATCAGCCAATCTCTGAGACGCCAGCTATCTGCTGTAGATGCAAGCTGGCCGCGACTTTGTAGGTCTGCAATGATCTGCTTGCCGCCCTTATCAGACTTCATGCCGGCATATGGCCCGCATCTTTCATTCAGCACGCCAGGATGTACCAATGCTTCTGGAAGCTCACTGCCAGATGTTACCGTGCGTATTGAAACTGGGTCGTGCGTAGCATCAACAACGACATAAACTATATTTGATGGGTTTTGTTGCCGCCAGAAGGATAGATCCCTTGAATCATGGCCAGGAACGCCCATGACGGCACCTTCTCCATATCCACTCAACACATATGGTGCCACATAGACGGGTAACTTTTCGACCTGAACGCCATCAGGCGCGACTATATCTATGGGGTTTATGGCTTGGACGCCTGGCAGTAAGAAGCCTTCCTTTGAATTGGGGGGTAAGGTGGCAGCACGGCTAAGGAAGTCTCGGAGCTTTGGAAGTCGGTGCGCAAGATCTTGGACAATGGGATGGCGAATGGACAGAGCAAGATATTGAACTCCGAACAAAGTGTCGGGTCGTGTGGTGAATACTGTGACCTGGACCCATGGCGATCCCTCTATACAGACGCCAAACTTGATCTTTGCTCCCGAAGACTTGCCAAGCCAGTTTCGCTGTTGTGTCAAAACCCGCTCTGGCCATTGATCGTGCTTATCTAGCGCATCAAGGTCGCGAAGAAGGGAATCCTGAAATGCAGTAATTCGAAAGAACCACTGTTTGAGCTGAATCTTCTCAACTACAGCTCCAGACCGCCATGATTTTCCATCAGAGTCAACTTGTTCATTGGCAAGGACCGTTTTGTCAATCGGGTCCCAGTTGACTGTTGCTTCAGCCTGGTAAGCCAGGCCACAGTTGTGCAACATCAAGAAAAGCTTCTGGGTGTGTTTATAGAAGGAAGGTGAACATGTCATGAATTCCTACGCACCACATCAGTTCTACGTACATAGGCAATCAGATGTCCACCCGCAAGGCGGGCTACTCATCAAGCTTTAACATACCGTACGCCAATCGAAACAAACTCCCATGCCGGTCAATTGCTCTTTCATATTTGAGATGTTCTGAGTCGTCCACACTCCAGGATCAGCTCCACGCTCAATAGCTGCATTCTCTGCTGGAAGACCGAAGGCATCCCAACCCATCGGATGCAAAACATTATATCCTTTCATGCGCTTATAGCGGGCTAGCACATCGGAGATTGTGTAGACCCGGACGTGTCCCATATGTAACGATCCTGAGGGATACGGGAACATGGACAAGATGTATGATCTCTTCTTCTCTTGTCTGGAGACCGGCTTTTCGCCGTCTGTCTGCCCATCCTTCCATACTGCTTGCGATTTGTCGATATTTTGGTTGGTTGATGTAGACGCAGATCTATGTAGAACAAATCGTGGGTCAGGAAGAACAAGTTGAAAGTGTAAGTTGAACCCTTGCCGCCCACGACATGCGGCAGGCACAGTCGAGAGACGCATCACAGCACGCATACATCGCGCTCTCTGGGCGGACGTTCAGCTTCTTGCCCGTGTATGCCTTGGATACCCAATTCGGGGCAGTACTTATTACTACGTACATCGCTTGAGACCAAAAGGTTAATTCTACCTGCCAAGCTCCGGCTAAGCTGAAATGGATCAAAATTCTTAACTTCACTTCGTCTCAAAGTAGTCGTACACCATAGGAATTAATGATTTTTCGAGCACAGGTATTGTGGACTTACCTCTAGATCGTATGCTCCGTTCTCCACACAGAAAGCGTCCTGAGATCAAGAGAATTTATGATCAAGTCCGGTGGACCAGGAGGCAGCGCGTGCCCTGCCTCGGCCACTGAGTCGGAGTCTTTGTCTCTGTCTCACTAATATCTCCGACGAACATTCAAGACTTCTCCCCAGCGCAGACAGAAAGTACGATGATCTCTGGGGAACCGGAAACGTTCACGCAGCATTGACCATACATGCTCTAGACCTGGCAGATATTCAGACCTCTACGGGGCCTTTACCATGCGCATATTCGTCTTGTACAGCAAGTCAAACCTCTCTGATTATCCGGAAGACTCTAGATGCTTCCCTTATTCGTCATGAGTAGCCGAACAGGATATACAAAAAAGTTCGTAAGAAATCAGAAAACCGAGCTCTCTCCTATGAAGATCTTGGAGCACGAATATGCCACAACATGAAGCGCTGCCATGTCGTCTGGACTTGTCTTAGGACACGAGATGCTGTTCATGTCTGGCGTCGCGAGACAAACCTATTCCAGTCGTGAACTCTCAATCAAGTAAAGCTTCTTCTTAATTTGCCTAGTACTTCGGCGCACTGTCCTTTCCACAATGGATTGCCTCCATTGTCTTTGACGACTCTTCTACTTAGATTCACTATCGCTTATTGTTTATTGTTAGCAGTTTTCCAGTCTATTGACACTTCTCTATTGACGCTTCCCATTTAGATTTCTTCATACACAGTCCTTCATTGACGTCTCCTTATTGACCCCTCCTGCTCAATTACTTGACATCAGTCCTTCGGTTACTGGTTCTTCGACTCTTCATTCTCTCTAAGACCTTTTGCTTAACAGCCAATATCTTGTGCTTCTCACAACAGAACTTACACTTGAGCACTCCATAGCTCTCCCCTCTTACGTTGTTGTGGCTATTCGACTTCTTCATTGACATTCAGCTCCTCCGCAGCCCACTGTCATGGACTATCCTCGAGCACATCTCCTGGGCCTTCCTACTGAAATTCGTCTAACAATCTGGCGCCTCATCCACAACGATATCCTTGCTAGCGTTGACATATATTGGCATGAAGCACCCGTGACCTCTTGGGCTGGTCTTGCTGCCACTTGCCGCGTCATCTACGATGAAGTTTCCGAATTTTGGCCCAGAACCATGGTTCCGTACCACAAAAACCATAGCTCTGCTCGTGCTTACAACACACTCACTAATCTCGCTGGAGGGCTCACGAACTCCTTGTTCAAGGATTTTCGCCGTTTATCTATTCAGCTTCCAATCCAACAGAACAATAAGCCTGAGCAGTTTTTCCGTCAGATCGCAGCCGGATTAACGCAATTGGCGCCTGTGCTCCAGGATCTGCGGATCTTCTTTGTTGGCGAAGATGGACTAGGCATCAACACGAACCTCATGGGCTGTGGCCTCAGAGTGTACAACAACCCTCTGGAATCGTCGAAGTGGAACCTTCGCAAGGAGGGTTCATGTTACGTTGAGAGAAATATTCTATTTCGAGCAGTCAGAAACCTCTACTTTCTCCGGAACTTGGTTGTGTCCAATACCAACTATCCTCTACTCCAATCTTTGATTGGCCACAAACCCGATCTAAAGACCCTACTTCTGGTGACTGACTCACGCTCAGAACTTTACAAGCATTCCGGGGGCCCACTAATAAGATGGCAACCTCCAAATGCACTTCATGCATTGGAGATCAGTACTAATGCAGTTCTTGGTGCGACCGGTATGGTGCTGAAGGTCATGGACAGTCTCCAGGATTTGACTCTCTTAATTCCATCAGCCGAATGGCAGCAACATGACTGGAAGTGGCTGGATCACGCCAGTCTCATCTTTCAAAACATCAGCTTGCGTGGGGCAAATATGCGTCGATTCCGCCTATGCATCGAACAGCCTCTTCGAGAAGCGACGGCGGGAGCCCTGTTAGGTGCTATCAAATTGTACCTTCCAGACACTAACCTGCAGATTCTCGAGATTCACATGACATTACAGTCGCAATATTTTGGGTATGAGCTGATCGAAGCCCTGCCCAAGACGCTGAGACGCCTCTACATTTCACAAGAGCTGGCTTCAGCTAAAGATGTTCTGAGAGGTGTTCGCGATCGATACTTTGGTCAGAAAAGTAGAGGTGGTCATCTGCAAGCAGGAAATCTTGGATTGGTGGGATTTGAATACTGGGAGCGCGAAAGTACGAAGCTGGCCCTACTGCGTATGAACGGCGCACTCCTCGATCGTGAACGCAATGCTCATCTTCTTGATGATCCCGAGGACTCTACTTATCGGTTTGGTGGTGAAACTCCCGGCAAGTTACTTGACATGCCACTCGAGATGGGGGAGGATGCCATGAGCGTGGAAGAAGTACCTGCAGGGGCGCTGATGTACTACGAAGATGAGACGGTACAGCATATTACGCAGATGGAGATGGCATTTCATGCAGAAGAGGTCGCCAAGCCCGAGGATCAGATGCCTTTCCTTGTGATTCCCGACAATGTCGAGGTTGGGGAGAATGATCACTGGATGACGGGTTGAGGGAGAACCATGAGTTCAACAGCTCTGGACAGGTTGTTGTGTGAAATCTGGGTCGATGGGTGGGCTTGTGGAGCTTGACTATGAGCATTTTCCTTATAGATTGGGTGGTTTTGTTACAGCAGTTAATTTCTGGTTTCGTGCTCGAAGCACTGTTTTACTTTTCTCGGGCATATCTGGGTTCTCACGAAATGTCGGCCAGTCCTGATGCGCATGTAGCCGCTTCTTATTTTCCAAAACCACTTCATGTTCTCGAGCAAACAGAGTTCCATCACAGAGGAACGATTTATGTCCAATGGTTCCCGCTTATGAGAAAGTAAAGGCGTACTATGTAGGTCTAAAGATGGCAATGTTACTCCAATCCCACCCAGTAGAATCCTTGCAGGCGGCACACTTTCCATCTCGAGAAAAAGCTTTCATTGAACGAGTACCTTACCAGTCGAGTAGTAAAATTATATCAATATTTTTCCCAGACAGACAGATCCAGGCGGTCCATTTTAACTATTGTTCCAGGTCATCTGATCATGTCTGCTCCTGACACATCAACTGCCACCACCTCACCCAGCCCCGAAACCGCCCCGGCGGCACGGCCGACTTCCTCCAAGGGACCTCGCTCGTCACCCGCTTCAAAAACTTCTACCGCATGGCCACGGGCAGCATGTCCCCGCAGGGCCAACTCGCCTACTGGCACGACGCCGATCTCCGCTACGAAGCACTCGACTGCCGCCGCTGCGAATCGCAGCGCGACTACCTGCTGCAATACTCGCCCATCATCCGCTACCTATCTACCAACATTGCCCAGCTGGGCGGGACCCTCGATGGTACTAACATCAGGTGCAGGAGGTGCGAGCCCCATGAGCGGATGGAGGGCGGGTTTGATCCCAGATACGGGATCAAGCTCTGTGCGAATGTGCTCGAGGGGAGGAAGAAGGTGGAGGATACGCTGGCGCATGAGATGGTGCATGCGTGGGATCATTTGAAGTGGAAGGTTAATTGGGAGGCGGACGGCGGGGATTTGAGAGGCGTGGCTTGTACGGAGGTGAGTTAATCAAAATACCCTGGGTGGTCAGAACTACGAGCTGGGAAGAATTATATGGGAGGGGCTGGGTTGCACGCGGATGCTGACCTGCTACTGTGGTGCGCTAGATACGAGCAAGTTCTCTCAGCGGCGAATGCAGATGGACGAACGAGTTCTTCGGCAACAAGATCCTGAAATTTACAAACCAACATCAGAATTGTGTACGGCGGAGGGCGGTACAGTCGGTGAAGAGTCGACCGCAGTGTAAGAGTGATCTGGATGCCGTCAAGGCGGTCAATGAGGTGTGGGATAGCTGTTTTCGGGATACAAGACCTTTTGACGAGATCTACCGGTAACGTCAATGTGTTGAGTTATTATTGCATCTCTGCTCTATTCGGTTGCATGGCGTTGGATGGGCATATACGGGAGAACGGGAATACCCAAAGAAAGCGTGATTCCAGTGCAGGGACTCGAAAGTTTAGATTCGATTTTGTTTAAGCCATTTCCCTGCCATTCGAAACATCCCCAGCTCTGACGCCCTCTCTGTATGCAAAATAAGACAACATTGTGTCTCATGACTCCAGTGTGTATAATACAAATATAGCAATGGCTCGAAATGCTACGTTTCTATACGTTCAATCCTTCCATCTGTTTAGGAATTTTTGCATAGCACCATCCGTTGGTTGTGCCGCTGCAGCTACCTGTAGAGGGTCAGTTAATGAATCATTCCAGTTGAACACGAGTATTTGCTTACAGTATTTTCGGCACTCTCCACGCTGAATGTAAGGCTTTGGGTGACCGTGGTTTTCTGAGTAGGGATCGCCATCTTCGTAGCCGCAAACTGAACAGCACTGGTTGGATATATTGGCTTTGGATTCTTGCCAGCTGTGATCTTGGTTGGGGGATTCTTCGGCATCGGCGCAAACCTCATCGCGCCAGTCTGCATGGTGTATGTAATCCCATAGTCGCCATCAACTCCCGGGGCATTTCCACCACCTTGCTGATTCGATTGGATGTTGTTTTCTGTTGGAGGACCGTCCGTGCCGTCCACGGTCGCGAGGCCGGCGGTCACCGTCTCAGGGAATGTACCGGTCATGCCGGAGATGGAAAATCGGGGAGAATAGTTGACCACAGAGCCACCTGGAGCGGTGGATATCATCTTGATGAAATACGCATTCTCGACACTCTCGCCCAGGCCAACCTCTACCGTTGACGAGGCTGTGTTGCCGGTGGAGAATTGGCCTGTTGGCACCAAGGTTTTGACTGGGATCTGCAGGTGATCAGAACATGGCCAGAGAAACAAAATGGTGACTCCATACATAGGTACCGGCCTCGTTGCCGCCTGCACATAAGAAAAGCTGATACGAGAGAAGGGTGTCAAGTGCTGGAGTCTCGCCAGAATCTTCCCATTCAATTGTTAAAGAGCCTCCTCCTTTCATCGTGCCGCCTGCTTCTGGCATTGTGAATCTAACGTCTGCAAAGACATAGGGGGCGAGGATGGCTAGAAGCCAGAGACATCGGAGAATCATGGTAAGGAGTGTGGTGTGTTCTCAAAAGAGCGACTTGAAGACGAAACGATATAATGAGATGTAAACCGGATCGGAGGTTCCTGGTTAATTGTCGTGGTTGTTGTTTTTGTGGACTGTGGCTGCACCGCAGAGGAGCACTAACGGGCAAAACCATTGCTACGGCCATCTATAGCAACCATGAATGAAGTCGTACTCCAATTATTGCTGCGACGTCACTGACAAGAAATTCGCTTGCACAAGCAGAGAGTTGTGAGAATGGCATGGTCTGAGCCAGACAGCATACTTTCAAGGCTGCTGTCAGGCAATCCTTTGGCAATTCTGGTCGCCTGTGTGGTTTCGTTCTCTCTTCCACTTCTCTTGCATATTTTTCTTTACCGCGCCTCAAACCGAACCACTGCTACTCCGACATTTTTATTGCTTGGGCCTAGTGGAGCTGGGAAGACATCGTTGCTTACATTGGTAAGGCAAAAACGTCTTCGCGGAAACCACCATTCAGTAATAGAATAAAACTTGCAGCTACAAAAACGATCCACATCAATTGAGAACCCCGAATCATCAGCTACTCGAACATCGCAGAGATCTCAAAAGGCAGATCTCGTGTTGCCCCCTACCGTTCCCCTCGCTTCAAACAAATACCGATCCACGAATGATATCTCCCTACAGGAAGCTGCCAAAAACCCGACAAAGTACCAATTGATTGATACTCCCGGTCATGGCAAGCTACGAGCCGAGCAAGCACTATCATACCTGGGAGAGCCATCATTGCTAGGCATCATCTATGTCGTGGACGCGGCATCGCTAGGGAGCGATGATGGAGCTTCGTTAAAGGACACAGCTGCATATCTGCACGATGTGCTACTTCTGCTACAGCGAAGGAGGACTGGCAAAGGAGGCAGTAAAGCAAAAGCAGAAATTTCGGTATTAGTAGCAGCGAACAAGCAGGATCTCTTTACCGCTCTCCCACCTGGCGCCGTAAGGCAAAGATTGGAGGTCGAGCTCGAGAGAGTGAGACAGTCGAAGAGCAAAGGACTAACAGATGTAGGGAATGAGAGGGGAGAAGATGACGAGAATGATGTGCTGGGTGGAGAACGAGAAGACAGATTCACATTCAAGATGTTCGAAGACGAATATAGCATCAGAGTCGAGGTGGCAGGAGGAGCTGCCCGAGGGGAAGAGGCCGGGAAAGGTGTTGAGAGATGGGAGTATTGGATAGGTGGGTGTCTATAGAACACTGATACCAATTGCATGCATCAACCGAGATGTGCGGATTGCGTTTCTTACGCGGCATATTGCATGCTTAAGCTCAGGTCCAAATGGGCGCTAGTTAGTAGTCGATCTCCAGCTGACCTCTTGGCCATACTACGTAATGATAGTGGCGTATCTTCGGTTATCAGCGGTCCAGCTTCTTGTGTGGTCTTCAAGTCAGTATTCCTACGCACACATACTTGATCCATGCTCTGATTTCACCAGCGTTCATTCAGCGAGCATATTCGAGCTAGATCTCTGAGACAACCAGCTGAGCAGATTATTCGCAATGGGCTCTACCACCCGCTGTCCTGTTGCCCAAGGGGTGCTCGGCTCTATTACAGAGCAGATCGGTCATACACCAATGGTACGATTGAATAAGCTACCACAAAGTCTGGATATCGAAGCTACGATATATGCGAAGCTCGAATTTTTCAATGCGGGTGGAAGTTTGAAAGATCGGATCGCCTTGCGTATGATCGAGGAGGCAGAGAAAAAAGGAAGGATAAAGCCAGGGGATACTTTGATAGAACCTACCAGCGGCAACACGTATATCACTCATTCTACTGCTTTGGCAAGACCGAGCTGACTTCTAAATACCGCAGTGGTATCGGTCTTGCACTAGTAGGTGCAGTCAAAGGCTATAAGACCATCATTACACTCCCCGAGAAGATGTCCACAGAAAAGGTCGCCGTCCTCCGCGCCCTCAACGCAACCATAATACGTACACCTACTCAAGCCGCATTCGACAGCCCTGAGTCACATATTGGCGTCGCCAAACGTTTACAGAAAGAGCTTCCTAACGCCCATATCCTTGACCAATATGGCAATCCGGACAATCCACTGGCACATGAATATGGTACCGCAGAAGAAATATGGGAACAGACAAATGGGAGAATTACAGCCATTATCGCGGGTGCTGGGACTGGTGGTACAATTACAGGCTTAGCAAAGGGTCTACATAAACATAATCCTGGAGTGAAGGTTATCGCCGCAGATCCGCAGGGCAGCATTCTTGCGCTACCCGAGAGTCTGAACACCGAGTATGCGAACGAGCCGTACAAGGTTGAAGGGATTGGATATGACTTCATTCCAGATGTGCTCAACCAGAACGTTGTGGATAAATGGTACAAGACCAATGATCGAGAATCGTTTGCCTATGCACGACGCTTGATTGCCGAAGAAGGTCTTTTGGTTGGCGGAAGCAGCGGCAGTGCCATTGCAGCGATGGTCAAAGCTGTCAAAGAGTTTGGCTTCGGCAAAGGAGATGTGGTGGTCGTGATTTTGCCCGATAGTATCCGAAGCTATCTCAGCAAATTTGTGGACGATGATTGGCTTGCTGCAAACAGCCTCCTCCCGCCAACGCCCCCCGCGACATCGCCCCCTTCGCCGGACTTGAAGGCTACTGGTCGACGATATTCGGACGATACATTTCGTGGCAGTAAGGTACGCGCTCTTAGGCTGAAACCTGTTACTACGGCTACTGCAGACTCGAGCTGTGCCAGTGCCATAGAAACGATGCGGGAAAAAGGCTTTGACCAACTACCTGTGCTAGCACCGACTGGTAGCCGCCTAGTTGGCCTTGTAACATTGGGAAACCTGTTGAGCAGAATCAGTCATGGCAGAGCATCCGCTCAAAGTCCAGTCAGCGATGTCATGTTTGACTTTTCGAAGATCAACGAGATGGTGACGGATTTGAGGGATATCGATTCAATATCTCCTAAGGGAGATGGCTGGGCAAACGGCTATGTTAAAGGCGGAGACGAAACGCCGCGGCCGCAGCAGCTGAGGAAGAAATTTGTCGAGATTACAATGGATACGCCTTTGAGTGTTCTGAACCGCTTTTTTGAACTGCAAAGCGCTGCTATCGTGACGGAGAGAGATCTTGGCGAGAGTACTACGAGCGGGAAGGGAGTCATGAGACCTGTCGCTGTGGTTACGAAAGTTGACTTGCTAACATGGTTATTAAGCCAGGGCAAGATAAAGTGAGCACTTTGTGGTAGTACGGGGAGGTTCTTTCATTGATAACATAGCGTTCGGAATACGGTGATGGTTCCTTTCAGACCAGGCTTTACTCCGCCATTCGTTTCGAGGCGGTAGGCAGGGATAAGCATGCCTTCGGCTTCTTCATACATCAGAGCAGCCTAGCGCACAGCCTTGTCACATCAGGTCCAATATCAACTCGAAGGGTTTTGTTTGTTACAAGGCGGCTCGCACGGCTCTCCAGGTAGGGAGTGCAGCTATACTACTAAGACAACGGGACAAAACCTTGCCAGTGAGGTGCATTAGGCTGGACATGGCTTTAGAAGGAGAAAAAAAGTCAAGGAAAGTCAACTCCGACCAGCTGCGATATGTCATCTAGATCTTACGTATTTGTGAAAAGACCTTTTCACATGCGATCTTAAATGTAGGTGTCATCTTGACTAAGAGGATCGGAGGCGGCGAGGCCAAGAAGTGAAGAGGTTAAGTCCGTGCCAGTTCAGCCTTGCGGTGTCGATCAGTTGATCCACACGGGCGAACTCAAGCCTTGTGACTCGCTGACCCGAGAAGACCGGAAGGCTAGAGGCGAGCACTATAATAAGAGCATAGCCCCAGCTCTCTATCAGCCTCCGTCATTTTTCTATTACTACCGCAAATTCTTTACGCTTCTCAGCTCTCTGTCCTAACTACCTGTTACACCTCAACCTAATCATCGACAGCACAACATGGCAGCTGCAGATTATTATCATCAAATACCAGTTGGCAGCGGACACCAGCCGAATCCTGTACCTATATCGAGGCCACAATACCTATCACCTCAACCAACAAATATATATCCTCAAACACCTCCGACTTCGAATTCAGTGCCACAACAGCCTCAGGCGCCACCACCCTATCAGTTGGTAGAGATGCCCGCAGAGAAGCCATACCCACCAACAGAGCAGCAGTACCAAAGGAATTCCTTCTCGCATCCTGAGAGACCACCTATCTCGCCGTGGAATACCTCATACAATCAACCCATGCCACCTGGTCACGAACGAGATTACTACCAGAAATACTCACCAGCACCACAACCGTACTCGCAGCAACCACCACAACCATTGTATCAAATTCCGCCTCCACACCTTCGCCCTTATCATGCCAACGCTTCATCACCCAACCTGGCACAAGGCTATCATTCGGATCCAGAACCGCATAGGCGACGGCGCACACGGAAAAAGAGTGCGTCACGATCTACAACTGCCGATGGGTTTCTGGGAGCCGCCGGTGGCGGCCTCATAGGTGACATGATCTTTCCTGGTCTGGGAACGCTTGGAGGTGCTGTCGCCGGATACTTCGGTGGAAAGGACTACGGCAAGCACAGAAAGCGGAGAGAAAGCTTGCATCGGGAGACACAGACACAGTGGGAAGCTAGGCATGGGAAAAGAGGGCATAGCGGAGAAAGGAGACACTCATGAGCTATTTCGTCATGGGCTTACTTGGCGATCATGGAGACATGACACTTTATGACACTTTATGACACTTTATGACACTTTATGACACTTTATGACTTGTAAGATATATATAGGTTGAGCGCATGATCGCTTTATCACACAAAGATGGCAGGCCATCTACATTATCCATACCTACGGAATACTTTTACTAGTAGTGATTGCTTCAGTCTTCTGCCAAGTATCCTGTGACACGGCATCAGCCACTGCAAACGGATGATACAGACTCCGAGTCCGAGTCGTGCACAGCTCACCAAGACGCCAAGGCTGTTGATGCCAAGCTTGTCAAGGCACTAGATGGCATGGTGATCTTTGCATGCTGTCTGATTTGTGAAGCTTTTGGTTTCTCATGTGGAGGGCATGTTCCCACACCAACCAAGTTTTGAAGCCTGATGGGTCCCCCTACCCGCATGGTGGAGTTGAAAGGTCGAGGCAAGAGGAAGAGAAAAGAGCCTCGAGCAGCGAAGATATTAAAATCTGGTGAACCAAGACCACGAGGCCGACCAATGATGACTGCTTCCGATCTCAAGAATAAGAAACATAAGAGAGCCTCTCCCAAAAGCGCTCTTCCAGTGAACAAACAATCATGGCTCGAGAGGCTTCCAGTGGAATTGCTAGAGCAGATCTTCCTCCACTCACTGGAAACCAATATGGCTCTTGCTTCCCCATTTCTATGCAGGGTACTTTCCAAAGAGTCAATTTACCGAGTCATGATCTTGTTTGCCTTTTTTGAAGATGATGAGCAGCATCCTGTAGAAGAGAAGCATTTTGCACCAGCCGCTTATAGAGTTCTAGGCGCGGAGGAGAGGTTACGTTTACAGAAGGGGGTTCTGAATTCTCGATGGTGTACCCTCGCTCGAGTCGGGCACTGCCTACCTACTCTTACACGTCTGCTTATCGTGCAGGAATGGCACAGGCATAGAGAAAGGGAGTGTAAACAGCAAGAAGACCTGGTCTCTCAGGATGGGCACGATCAGCAACGACCGCGTGTACCGATGTGTCCTCCTCTAGACGACGAATCCGCCGGCAGTAGATTCGCCAACATTGATGATAGTGTCCGCGTGATTTACCAGTTCCAGGTTAATGCATTCCCCGCCAAAGGTCACCTCTACAGCAATATCTCATATGTAGACTATCTACCTAATCGACTCGTCAACCCGGTCTCCTGGCACAACAGCACCGAACCCAACAGCGACAATGCTCAACCCCTCGCGTTCCTTAGACTTCTTTACAGCGTGCTTGGCAGCAACTTCCTGGTTGATGCCTTCTCTCTGTATTGCGGTATCGAACCGGCTATTCGAGAACGCAATCACGACGCAGGGTGTTCGGTTGATGTCCCCTCTCTGTGTCGCGGTATCGAAACTGCTGTTCGAGAACGCAATCACGACGCCCTCGACCTCCTGCTGGAGATCTGCTACTCATTCAACGACAATAACACAGATGACCAAGGTGCTAGGGCCCTTGACCAGCTCCCTGTCGGGATAATACATCGAGCTACCAGGCAGGGTGACGACAGCGAGTGGATCCTACATTTGCTATTCAGATACAGTGAACTCGACGGAACCATAACAGTACCGAAGGATGACAAAGTGCTTACCAAATGGGCGCTTGAGCAGTCAAAGGCTGGAAGTCAGTTTGCGATGTGGTTGTTGGAGGTGCTTGGGGCTGAGGGCGCTGATATGCACGCTTTGTGGGTTGTGAAGCCTGGGATATCCTACTAGCAGGCAGGGTACCAACTCTTGCAACATAGATCTCGCTTTTCCAAGACATCACGTGCATGCTTTCAGTCAGTTGGAATGTGCACGGATACTACACTTGAAAACTCCACTTTGAGACTACATACAGACCAGCCACTTCAGAACTGGAATAACGCTGCCATGGGTACAACAGACGTGCGTACGTCTTGCTCTGAAAGGAAGCTGGCTAGCTAGCGAGAAGCGGAATGTTTAGAAACCTGAGATAGAGCGTCTGAATAGATGACTAGGGGGAGCATTCTCCTTGGGGCCTTTACATACATGTGCTACCATGTCAATTTCCGGCTCGCTTGACTTCTAGAGTGAAGGGAATTGCACAAGGACTCCATGGTGGTGGTGGTGGTGGTGGTGGTGGTGGTGTCGTGCAATGTTATGGCAACTTGAGCAGGAAGCGGGCTTGTCTGCTTGGTTGTATGCTCAATATTCTGTTTGTAGTTATGAAGACCACAGAGGTTTAGTGTGGAGGGCGTGCGTAGACGTGGAGGACAAGACCAACGCCTTGTGAAGAAGAGGAGAGAGAGGAGGTTGTTGATCTCAATTCCACGTTCCTGGTCTTTTTGATATAATGCTAGCGGGCTATGAACATGGTGTATTCGAGTAGTTGAAGGTATGTTCTGTCTACAGAACAGAGTGATTCGGGTATTTGTCCTATCGCATAGTAAGCATCCATCCACCAGCCAGCCAGCCAGCATCGGAGATCGATGTCAAAGAATCAAGAAAGAATCGAAAAGTAAAACTCACATAATAACCCGGCGGCATCCACCTCCCCTTCTTCACCAATCTAGCCACATACTCATCAATCTGCGGCGCGGCCGCGGCAACCTCATCCACCGTCGTCTCCTCCCACGGCCTCGCGCCCTCGATATCGCCCAACGCCTTCTCCAGACTCCTCAGCTCCACCTCGACCTTCTCCTTGGTCTCCTCCGCATTCCGCATCGCCACCTTCTCGAACTGCTCGATCGCCGCCAGCTGCTTGTTGACGTCGTACGTGACGGGCTTGAAGGATCTGAAGTGGCCCTCGATCTCGTCGATGACGGATTGGTTCTTCAGGACGGAGCGGTAGTGCGCGAAGTCGACGGTCTGGGGCGCTTCGGACAGGGCTTGCACCTTGCGGCGGGCATCGTCGTTGCGCTTCTTGAAGGCCGCGAGCGAGCTGGCCGTGCTGCCGCGGAGGCCCAGTTGCGTTCCTAACTTGCTCCAGTCGAGCTTTGTGCCTGCTCGTGACTGCGAGTTTTGTTAGCTGCACAGGTTCAATTGTCAATTATAACGGAGCTTCAGCATACTGCTGCGGCCATGATGGCGGTATTTAGAGTTTTTGGGAAGAGTGGAGGGTCGAGGGCGAGTGCTTAAAGCGTATTTAATTGTGAAGTTCGTTATAGTCTTACATAGGCTCAGCTACCGCTGGGCTGGGCAGCGGTAGCGGTCGCTGCTCCTATCCAACAATCACGTGATCTATAATTTATCACAGACATTCTTTGTAGGCAAAGACGTTTAGTAGTAATAATATCCGATTGTACAGCTGCACAGTTATCGAGAGCTCTCTGAGAGTCACTCTTTCTTACAGTGCACTACAATAATGTCTTGAAGAATAGCTGTTGCATGGACGATTGACGATGGCCGAATTTTGTGGCTAACTTTACGGAAACGCAGTCATCCCCCAATTTGTCTTCTCTGCCTATCATACACTCAATGCCATGATAGAATTGACTATGTCATTCCCGTTCTCTTTCAAAGCTTTGACAGCCTTCTTCCTCGAAACATTGGCCTGGGTCATCACAAGCTCAATGTCCTTGCTTTCCAGTCCAGTATCATCAACTTCCTCGTCGTCATCGTCATCCTCTTCGGGCTTCTTGGCTTCCTCTTTGCCCTTTCCGTGATCGTGGTCATGGCCGGCATGATCATGGCCGGCATGGTCCCCAGAGTTGGCATTCTCTGCTGCGGCGAGCTGTTGGGCAGCGTTTGCTTGAGCTTGCGAGTTTAGATCTTCAATTTTGGCTTCGCCAAAGATACTAGATGCTAATCAGAAACTGTTGTTCTCTAATGGCCTTGTGACTCACATCCAGGTATTGCTCGAAGGAGAACGGTAGACATCAGGTTGGTTGATGACGAAGAGAATCTTACTCCACGTCAGTTTAAGCCCACTATGCAGATGCAGACCTCGGGAATGAAGATCACGTATCACCCATAGATTCTCACGTATTGTGACTTACATTCTTTGGTCTTCTCAGGGTGACGCGAGTTATACCTGGAACATGCTTCAGGCCCAACTTTCCGATTGCTTTTCTTGCCTTCTTCTCGTTGCGGCTATGAACTGCAACGGATGATCCAGCTGGTATGGTTGGTTCACCCTCGTTCGCGCCAGCCGCGTCGATTTCGGAGTCGGACGAGCTATCAGCATCTTCAGCAGTCACGCCGCCCTTCTTAGTATCAGGCTCATCGTCTGGCAGTTCTTCCACTCTTGGGTTTGCCATTGTCTAAAGAGTGGCCGGGGACAAGGATCAACGCCGGATGGAGCCTGCTTCACTGTCAGTCACCAGAAGATGTGTAGTAAGTGATTTGACTAGTATATAGAAAATGGTAGGAAGACGGAACAGATTCCAAGGACATCGCTTCACAGGAAACAAAACATAGAAAGCGACGTCCAAAAAGGCATGCGGACATACCTAAGCTTGCTTGGGGGGAGACTTGGGGCTGGCTGGTCAATTTTGTAGTTACTGGAGCTGTAGCTGTGTGAAGTGACGGACGGAGCTTGACAAGGCAAATTCTGGGCCGCACTACGATTGGCTAACGACTTACATTTTATGTATTAGACTATTCCCATGCGACTTACATATGTACACGCCTCTGAATTGTGGTGCTTTTTGGTATTTACGGAAATTAGGCCATTAACAATACTGAAGAAAAGGTCATGGGTAATATGCAAGTATGCTTGCTTCTACTGACTTGCGAAAATGAGGTATCTCAATGTGCAGCGCCAAAGAGCATTGGGCAAGCAATTCTGGCACTGGTATCGTAATAGCATGTGAAGAATCTGGCATAGCAGCGTTGCTTGCTTTTAGCCAGAGAGTGACAGACACACCGCAGGATCATGATGAACCTTTCCCCCTTGCCTCTCAACCATGCTTTCATTTCGATGATGCCCGTAACTTCGCAGCGGTCTTCCGTACCTCAACCCGCGCCTGTAAGCTTATTAACGGACTGCCTCTTCGTAGACGAGAAATTGGCGGTCACTATTCCAGATGACACTTCCGGATACAGAGACATTGGACGGGAGTATATTGTTGTCGAGACATACCTGCTTCTTCAACCTCATGACCTTAAACCTCTCGAAGTCACCAAGATTCTTCCTCCGCTCCTGTGTCTCCTTCTTCTTTGCCCAGCTGCTCTCTGCCCATTTCTGATCAATCTCATTCTTTTCCCATAGTCTTCGTACTGGTCCAGTTCCGGCTGCTCGAGGAAGCTTGGGGATAGTGAAGGGTGTCATAGTGACTTTGTCGAGCTGGATGGCATGTCGAGGAACAACTGCGCCTTCTTTGCTGGAAGGGCCGTCTACCAGAGCCTACAATTCATTCAGATAACGATCTCACGGATTTAGACGGCCCTGCGTACACGCTTGTGGTCGATAATCTCAACAATTGTAGCAAGTTTGCCGGCATGAGGACCGCTTCGAAGTAAAACCACTCGCCCAACTTCTACAAGCTTCCACCCAGCTGGTTTGATGTCGATTTGGGCCATGGCGAAGATTAATCCTAGATGAATTGTCAGTCTGCTTTCTGCCTGGATGCGCATGCGCTAAGTGCTTACGTTCGTCACAGTGTTGGTTGTCTTCTGTTGTTGTTCTGGCCCAAGAAAGTTGAGGTTCATGTTGAGGTTCATGTTAACACGAAAAGTTCTTTAGGGCTCAGGGCTTCCGACATGCCAAGATACAAGGCTTGGCGTCATAAGTTTGCTTGGAGGTCAGAGTTCTTGACAGTTCGACAGTAAATTTACCAATTCAGCCTACTTGAAAAACCTTTCACTCTCCAGAGCTCTTAACATCATGCGAAGCTCAAGTCCGCTAGTGTATATGTTCAGCTGAAGGCCAGTAAAACCCAACGTCCAGCCCAGGGAGGAGCAGACTCCGCGACAGGGATCTCATTGGCATCTAGCTAGAGTAGAGGTAAGTCTTTTACTGTCCTTTCTGCATGATTTTTATGATGTTATAATTTGCGATTGAACTTGGCTCGTGGAGCTCTTGCCGGAGATTCTATACGTTGCTAAGGAGATGATAAACATTCTTACATATGCTGAAATTCTGTTCCCCATCCAAGTTTACCTGGTGTTTCACCTTCTAGACTTTTGACTGACACCGAATTCCCAGGTAATGATCGTAGCATTGATAATATGCCACATCCTCTGTTTCATCCACCTCACTCAATGAAGCTATCCGGACAATGATAATCAACCTGGGGGTCATATCGTGGTCAGGGTGTCAAATGAGGACTAACTGCAGCCCAGTGGCGCCCTTATCTGTGCTCGGAGCTAACGTGGGCATTCCCAAATGTGGTAAGACGATGTATAGAGGTACGTGTGGTGTCTTTCCTCGCTCTCAATGTGCCCAAGGATTACAAAAATTTTGCTACGATAGTACATGATCCCCCTTTGGGAGATGATCGTAACCTTATCACCAAGATCTCTGAGGACGTTTTTCTTATTAAATTTTTTACCTGCTTTTCTGCCGTTACGCTACTTACTTATGGCAGGTAAATTTCAACCATCGGATTGTCCAGAAAGGTAAGAATTGTTTGATCGATCGCTCGCCGTGTAGCTGGAGGTCTTCTCGTATTTGCAATCGATCTCATGAGTTTGTCTAATATCAATCTGGCTTTTCGAGCAAGAAGATTCCTCGGTTACATCTCATCTCGGACAACATAAGTATCCTTTTGGAGCAATTTAATCTATCTCATATTTCTCCAAAGATCCATTGCGTTGGCCTCTGGCTTTGTGTGTTTCCTTTTCTGCGTTGTGCAATAACAACTCCTTCTCACGAACACAACAACCGTCGTTGTGTTTGAATCGCCCCTTCTATAATTGCCCTTGACTCCGTAGGCTGTTGATAGCGCGAACTCTTCAGTGACTCGTGACACCCAGCGTTTACACCCATCAAATGCCTTTTGATGCCTTCAGCCCTGCGTCCAAAACTTTTCCCGTCCCATACAACCCAGACCCACGAAGTATCTTCTTGTGCGACTTTCTGTCTTTCCTCAATATCAATATACAATCACGCAACAAACTAAACTCTTTTACCATGGAAACCATTCCCTACCAACGCCAGCGTCCCCTACCACCACCACTAGCCAGACAGAGACGATACCTGATACTCCTCATAATCGTCTTATCAGCAGTAATCGGCCTCGCATTCCTCGCCTCGTCAATCACCATCCTCCAACCGCTTAACCACACAAGTCCCCACTCCAGTATCCTACCGCGTGACTGCATCACATGCTTCACCTCCTCCGGACAAGCCTACTGCTGCCAGAACGGACCTCCAAAGAAGCATGTCCCCGTCGCACTGATCGTGGGACTCTCCGTTGTGCTGGGCGTGCCGCTACTGATCGTCTTGTGGTATGTTTGGTGCTGTTGCTGCTTTGATGCTTCGATGGCTTGAGGTGCAGGGACGAGAGCAGTCGCCACATATGACCATGCATAGACTTTGTGGGCGGAGTTATGTAGAGATGTTGATTTTGGGGGATGAGGAAGCGGAACTGCTTATAAAGTGCTGAGTTGGGGCTGACCTAGGTAGCATGGTTGGGCGATCAACAATGAATGCACGGTCCACAAGCTCATGAAAAATCCTCAATGGCTTTTTAAACTGTTTTTGTGTTTTGGCATTTGAGAAGCTGACTACCAGATCAATCTCCCTGCCTCCAATCACGGGCAACGCTTGTCAAATTTTATGCCTGCTCACTGCTGCTTCAGCAAGCGTGTGCTCTCGTGCCTATAGAACGCCTGCCTCATATATACAAGCGAAGGATATGAAAATTTGTGCTTTTCCGTTTCAGCTTTTACGTTTCAAGCCATAGCAGTCTCTTGTGCGACCTGCTCAACCTCAATCTTTGGCATAGATGCTCCAGTGCCACCGAGATCTGTAGCCCTAGCCTTAGGATTCTTGGTGTAGTAATTCGAAATGGCTGACTTGATAGCATCTTCAGCCAACATCGAGCAATGCACTATTTTCATCCACCATTAGTATCAACCCACAAGCCAATTAAATAGTGCATAGGAAGTACTTACACTTAACAGGCGGCAAACACAACTCCTTCGCAATCTCTGTATTCCTGACCTTCCCTGCCTGCTCCAATGTCATCCCCCTAACCAACTCCGTCAAATAACTACTACTCGCAATCGCGGACCCGCAGCCAAACGTCTTGAACTTGACATCGGAGATTGTGTTCGTCTTCCCATCGACCCGGATCTGCAGTTTCATGACATCGCCACAGGCCGGGGCGCCGACCAGTCCGGTCCCGACATCCGTGTCGTTCTTGGCCATCGAGCCAACATTTCGGGGGTTCGAGTAGTGGTCGAGGACTTTTTCGTGGTAGGCACGCTTCGCGGTGACGAGAGGAGCTGGTCGGGAGATGCTGGGTGATGCTAGAATTGGCCGGGTAGTGGATGTTAGAGCTCGATTGGCGGAGCGGGGGATCTGGAGGAGAGCACGACGCATCATTGTGATGGATGGTGCTGTAGTCTTGTATAGTGCTGTACTTTGAAGAGACAAGCTTGTTGGATCTGATCTTTGAGCGATGATATTCTCAAACGAAAAACGTTGTTCGTGGAATGAAATGGTGGAATTAAGTAAGAGTAAAGAAGTTCAAATTTCTTTGCCGTTCGATATGACGATGTATCTGCAATGAGCTAGCGCCACTGGGTCTTGGCATAGAAACGCGCATCTGATACTGCATAACTCCGTGACGCGACTCCCTTAGCTATTCAATGAAAACACAGCAAGCCTCTCAAAACGACGAAAGATCGATATCCAATCGCCTTGCTCTGCCCACAGCTTCTTACCCTGAGTATGGCGCCTCCACGAACTCAAAAGCGCAAGCCAGGTCCTCAAACCTACGAATCAGACGACGGGTTCATCGCGAACGACAGTGAGACTTCGGACAGACCCAACAAGCGTTCAAAGACCTCGAAGTCACAGAGCAAATCCACTCACTTTTCCACTCCCGGTCAGTCACAGGTCGACTCCGAAGGTAACCAGTATTGGGAGATCTCCAGGATGAGAAGAGTGACCATCTCCGAATTCAAGGGAAAGAGGATGGTGAATATCAGAGAGTTCTACGAGAAGGACGGCAAGGATCTCCCTGGAAAGAAGGTACGTACAGGCTGAAGTCTTATTAGACATGGCGCATTGACATGATTTATAGGGTATCAGCATGACAGTCGAGCAGTATTCTGCTCTGGTGGACATCATGCCGCAGCTTGAGAAGGCACTTGAGGAGAAAGGCGAGCACATTCCAAGACCGAAGTACGATATTGCTGCTAGTAATGCTCCAGCGCCAGCGCAGACCGAGGAAGACGATGACGGAAGCGAAGCAGAACCAGAACGTGTGGAGATAAAAGTAAAGAACGCGAGGAGAAAGAAAGCAAATATCGAAGCAACCAGTGACGAAGAGGAAGCTGATGACTGAATATGGGTACGACGGCGTTTGGCTTCATCGAACGGGATACCCTAGGAAACTATACTTCGAGGTGGGCACTCCAGTACGTCTTGTCAAAAGGATAGCCACTGCAGAAGATGCATGCAACGGACTAGACTGGTCGTCTACATGCCACAGTGTTACTAGCCAGCCTCACAGACCAAACTGGGCTCTAACTTCATTTTTTCACTCTCCTAAACACTAGTCTCCTGAGTCTCTTGCCTGTAAGCAAGACTTCCCTTCCTCCAACTCTGCTCATGGTCTTTCCTCTGTTCGATCTTCCTCTCATCTCCAACCTTTCCATACCCGCCGCCACCTGGAGTCATCACGATAATTCTCTCGCCAGGTTGCATGCTGGCGGTGTTCTTCGCTCCAAGATTTATATGCCGTTCCTCGATCTCGTCGGCATTCTCACCTCGACCTCCTGTCATCACTTTCCTGACCCATATGTTGCGTCCACACGCTGCGTCTTCCCCACCATGGAGACCATAAGGATGGAAAACTCTTCTCTCCGATAGGATGGAAACCTGCACCGGTATTCTAAACTCAATATCTCGGATCACCCCGTTACCACCTTTATGCTGCCCATTCCCACCAGTCCCGGCGCGCAAACTGAATTCTCGCAACAGGACTGGATACCTCCGCTCAAAGACTTCAGCATCTGTGATCCTCGTATTCGTCATATGCGTATGCACTCCACTCGTTCCCTCCCAATCAGGACCAGCTCCACTGCCTCCAGCGATCGTCTCATAGTATCCGAATCCCTTCAATTCTTTCTCTCCAGACTGGTTGCCACCGAAGCCGAAAGTCAGGTTGTTGCAATCTCCTTGGGAGGCAGCGCAGGCCTCGAAGCATCGGAATATCACATCGGTAACCCTCTGCGAGGTGAGCACGTTTCCTCCAACCACCGCTGCTTTCTCTGATGGACTCAAGAAGGACTTCTTCGGGATCCGTACGTCTATTGGCTTCAAACAGCCTTGATTCAGCGGGATGTCTTCGCTAATCAGGCATCTGAGACAATAAATAATGGCTGAATAGGTGACTGCCTCTGGTGCGTTGATATTGCCATACACTTCTGGCCCCGTGCCCTCAAAATCGAAGATTGCTTCGCCTTTCTCGGCATCGATTATGATCTTCAACTTTATGGGACTTCCATCATCCATAAAGTCAATGGCTTCCAGCGGCTTCTCACCGAATCGCTTCGCGACATCTTTGAGCAGGTTTCGCACACTGAGCTCCGCGTTATCTTGTATGCTGCGCATGTAGAATTGAACAACGTCTTCACCGTAGTCCTCTATGAGCGTGGAGATGAGGTTTATGCCTTTCTTGTTTGCGGCAATCTGTGCTTTGAGGTCGTTGATGTTGTCTGCTAGGCACCTCGTGCCACTGCACTCGGGATACTGGGCTGGCTCATTGTAGAGCAGCTCAGTGATGCGCTGCTCATTGAAAGTACCCTCAGAAACAAGCTTTTCAGACTTGATAGCGGCACCCTCCTGGAACAATTCTCGAGAGTAAGGGGGCATTGATCCTGGGAGGATACCACCGATATCGGCGTGGTGGGCTCTTGATGCAACATAAAAGACAATTTTGTCCCCGGAAAAGGCTGGCGTCAAGACAGTGATATCCGGTAAATGTGTGCCGCCATACTCTGGGTGGTTCGACACAATCACGTCGCCGCGCTTCAACCTTCCCTTCCATATTTCGGCCTGAGTCCGCACGCATGTTGACATGCTTCCCAGATGTACTGGCAGATGGGGAGCATTTGCAACCAAGCCGCCGCTTGCGTCAAACAGTGCGCAGGAATAATCGAGACGCTCCTTTACATTCGTGCTGACACTTGTCTTCTGCAAAGCACGTCCCATTTGCTCTGCAATGGCCATGAATCGATGCGCAAATATACTTAGCATGATGGGGTCAACTTCTTTGGCATTGACATTAACACCCGCACTCTCATCTCCAATGTTGATAACAACGTGAGTTTCAATCACCAATGCCGAAGCCTCAGGGGTGACGACAATAGTTTGAGTACCATCTGCAACAATTGCAGGACCTTTTAGCCGATCCCCAACATCGAGATCTTCGAGCTTGTATATCGGTGTATGTCTTCGCCCGCCTTCGAAGTATACCTGAGACTTGCCATACTGCTTCTGGCCTTCTATATCCTTAGGCTTGATCTCTTTGAGTTGCTGGTCAACAGTTTTCTCGAGTCCTTCGAAGCTCCGGCCTATACCTCGTACGCGAACGTCGTCAACAATGATATCTCGATCTGGAAGGGTGAAGCCAAATTCCTGCTCATGCTGCTTGACAAAAGCTTTCCCAAAGGCCCAATTATCACCATCATATCCTTTTTGGGAATCCTCCGAGCTTGGTCGAATAATCATCAGAGCAGATTCTGTTCCGCGGTAGCGCATGTTGAGATACTCTTCAAAGACTATTGCATCCTCTGTGAAACCCTGATCCTGGAGCTTTTTTGTAGACCTTCGCTTCAGCTCTTCCATTTTCTTACTGAGCACCTGCTTGGCTTTGCCGGCCTCGTCCCAGACCTGTGAGTCTGGCTCTTGGCTTTCGTCAACAACGTCAGCTAGAGCCATGCCATATGCTGACAGGACTGAGGAGTAGCGGTGCACAAGAATTTGTCTAATTCCAAGGCTCGCAGCTATAGCCACAGCATGCTGACCACCTGCACCGCCAAATGTGGCAAGACGATGCAGTGAGGTATCATGTCCTTTAGCTTCAGTCAATGATCTAATGGGCCGTGTCATAGTCTCATTAGCAATCTGGATAAAGCCATAGGCGACCTCATCTGCGGTCATGTTCTTATTAGTTTCCTTGTTGATTGTTTCTGTCAGCTCCGTGAAGAGTCTCTCGCTAGCTCGATCATCCAAACCTTCATCTTCATTCTTACCGAATATTTTGGGGAAAAAGTCCGGAAGCAGGCGACCAAGGAACAAATTCGCATCTGTAACAGCAAGAGGTCCTCCTTTGCGATAGCATGCAGGACCTGGATGTGCTCCGGCGGACTCTGGACCTACCACGAATAGACCATTCCGGAAGAACAATCGAGATCCTCCGCCAGCTGCCACAGTGTTGATATCAAGTTGTGGTGATTGTATTGTCACCCCAGCCGTTGTGGTCTCAAATACATGCTCGTACCTGCCTGAGCCATATCGACTGACGTCTGTGCTCGTACCACCCATGTCAAAACCAATAACCGGCGTCCTTGTTTCAGGATCGTATGAGGTCAAGGCGTAACCTACCACTCCCCCAGCTGGGCCAGAAAGAACAGCTCGCAATCCCGAGAAACGATCAACGTCGACGAGCCCACCATCAGATTGCATGAACTCGCATCTAGCGCCTTTGGCTCCGCCCTCCTTGACGCTCGCTGTGCCAAGACCACCCTCGAAGCCTGCCTGGAAACCAGTAATGTACTTCTTGATGGCGGGCGTCAAGTACGCATCAGCACAGGCAGAAGTAGCTCGAGGTACCAGTTTGATCATGGGCATCAATTCATGACTTAGACTGACATGTTTGAAACCGATCTCCTTGGCCAGTCTGCCTACCAGAGCTTCATGGTGTGGAAAAGTGTATCCATGCATCAAACAAACGGCAATGCTGCGGAAACCCTCGTCATGCAAAGCTTTGAGCTGAGATCTGACAGTATCTTCCGAAGGCCGCTGCAGTACCCGTACGGCCTCGGAGGATAAGCCTCGTACCAATTCACTGTCGTTCGCTCCTGGCTCAACTTTCGTGATATTCCTCTCTGGGTCTTCGGCATAGTCCTCGAGTGTCACACGCTCGTCTATCTCAATGACTTTGTGATAGAGTACATCCGGTCGGCGGATGGCAAGATCAAAGATCTTAGGACGAGACTGGTTGCCAATCTCCAGGCAATCCTTGAAGCCCTTGGTGACCACCATTGCCATCTTCTCACCTTTCCTCTCGAGCAACGCATTGGTAGCAACAGTAGTCCCCATCCGTATACTTTCGATCGGTGATGTGTCTAGAGCTTCGCCCCGAGGGATCTCACGACCTGTGAACCTGGACAGGAGTCGCCGGATTCCCTCCAGGGGTGCGTCGTCGTAGTTAGACGGGTCTTCAGAGAGAAGTTTAATGATAATGTCATCTTTCATCTTTCCCGTCCCGGAATTGCCGACACAGTCTGTAAAAGTGCCACCGCGCTAATGTCGTAAGCAACCATATTCCTGAGGAAAGAGCAGCTGGCCTTACATCAATGGCGATGCGCACGCCTTTCCTTGAGGCACCCATTTTCTACTCAGAAAAGTAGGCCTAGAGCTGTCCGTTCGCGCTTTTGTAATGAGTAAACTACTGAACTATAGAGATTAGGCGGCGCTGCTTGTGAAGAAATATAATGGTGCTACGTCGCGGACATAAAGTGATGCATAGGTTATGGCGCCTGCTTGGTGCTTGAAAATCCAACCCCACAAGCTAGGAGCGCTGCACGAGATACTTAAACGATGATGCAGAATTGAATCATTGTAATAGTATAAGTATTGCTGTATCCAGCGTCATTGTACATTCAAAACCCTATGCGAGTAGCTGTGGTGTTACAAGCGGTATGGGTAGAGACTAGATTTCGTCATAACTATTGCCAAGATCTGCCGAAGAGGAGGGGGTGGGGACGGTCTCAGGAGTTCATTGCCCCCCCAAGGAGAGTTTGTACCTACCCAACAAAATAGGGGAGCGTACTTTGCAATTCATAGTAAATCCTTCGGTGTACGGAGTACAGAAGATCTACCCCCTTTACCCCTCAAGCCCATGTTTGTGTGACTCAACTAGTATGCTGGCATCATTGATTATACCACTTATTAGGAAGAGGCCCTCTGAAGTTGTGTCTAGATTACCATCAATGTGTGCTTAGTTTGGGCCTAACCGTGATATAATCTGATTTGTATAGAGGTACTAAGTACGGTAGAAGGATAATTATCCCTAGTATGGAATTGTGATTTTGGACATCTTCTTTCTAAATCTATAGCATATGACGATCAAGTTATCATTACTACGTAGTATCCGAGCTCTCCGATGATCCATACTGGTATAATGGCAAATCATCTGCTAAATCGCTGGGAAAGCAACACACTAAAAGGTTAAGCTTGGCAGGCCACTCCGACGCCAGGCCGCTGCCCTTTAATTGGCTGGCATCGTCCCCATTCGTCCGTCTCAATCACCAACAACCAGCTTCGATTTTTTAGGTGCCCGATTTTACGCACGAAAGCGTCCTATGGCCACAGACACTATACTCATTTACAGGCTGTAGCAATGATAAGTCGGATCTATTATTGTCCCGGACACCCAACTGTTGGTCCGGATAGTCCGTGACTTTCGAGATGTCCAAGTATATAACGTGAAGGTTGATTCTGATGGATATCCACCTCATCATCACTTCTTCCAAACGATATCACCATACCTCAGCAGTCCTTACTGCTTTCAATCACCATGTCTCATCTACAGTATTTCGACTACGAAGGATTTGGTCAGAGGGTAAGGAAGGATACCCACTACAGCCAGGCTGTTCGACTCGGAGATACTATTGAATGTTCCGGCCAAGGTAAATTTAGCAATTTTACTCCAGATCAATACCTCCAAAACATGTCCTTTTTATGGAATCTGACAACATGAAAATAGGCGGATGGGACCGCGTTACCGAGGAGATTCCAAGCGACTTGGCCAAAGAGATCGACCAGGCATTTGCGAACGTCGAGCATGCCCTGCAGCAAGCCGGCGGGAAAGGCTGGGAGCAGGTCTACAAGATCCGCTGCTATTTTTTGAACATGGATGCGGCTGAGCACTTGGTTCGCAATCTTCGAAACTACTGCCCGAACCATCAGCCAATATTGACTGGCATTGGCATCCAATCATTCGCACTTGATGGCATGCGTGTCGAGATCGAGGTCGCAGCTCACCTGGGCTCTTGATCTCGCCATGAAATTCAGCATCACGCCAGGCGAGCAGGACACATGGATTGTCGAGGGAAGGACATCTCGCCCGTGAAAGGAAGTCCAAAAGTGAAGCGTCTCCTTTTCTCGCACTTCCTCTCCATAAATACTGGATGAAGGCCTATATGAGCTGGGGGGGGGCGGATATTGTGCCTATCCTGCCAGGCCGTCAAAATGGACAAAGTCGGAGTACATATATACAGGGGAAAGTGACATATTGATAGTCCTGAAGAGGAAGCTCATGACACAGGCGCTCTCCACCAATGGCCCAAACGGGTTTGCAAATATTGAGTGGTGTGAAGAGGAGCTATATAGGCCATATTGCCCTATCCAGAACCAGGCTATTTCCAACCGCTTCAAGCCTTGCTGTTGCAGCTTCATAATTGTTGATATTTGGTCTCCCCAACAGCTCTTAGTCTGATCAGAAACTTAGGGATGTGAATGCAGCATCGCATGTCTCGTTCTTAGAATGAGATCCAGAGTGACCTGTAGTATGTTGTGGATCAGGACGGGTGGTTGGCTAGCAGACCAATCTTGAGATGGAATTCAAGTAGTTTCATAAAACAAGGAGATCGTGTTTTCACTCTACAAACCTTTGTAAGGGCCCCAGAACATACTTAGCCATTGAAGGTGGTTGTCGAAGAAACTTACTTCTTGTAGCATGCTCTTCCACATGGGGGGTGGATTGGGAGGCCTTTGCATTGTCAATTTGTTCCTTATCCTAGATATACCAACCTTCGGCGCAGTGCTTCATTTAGCATGTAGAAACGGAATTGGGTTCTTCAAGCGTGATCAGTGTAATTGTGGTACCCAGGAGGACTGGATGATTTAGCACGCACGCAGATCTATATCAGTGGCCCTACTCTGATTAAACGGTATCGTCAGCTGACCCTTATGGCAACTGTGACGGTGAAGAGTTGTTGCTCGACAAATTCCCCTTCCTTCTTCTCATTAAGATCAGTTTAGTAGCTCTCCTCGACTCCCTTGCTGAGTATCACCTTTCGAAGGCGCTTCTGTTCACCAACACTGCCTGTGAATGCTTAGCTCATTCAGTCCTGGTACAGCCAGACCTGAACCCTGTAAAGCAGCCTTTCGAGCAATAAGGAATTGGAGACATTTTCAGGAATAATTCACTGGGCTCAACCAAGTCACTGAGTCACTGATCGCGGCTATCACTCCTAATCGTGCTTATACAACGGTCGTATACAAAAGGTCTCGTGAGCAATGGGAAAAAGCCAGATTTCCCCTTGCTGCCAAGGAGATGGGACTCCTTGATAGGAGGTAGGTTGGCTAGGAATGCGGCCCAAGCCTTGTGAGCGCAGGGAGACATAGTCGTTTAGATGCAGTTTAACCATAGGCCTTAGTGGCAATATAGCGATGGTCCTCGTTGGGGCGGGTGGCCCGCTCGAAAGAAGGTGGAAGCTGTAGGTGTGAACGTTGCAGGTTGAACTAACTTACTACAACTTGAAGTACTAAGTAGCTACCGTAGTATACCCAGCTGAATGCCAAGCTTCTAGAAGCTTTAGCGAACTAAAAGCGGCTAGTGAAGAGGAGAAGGAGAGAGGCGCTAAAAGTGACCGACTAGTACCGTAGTAAATGGCACGAGCCCCTTGACTAGCTTGGAGTTGGGGGAGAGGACCCTTCAATGTGGTCTTCCGTCTGAGCACTGAGCAACTCGGCCTTCACTACATCGACTTTCATCTCCCTGGTCGGAGGCTGCTTCACTGAATACACCAAGGTCACGGATTCGAAAATCTCAGCTCACTCCAATCTGCCGGCCAGCAGCCCCTCGGCGCGACCTCGGAGTACTCTAGCTCGATTCTCGCGGAGACTCTTTGCGAAAGGCCCCTTCACTACTTCACCTCAAAGACCACACAGCCTCTACCCTCGCTATTCGCTCAACTTAGGCATCCAATACTGCACGCAGTGTCTGCATGTCCGAGATGGTCTGAGGCAAAACACTACGACATCGTCCAAGTGACTAACTGCAGCGCTGTCCAACCACCCCACACCGCTAGCGACTTCTACATCAATAATTCCCAAAGAGTGCCAGCATACGTCAATTGAGACACCTCTGACAGAATTTTATCCCTATGCGCGTTGCGATGTGTGGCGCGGAAAATTGCAGCTAGCTTTGACGGCTATCCTGGTAACCGCCTGCATAGTGCATAAGCGACCTGCAGGACAGAATGCTCGATTCGGTGACCGCAGAAGCTTATTCCCGGCAGACTTCAAGCCCGAATTCGACATCCTCCTCGTCAACAGTTAGGAGGGCCACCTCTTTATCCTCACAGCCAGGCTCACGAGTCTCTTATTTTGGTTACTCGGGCAGGCACATTGCGGACGAGCCGCCGCGAAAGTCGAAATACCCTAATGGCCCGCCCCCAATTCACATCGCAGCTGCCGCGGTCACTATTCCCGCCTCCTCTCCTTCTCATACGACCATAGACCGAGAGTATGTGACCAAAGGCCATTCAAGATATCACGGGCACAATTCTAGACGCAGCGGCGACACCGAGCCTGGAAGTTCTACTTCATCAACCAGGAGTGAGGCGGAAAGAGGCCGTAAACATAGAAGCCCATCACAGAAGACAATGCTCTCCCGGGCGCTACAAAAAGCCAATACCGCCGTTCTACTCGACAATGCGCAGAATTTTGAGGGCGCGATGGGCGCATATGCCGACGCCTGCCGTCTGCTCCAGCAGGTCATGCACGGTAGCACAGGTGAGGAAGATAAGAAGAAGCTGGAAACCATTGTATGGCTCAAACTCCCAAAGTTTGGTGTAAATACTGATGTGTCTAGCGACAAACTTACACAAACCGGATAAATGAGCTTCAGACTCTCGATTGGGGCTTTCAGAAGGCTGATGAAAAGGCCCTCCCGTTGAGGCCGCTAAGTAACGATACTCTCAGCCCGGAGCCTTTTCCATCCTACGACAGAGAAGTAGAGGCAACCATGATCGAAACAGCAACACAGTCAAAAACCATTACCAACACATACGCCGCAGAACCACAGCAGTCACAATTCCTCAATGCGTCACATATACCTCTACGAAGACACTCCTTGCTACCCTCGCCGCTCGAAAAGGCTGAGACTCCTGAGACTTCAATCTTTGCTCCGAAGAACTCATATTCAAGCAATTGGACCGGCCATGTCAGTCAGAATAATTCAATAGGTTCAAGCATCATGGAGCCTGAATGTATGCCTCCGCCTCTTTCAGTCTCCCCTCGGAAGCCGTTTTCTCCCGACGATGCTGGCTCGCAACCACCAGCTGCATCAAGCTCAGAGATACGAAACACTGGTGAACCCCAAGAAGTCCAACCGTCTCTTCACTCGCGCGATGCTAGTACAGAGACCACTTCTTGGCTTGACACAATCGATGAGTCTGGGGGATCATCAGCATCATCCCTTCATTCCAGAAATTCTTCTTTCGGCGTTGAGCGAAAGCGCGTACATGTACCAACCGGAAACGCCGCGACAGAACTTAACGCCGCTCTGGACGCTGCCGTGGAAGCGGCATATGGCGACAGCTTCGATACAACAGAAAAAGATATGGGCGAGAATGGGTCAGAAATAGACATGGTTGTTAAGCTAGGCGTAATGTTGAGCAGGCAAGGCAAAAAGTGCGCGAGGCAGAGCAAGAAGATCTGGTGCAGGAGGAGAGGAGAGGGCAAGATAAACAGGTGACCAGAAAGAGAGACAACAGTATCGAAGCCGATTATCTGGATGAAGAGGCTGAAGAAGAGGAACGGCTGCTGGAAGAAATGACAAAGGGATACATTATGGACGACTTCCAATTCGGGACTCAGGCGAAATTAGCACTACCTCACCAGTCAGACTCTATTGCCTTCTCTGGTAGAGCCTGGGTCAGCTCCAACGGTTCTCACACACCTACCACTGCGACATCTATCGCTGGCTTGGCAGAAGGCGCGCAAGGTGCCACCCATCTGAAACTTCTTCCGCCCCATCCTCCCCCAGTGGGAGCGCTTCCTGTGCCTCCTACTTCCGCCACCCCACCTCCCCTCCCACCAACCCCGTCGCTGCCACCGCCTCGACCCCCCAGCTCAGGAACCTCGCCTATTCCTGGCGTCAGAGACCGTCGTCTCTCCGGACAAAATGCCAAACAGCTGAAGATCGAAACCCACTCTCGATCCTCCTCCGTATCAGCAACAAAGAGAAATCTAGCAGTTAACACGCAGGTTCCTCCTGTTGAAGAAGAGTTAGCGAATTCCATTGAGTCATCACAATCGCGTTCCACTAAAGATGAGCCCTCACCACGGCGGCCTGCACCCCAGCTCACCCAAGTGCCTCCACTGACGCCGTTGACCTCTCTCCCGTCAGGCGATTCAATGCACAGTGAATCCCCTGCTACTCCTGCTCTGACGAGAGCGGCCACTCAGGACGGTGATGAGCCAATACCAGCATCACCGGCCCGCTTTCTAGGCCGATCTGCCGGGGGGGGGGGCTTCCTGCGAAAGAACATGTCATCTTCAAGCCTAAAGATGCGCCATCTATCTGTGACGACAGCTGAGGCTTCGGACATTTCGCCGATGACTCCTGGTAGTGCATCATTTCCGACCAGCGCAGATGCTCGGAAAGGTACTATGGCATTCAACCCAGTCTTACCAACTCCTACTGGGAACACATTTATGGTAGATGGCTTGGTAGCTGGTGGAATGTATCTATTCGATGATCAAATTTGCTCCCCAACCACACCTAACGCATCTATCTTGAACGCGCCGTGCCCATTGGAACCGTGTCCTGAATCGTTTCTATTGCGGCCATTCTGGCTCATGAGATGCCTATATGAGACCATTGCTCATCCACGGGGGGGATACCTATCCACGAGGTTGTTTGTGCCTCGCGATGTATGGCGGGTCAAAAATGTGAAGATCAAAGCTGTTGAGGATAAAGTGTCTAACTGTGACCTTCTTACCGCTGCTTTGCTCAAGCTTTCTAAGGTCGACACTCTGGACGCCGATGCTGTTCTTGAGGAGATGCAATCTTTCGAATCAGTTCTAGAACAGGTGCGCAACATATTACACAAGAAGCTAGGCAGTGAGGTTGGTCTGCAGAGCTCGGTTACGCTCTTCAAAGGTTCGCCAGCAAGCGAAGATGCAGGTACACAGGCAGAAGCTCTTTCATCGAAAAGCGGCAATGGCGGCAACAAGTCATACCTCTCGAGCTGGAGGAAGTTGAGGTCGAAAAATTCTGGGGCAGCGTTATCTTCATTCACTGCGTTGCCTTCACGCGAAGGCAGCAAGGAGACTCTTTCGATGAGTTCGCTTCCAATGACGTCGACTCCAAGCAGCCGACCTCACAAGCGGAATCTGAGCCAAATACAGTTGACCGGTCCTCACGCTAATTATATGGGAGCGCTAGCACGACTGTTTGATGCTGCTCAGATTCTCGGTGAGCAACGTTCCCCTTAAGTAGGTTGAGATCATACACTTGCGCTAATATTGATGACAGACCAAATAGCACGTCAAGTCGAAGATCCAGGTCTAAAGTATTCCTCCAAGACGCACGTGGGCCTCGAGTTGAGCACGCGAAATGCTGCAGAGTTCTTTGGCTTCTACGTTTGCCGCTTTGCACTAAATGATGTGGGCCTGATGCTTGACAAGTTCATCAAAAGAGGCAGCGAATGGGTTCTCGCTTAACCTTGATGCACTCTCAGCAATCCTTGGTACCAATATACTATCTGCGAGCAGGGTCTCGATATATCTCGTTGATCCTGCTTCTCGTTTTTCACCCTCGTTGCATAGCGTGGGAACCTCCTAAAAGGAAATGGGATGGATATATGATGGTTTGACGATTTTCTCCATGTTTTTGGACCTCTCTAGACCTCTTGGGTCTTTGGTGAGGTGTGCATCTACAGCTCTGCAGCAAAGACTTACAGTATGCTTGGGGCTTTTAGGTCAGAGATGTATATCATTAATAGAAGCCCTGCCAGATGCTAGAGGCAAGCAGAAGGCCATAAATCTACAAGAAGCCCTTGCACTATTGAGAGGGATATCTGGCTTGACGTAACTGCGTCAGGCCTATCCACCATTTTGTCGGGATATGACGCATTCTACACGTGACAAAAAGCCGCTTGTAATGCAACATTAACAGCAGTAAGATCAAGTAGCAAGCTTGTGATTGGTCTCATCAAGGAGATTACACATGCCGCGGGATGCCAGCCAATAACGACATGCATCATGTTACGATAGAGTGGTGGAGAGCCCATGCTCTTAAAGTTCGCCGCCAACCACGTTGTCAAACCCCCTTCTGCAACGCGACGGAGCCGAGCCACGTTTCCCGGCCCGAAGTTGCGTCGCAGACATAGAGATAGGCTTCCAGCTTTGTACTTTCCCCATCTTTTCTTCTTCTAACCTTCTTGATCTATACATCATGGTGGCTCAATTGTATGCTGAGCATATCTGTCGCCATTGTCACAATTTTTATGCCGAACGAAGATATATCACTTCAATATCGTCCGAAATGTCTATTTCTGGGGCCCGCCACGATGCTCAAGAACGATATGATAAGGCTGTCTGATGTGAAGAAAAGGCGATCCGGCGCGCGCGTCTCGCATGATATCCATGACTACATTCTCAGAGTGAATGAATCAGTGCACTCTCCCGATCACGTAGCAGGTATTTCCTTTCTTGGCCATTGATCCAAATCATTAACCAGCTGTTTATTTAGGTGATGCTTCAGAATCAACCTAACAATTCCACAGTACGTGTGGCTAAAGGCCGCAGCGAACAGTCTGCTCAACGCCTTCGAGAACAAGAAGATTATAGCAAACAGCGGCTCAACCCGGAGCGAGATGAGCTACCGAGGCGAAAGAATGAAAAAGCTCAGCTTATGAGGTTCGTACCTCAGGCTAAGAATGGGACGACGGCCGTCTTGCTGCCATTACATCTCAATAAGTACTTGAATATTTACTGAGGGTATGGACAGTCAAGCGACGTCAACTCTCCGCAATTTTCATCTTCCTGCGGAAGTCTGCAAGCCAGTAGCCAGCTACAGCAGCAGAATCAAACCATGGGACCATCAACTCGCTCCCAGCAATTTATATTGGCGCAGAAATGGAAACTAGGGCCCAGTCCCTGGCCATGCGTTCTGCAGCTCGTTGCAATCTCTATTTGGATCAACCCTGAATTTCGGAGAAGGCATGGCAACCAAGAAGTACACTCACAAACTTTGCCGTTTATTCGACACGTAGCCGAAGCGTGGGGTCGATCACTGATCAGTCATCAACTCCATAAAGTGATAAAGTGATGCGTAGCAAATTCAATGCTGTGAGCTCAATAGTTTGGTGAATCAGGTTGGCACAAGATACTATTTGTTTTGTCCGTTGTCCCCTAGTGTTTCTAGATGTACCCGTCTTCGCTGCTAGCCGGCTGGGACGAAGGTCGCTCAGTAGTCACCATTGATAGCTCTGATTAGAGTACACACTTCAAATAGGGAAAGGGTCGATATTGATAGTGAATAAGCGAATAATTTTTTACTTCAGCGGCCTCCAGAATGAGCTTCGATCCTAGCTACACCAAAGGCCGTGACCTCTCCTTTCAGTCCACCGTATATTCTCTACTTCTCGCCGGAGATCGTCTCGATTTACAGAAAGTGTGATTGGGGTTATGGAGTCCATCTTATGCAGTGGAAACCGAGCTGGATGAGACTCATGAAGGAGATGGCTAAATGAGCTGGAATTGAGGGCAGGAGGTGCCTTGGCTCTATAATACTATTGGATCGCTTGGTGGAGGGGGGGCAGAGGTTGCTCGGACCTCTCTGTATCCGGGTTGTGCCCCGTAGGAGCCCTGGTCAGTGGTTAGCCTTTCGGCGCTAGTCGTATTTTGCCCCCTTCTCCAGGGATTGTGATATACTCCGGTAGGGGGCATAATTAATCGTAGCAGGGCGCTAGTAGTAGCTAGTTCGGATACAACGCCACCTCCGTGTCTAGAAGCTTGTTAGACTATTGTTGCTATCAATTGGCCACAATAATACCGCTTAACGGTTCAAAGCTTAGATGTGTCGTTTGGAGTGTGCTTTAGTGCAAATATACTAGCGCTGGGCTACGAATACTTATGCCAGGTACCGTAGTAGTAGCTACGGCGGAGTACTAGGACGTGAATGATGATGATCGCGCCTAAGACCCGGTGAAAACAATTGGTGTCGCTCTTGGCACAGCACAGTCTGAGGAAATACATGAGAGTCATAGCATATCGATGGCTCTATACACCGTACCAGCTAATATGTCATTGAAAATGATGCCAAGAGCGTCACCCATTGTTACACCGGGCCTCGCCCCTTGAGGCCCCCTGACAGCCCTGCTGAACTCACGATTGCTTAGGACCAAGTGGCTTAGCGGCGCCTGGCAGAAGACGGCCTGCAGGGGCCGGAGGGTCATAAAATAACCCCTTCATATGTCACACTTGAGAGATCCAATGAGCCACTGACCGTGGGCGCAAACATAACTATGGAAGCTGCCCACTACACTTCCCCTGCATGTGGCACGACAGCATTCATAAATACTGGATAGAATTCGCCACGCGACTTCGTTGCAGTTGGGATTTTCAAGGCCATTGCAAGCTCATCACACTGAGATCTGTTTCCATTTCCCACCAATTAACAGGCGAGCATTCTCCAAGAGCTGGCCATCGAAGCAATGCCTTCTGCCCTGCTACTTCTCCTTCCTCTGGGGCTCATCAGTGCTGTGGCGGTTAACTGGTATCTCTGCTTCCGGCGCAACATTGAGAAAGCCAAAGAATCAGGCATCCCCTATGTCGTTGTGCCGGTCTTCGTTCTACACCGGTTCTGGCTTATAACCAATCCACTATGGCTCAAACTCGCGCGCAAGTTTCTCCCAGAAGAATGGATAGAGTCATGGTACGACTACGTTCGCCCGGAATTCCCCTGGGAGCTTCGTAATGAACCATTTAAGAAATTCGGTAGCGATACTATCCTGAGTGTTTCTGGTGGTGACTTCTGCTTGTGGACTGCCGATGCGGACGTCATCTCACAGATCACAACTCGACGCAGCGATTTTCCCAAGCCTACCCAAATCTACACATCACTTGACATCTATGGCAAGAATGTGGTGACTACAGAAAGTGCTGCATGGCGCCGTCATCGAAAGTTAACCAGCCCTCCATTTACAGAGAGGAACAATCATTTGGTATGGGCCGAGACGCTGGATCAGACTCAGGCAATGTTGAACACGTGGCTTGGGAAAAACAGGCAAGGGAATCAGACAGTCGACCGTATCATGGATGATACAATGCGACTATCGCTGTATGTCATTAGTCGGGCCGGTTTTGGCCGGAAGCTGGAGTGGCCTCAGGTAGAGGATACGTCACATAATAGCACAGGTATCGACGTGAAACCCACTCAAAAGATACAGAATGAAGAGGCAGAATTGGGCGAGGGCCATAGTATGAGCTACACATATGCCCTGCATTTCTTGTTGGACCATATCGTATTTGCCATCTTGATCAACCGTACGATCCTGAAGCTATCACCTGTGAAGGTCATGCGTCATACTTACCAAGCCTATATTGAGTGGGGCAATTACATGCGCGAAATGGTCGTCTCTAAAAAGGCAGCCATAAAGGCTGGCGAGAGATTGGACGATATGGATATAGTTGGTCAACTGGTCAAAGGCCAGCTCCTCCCGACAGACGAGAAATCCTCGAGCAAGGATGCACCTCTCTCCGACTCGGAAATCCTGGGAAATTCATTTGTTCTCATGCTTGCGGGACATGAAACTGTTGCCAACACCCTACACTATGCTTTCCTCCTCCTTGCGATGAACATCAGCTCTCAGCGAAACCTACAGAAGGACTTGCAAGAGCACTTCCAAGGCCGTCCAATATCCGAATGGGACTATGACCGCGACCTCCCTGCTCTCTTCGGCGGCATGACTGGCGCAGTCTTGAATGAACAACTCCGCCTCATCGCCCCTGTTGTCAACATTCCGAAATGCACATATGGCGTTCCCGACCAACCTCTGATCGTGAATGGAAAGAAATGCACCCTCCCAACCAACACATTCATTAACCTCTGCTCGTGCGTTCACACCAACCCCAGCTGGTGGCCACACGGCCCGCCCAAAGACCCGAAGAACCCCGCCCACCCAGTCAGCAATCTCGACAACGACCTCGAGGAATTCAAACCGGAACGTTGGCTCCTGGACCCCGACCACAAAGACAAGACCACTACCACTGCTAAGGAGCTCAACATCCTCGACGACAAGACAAAAGCAGCAGATGACGCGGAAGAATTCTCCATCTCCACGACCTCCGTTACATCACCATCCCTCTACCGTCCCCCAAAGGGTGCATTCATCCCCTTCTCCGACGGCTTCCGCTCCTGTCTCGGCCGCCGTTTCGCCCAGGTCGAAGCCCTGAGCGCGCTCGCGGTGATTTTCAGCCAGTACAGCGTCGAGCTGGCGGTGGACAAGTGGGCCACTGATCAGGAAGTGGACGAGATGGATGAGCAAGGGAGGAGGGCGGTCTGGGCCAAAGCGGCGAGCGAGGCGCAGAGGTTGATTCATGGCTCCACCACCATCATCACCTTGCAGATGAGGCAGGGGAGCGTGCCGCTGAGGTTCGTGAGGAAGGGGAGCGAGAGATTCAATTTCTGAAATTCCCGTCTGTATGCGGCTGTCTCTGATGGTTGGGTTGACGTGAGGTAGGCGTGTGTAGGTAAATCCTACAGGGATATGATATGGTACGCGTGATGGTGGGTTCCATGTCGATGTTTGCCATAACATGCGTTCTCAATTTATTTCTCAGACCGCTCGTCTGCTTGCCTATCTGCCTGCCTACTTCCTCAATCTGCTGCTTAGTTTGCCGCCGCAATGCTACATTACAACCCAAAGCCGGCGTTCGTGGAGAAATGTGAATTCCTGTATTCGTTCGAATGTCATGATATAGCCATCAAAATCATGCTCGCTTTATATCTACAACTATGCTAGATGGTGCTCGATGCTTCAAATCAGATCAGGCCCCCACTGGGCTTTCTATCGTCTTCTTCTCTACCAACACCACCTTCTCCTCCTGCGACTCCTCGCGCTGCATCATGCTCTTCTGGTCGCTCATCACCTTCTTCTCGATTCTGTATTTGTGCTTGTGCTTGACCCTGCCACCACCGGCCCACCCTTCCGCTCATATCCCACCGGCTGGGCACTACCCTCGACGCATCTGTCGCTGCCCGAGGTCTACCCCGTACCCGATCTCGATATCCGTGTGCGCCTCGCTGACCCTGAGCGGGACTGCCGGTCCTGCCGCCACCCCGCAGATTCTCCTGGCTCGAGACAGCAGTAGGCGAAGCAAACGAAGTCCTAGATCTCCCACCAGGCGATCTCGTCTTCGACGACGTTGATGAGGACCTCACCCCGGAAGAGTCGCCCACCACCGTGGTGGAAGGGGCACTGCTCCTTCTCCTCTCGCCATGGGTTCTTTCTTTCAGCGTCTGAGCTCTTCGCGGTGGTTTGTGACGCAGCTCGGGACTTTGGCTACCGCCGCCATGCTGATTTCTGGTATCGCTTCGGTCGCTTGAAGTTCGGTTCCACAACATGTTTGTAGATGGAGTATTGTTCGGGGTATCAGTGGACGAGAGACTAGTTCCTCGGCTCCGTCGTCGCGATTTCAGAGCCGAGGAGGATAGAAACGGTGAGAGTGATCTAGGTAATGAAGCGAGGACGTCTCTATCTGATTCGTTGGAATCGTCAAGCTCGGCCCAGATGTACTGCGGATTGCTGGTTTCTGGGGGAGGTGGATAGATCATGAATGCGGTTCTTCTGCCACCTGTATGACGATTGGAGAGAAGGGGTGTTGATTCATTGGCGTGTGCAGACGTCGAACTGTGAGGTCGTGCTGTAGGTAGAAGAGGAGAGGATGGAGAATCACTTGGGTTTTCGGACATTGAGGACACCAAGCCTAAACCAGGGCCAAGCGGGGTCGGTTGTGCTTCACTGGCCATTGGTGGTACATCATCCAGACGCCATGAAAGTGCCAGGACACCGGACAGGAGGATCACGGTGCCAAGAGCGATGAGGCAGGCGTGGAGGACTGACAGGCGGGATGTCTGGTGAAAGTAGATCAGACCATCGAGGATAGCAATGATGTTATAGATGCAAAACACGAAAGGATAAAGAACGCTAGTGCTGCAAAGTCGAAGGCCCTGGTGGAGGTAGTAGAGTTGAGAAAGAGCGAAGAAGATAAGTGCTAGCAGAATCAACCACGATTGGTAGGAGTTGAATTGATTGACATGGTCGATGATGGTCCTGACCAGAAGTTCGACGGCTGACTTGGCGACAAGAAGCGAGTGTGCCGCTAGAATGCCACTGATCAAAGCATAGGCAAGGCCGCGCAGGAGTCTAAGGCGCGAGGTGCGCACTTGCGCCGCGTACGGGGTGGGTATGGAGAGAGAGCGCCGCCGTGATTTGGATCGAGAAGCAGAAGGCGACCGTTCATGCTTCGAACGTGAATGGGTCTCGTGAACTCGATCTGACCAAAATTTGAGGAAGCGCGTGAAGATCAAGGTGCCAATCACCACGAAAAGGGTCGCTACCATCCACGCCACAAACTGCTTTCGCCCCAGAAGATCTAGCAGTTGTGGCAAGCTATGCGCAGGCTCGCCAATGGCGCCAAACACTGCGATCAGTGCCGCACCGGTACAGGTCAAGATTGTGCCAATGAACGAGAAGCGAGTGAAGGGCTCTTTTAGCAGAAGTGTGGCAAAAGCGGTATTGAAGACGAGACCCGACTAGAACAGTTTAGTGAAAAGACACATATCATGGCAGAGAATGGCATAATACCGCTTGCAGGGTTGATAGAACTGGTAGAGGCAGTGTAGTGATCTGGATGGTGCTACCAACGAGGTTCGACAACACGAACATGCCCATTCCAAGCTAAATTTGGTCAGCTTTCCGTTGAGGGGACGTAACCTGATATGTGTATGCTCACCTGCCATCTTCTCCTCTTGTAGGGTGGTCTCCTGATCTCGTACTCCTCCTTGTCATCTTCAAGCAAATGCGACTTTCTTTGCAGCGTCAAGCCCAGGCTCTGAATCGAAGTCGAGAGCAGTCCAACGAGGATGCCAACCTGCAGGAGAGTAAGACAATGCTTGCAGCGCCCCTCGCCATCGGGATGATACTCACAGCAATACTCGCTTGAGGGGAGAGGTCACCGAGCTGGCCCATGCCTGAGCAAGGAAGGTGAGCATTCGGGAGGGAACAGTGGAGGAGACGCTATGCAATCGCAATGGCATATTTGTTGTTATCGACGTTGTTATCAACGTCGTATAGACATTGAGACAGATGATTGATGCATGGTGTAGGGTGTAGGGTGCTGTAATGGACGTAAGCGCCTCCAGGTGGTGTGGAAGTAGTATGCACTACCGTATGTACTACAGTATGTAGTACAGTATGTAGTAGTCTGCGACAGTGATTTGTGGCGTCTGACTTCATCGAACTTGGCGTCTGGGAGGGACACTGGTACTGTTAAGTGCCTGGTATGCCCTGTTTAGGCTTAGTGCCATGAATTCCTACGTAGTATGGTACATACATGGTTTCCACAGATGGGAGCTCTACAAGTTGCTGTATGCAACAATCTAAGCTTCGACATCCCATCAATTACCTCTCGGAACGCTTACATCGTCTTTCATATCCTTCTGTACTCGCTGTAGAAAGCTGCTGATCGCTTCTCTGCTTTCGACTCTCCCAGCTGGGGTGACAATTCTACTGAGTCGATCAAGCCGCAGGCCACCTTATAAGCACCCTCACCTACACTAGCAACGTCTGCTCCCAACTTACAACGACCGCAACATGTCGAGTCAGGCGCTTTCAGATGATCAGGTCCGTTTCCAATCCAGAAAGATTTCGAATGTCTCTGCAACCATGGCTAATGCCTCTCTTTCCTGCTGCTACAGGTAGCCACCGAGCTCAAGAAGATGACCGCCTTCATCAAGCAGGAAGCACTAGAAAAGGCCCGTGAGATCCAAATCAAAGCCGATGAAGAATTCGCTATCGAGAAATCCAAGCTCGTCCGCTCCGAAACCTCCTCCATCGACGGTCAATACGAGAAGAAGTTCAAACAGGCATCCATGTCCCAGCAGATCACGCGATCCACCATGGCTAACAAGACGAGATTGAGGGTCTTGAGTGCCAGACAGTCGGTGCTGGATGATTTGTTTGAGCAGACAAGGGGAAAAGTTGGGGACGTCAGCAAGCGAGGAGACTACGTAGAGATCATGAAGGGCCTGTTGCTGGAGGGGTTGTATGCCCTGAATGAACCAAAGGTGCAGATTAGGGTGAGGAAGGCAGATATCGATATCGTTCAACAAGCCTTTGAAGGGGCGAAGAAGGAGTGCAAGGAGAATCTGGGCAAAGAGGTGGAGGTGGAGATTATTGGAAAGGATCCCCTTCCTGAAGACTCGTAAGTCCTGGCCTACACGTCCAAAATGCATGCAGAATCTCGGAGTGCTGATATTGCTGTAGAGCCGGTGGAATGTACATCATCGGAGGACAAGGCAAGATCGAGATCAACAACACCTTGGAGGAAAGATTAAGGATCTGTGAGACAGACTCCCTCCCCAGCGTGCGAGTTACTCTATTTGGCAAAAATGAAAACAGGAAGTTCACGGATTAGAGTGTTTTCGATGGAGACGTCCCAATCTCGAGCAGTGTGACAAAGAAGTCAAAGGCAAGCATCACGATGCCTACCCGCATTTCATTCCTCTGATAGAATTGGTCAGGCGAGCTGGCGAGCCACACCTTGGTAGAGCCTACTGCAGACGTCAATATGTACTCTATATATATGATACAATCGGGAGCGCTTCGATACCATCGCCAAAAGAGGTCACTTTCATGCCATTGACCAGTGCCCCGGGCAAGGAATCAGAGAGGACGCCTGAGAACGCTCAGCAGAATGGAACATCTAGCTCTGAAGTCTGAGCTGCCGCCTGTTCAACTCCTCAAACTCCGATTTCTGCGACGAACTACCCGGGAGATCCTGCCCAGCCATCCAATTTGTATCCCTCCCCGGCAAGCCCTTCTGCTCGGTCTTCCTTTTCTTCAGAAAGTGCTGCATCATGCTCTTGCTCCTCTCTTCCGCCCTATACTCATCCCCATCTCTGCCGCCAAACACCGACTTCTTAGGCCGAGGCATCGTCCTCACCCCGTACAACAGACGGAAATGCAGCGCATTGAGCGCTTCCTTGGCTTCTGTTCGGCGCATGTGGGAGGCGCCGGTGTCGGCTATAGATATCATAATGGATTTGATGCGGCCAACGAGGATGTCGATGTTGTTGTTAAATTCGCGCTCGCTCGACGTATCTGGAAAAGCTGACGGGCGGCCGCCGTTGGCAAGGGCGGCGTCGAAGATGTATATCGAACATGAGAGGGTGCCGTAGTCGAACGGAGTGTCCTGCCGGTTAGAGCGGGAGATGTCGTATCGAGGATCATCGAGGTGAGTTGTAAGGTCCCCAAGGCTGATACCAGGGGCCGTTGGTGTAAAGATAATAGTGTCCTCGTCCAATGCGCCTTGTAAGAATAGATTTGCTAGTTGAATCCGGAGAGATGCAGCAATAGGTGAGATAGGAAGAATGTGTTTCAAAACTTGAATTTGTAGATATGGGGCTTTGACACGTAAGCCAACGTCTTCAAGGATGCATTGAGCAGCTGATAATGAAACAATCTCCTCACTGTGATCGAGAAGACTCGAGATAGCGTCTTCGACCACGATGCAAGTACCGCTGTTGCTCATCAAATGGTTATCAATGGCTAATCGCATCAACAACTTGACAAATTTCGAGAGCGCTTCTGGTATCAGATCTGTGGCTAGACACTTTAATGTCCTGATCAAAGGCAGGAGGTGCTGACAAAGGACAGTGCTATCCTTAGCCGACGCGCTCGGTTCTGGGTTTATGTCGTTAGCACACTTGACGATGACTGAGTCGGCTCCCAATTGACAGAATGCTTGCTCAATCAGGCTGGGTCCCAAGTTCTTGCGAGTCCAGGACTGGCTCGCTGCTTTGACTACTTCCACATAAGACTCTTTGAGATCGTCCCGTGGCTCCTTGACGATGTTATCGAACGTGAAGGCTACGAGGCTATCTGGAACAGCGCCGTCGGCGACCTTCTCTGCGACATAACCCGAAAGATAGGCCCGTTGTCTTAAAGTAGGATCATTGAGAGATGCAAGCCATAAGTCCGTCTCTTCAGCGTTGCTAGGAAAAGGATATGGGGAAGGTGAGGACGCTGGTACTGGCGAAGAACCAAACATAGACCAGGTATGATCGATGGCCAGAGCATCTATGCGTTCAACGGCATTGAACAACCTCTGCATGTCACCGCTGCCTTCTTCTCCGCCAGCGACCGAAGCAAGTAGCTTCTTATCGAACAATCCCTGCCCTTTAAGCCTTTCTTGGTCATCCGATGCCTTGTATCCTTGTTTTGCTTTCGCAACATTTGCTTCGATCTCCTCGTCGTCAAAGTGATCACCCACAAGCAGACTGATGTCGAAGTTAAGATCGTTCGCTTTTGACGTCAGCTCCCGCAGTTTATCTCTCCCAACTAGAGCATTCGATCTCCCATGCGTGAAAATGCTCAAGCTTCTTACGCGCTCTGTTTCCAGGTCATCCTCCTTAGCATCTGGTGGCGAAGAGGATCCCGTAGTTGCATCACCTCGGTTGCTACCTAGTATATCATCGAGCGAGCACAGTGAATCTGAGTCTTCCTCATCGGAGCCTCTCACAGCAACGACTTGTCCATTCTTAACTATGCTTCGCGCAGAGGTTGGTATGTCCGCGAAGGATAATGACCCTTTCTCTTGGCTCGTTCCATCCTCTGTCCTTGCAAAAAGCCGTCCATGTTGTGATGTGGCAGGACCAGGTGTTAGAGTTTTGGAAGGTGTTTGGTATGGACTAGGCTTCGGGCTTCGAATTGGAATAGTGACCGAAGCTCCAGATCGTGGCCCAAATGGTGACTTGTATGGCGAACACACCGCACCCTTGAAACGAGAAGCTGTCAAAGGCGTCCGCGGCTCAGCCTGGTTTACCTGCCTACCCGCAAAGATGGTTCTGCCATCGAGCTCATCGTTGGACGTAGGCGAAGGACGCTTTGCGGGGACGGTCTTTGGCGGGTTTGGTTTTGCATAGGGTCGAAAGAAGTCTGCAATATCGCGTTTCGACTTATCAGAAGCCATGTGGGATACTGAGAAGACTGTCAGCCACCTGCTTCTCCATACCTCGTCGCCAGCCTTGAAGCGGCATGGTCGTTCAGGTACCGCGTGCCTGCCAAGGAGTGACGCGAGGTCACACCTTGAAAAGCCCGGTTAATCTTACCATCTTGCTCCCACTGCCTTTGTAGCTTCGCAGGTGGAGAATATGGAGAAGGCATGTTTATCCTCCAACGTTTTCCATCACATAGACGTTGCAAATGAATGGTCGATGGAGATGTGTTTGTTCTTGGCCGTTCAACAACTGAACACTGTGACCTGCTTAAAAAGGGAATATCTACACAAGTCTAACATACTTACTCTTATTACTCTGACAATGCCCCTGACTTCGGATCCACACCAAGCCAAACAATCTCGATTACGCTGTTGTCCGTCGCACTCTCGTACCAATAAAACTGGTGGACATTGGCTCCTACTTTGGTTGCATCTCGAAGTAACCATCGTTTCTTCGTGACTCCCTTCTGGTCAACAGGGCGAAGTGGTCCAACAGACTCCTCATACCCCTCCGCTGCGTCTCCCCATGTATGTTCTGTATGTTCAAAGTTTATATCCGATGTAACGGCGCTGATATGGTAATGTGTGATGGAGTATCCGTTGGTAAGCACCCAGAAGTCCTCTTTCCTGCCGCTGACCTGAGCCTTTGCTGTCGAAAATACACCTCCTCAAGACCGACTTGTCACCCGCAACTGTTGCCCCGGAGCTCATTCCTATCATGTCCGCGTTTCCCCATTGCCCTCCATGGAAGTGGTGAAAGCTCCAAATAGGCCTTCCAGCTTCGAAGAGTCCGTGGGGTTCCGGCCGAATGTCCCATTGATGCAGCTCATTCCAAATTGTAAGTCTCGGCTTTGGGAGGACTTTATTGATGCATTCTCCGTCATACCTTTTATCTCAAGTCTCTAGGAGATTACACGACAGCACAACACCCGCCACCCCAAAACCAATTCGGCCGAGATTCCATGCCTGCCAAGAAGCCTCCGACACTGCACCAATCCAGTGATGTTTCGAAGAAGACAAGGTCGAGAGCCGTTCCGAAACAAGCGACAGAGAGGGAAAGAGGGTGTCATCGTCCCATCAGGATCAGCCACTTTGTTTCATGTCAGTTGTGGGAAATATGACTATTTAAAGTGCGCACTAGTGAAGAATACGGCAAAGTGAAGTCGAGCTGGGACGGCAGAAGTACGGTATCTGGGCCTCGGCCACGGAAGTATGCCTGCTCCTCTGCTACGTAGTAGATTGTCTGCAGGGGACCTAATGCAGGTAAGGAAGCCTTCGTGCCACCGATGAAATTTGCAAAGTCGCGGAAGGGCGTTGTCCAGTCTTTCGACCGTGGTTGCCTGTCTTGGCACGGCCTGTCAATACCCTGTTCGATCCTGAAGACACAGATGAGGCCATTTCGTCCGTGTATTGTTCGTTGACCATACTGAACCGCTCGCAGCTCTAGAATGAGTGCGAGAAGGGCCGATTGGCCTTTTGGAGAATTACTTGATGGCTACGAATTTCTCTTCATGCCTGAGAACAAACGTCGTGATCGACCAAGATCTCGGTCCGCTTTCCAGTCTCGATCTAAGCCTAGTTGTGCTTGACGACCTTTATTTCTTGGAGAACATACAACGATACCAAGAACGTAACTAGTGGAGGGGAAGATTTTTTGGCCTTATGGAGGTGCTCACTAAACCGTCGAAATTGTTCAACGTGTGTAGCACCCTGAATAGGAGCTTTTTTGCACCACTCTCCACTTCCCCAACGCGAATTGGCCGGGCCTCGGTAATTTGAGCATGGAAAAAGCTGAGGATACGTGTACTTTCTTTTTTCTCATCATTATCACCCAGCTGCTTGTACTTGTATACTCTATCTTAGGTCCCGAAAACAAGGCTTCAGATTAACCAGGACAAGTTTGGGGGTTGCAGTATGGGAGGACCCAGAGTAGGCTAGGTAGAGAGAATGAAATGTCCGCTTGCTTTTCCCTTTTGCACAGTTCCTGTGGTGATACTCTGGCTCGAAGGTCGAGCAGGTTCTAACGACGCTGTGACTACAGGCTTCGAACATTCATCAAGTCAAGAAATGACAAAGCAGGGGGGTAAATCATATTTTGAAGCCTTTGTGGTGAAAGAGAGACAAACTTTCTGCAGCGAGCTCCCTCCTTTACTCCACGCCTGTGGCACCACTTTTTTATCAGCACCCAAAACCTGAGCATGAGCGAGTATTCAAGCGAGCGGATATGTACTAAAGGCGAGTCACAGGCTTGATTGTGTTTTTTTTTATTCCTATCGTGTTATCCGTGAAGTTGACTTGTTTCATGGACATGAATGACATGGCTGTTCGGTTGATTTCAACGATTGTTATCGACAGTTGAACTGTAGACATTAGAGATCGTAAAAAGGGGATCCTACAAGTTCCAAAGGATATGTAGCTGGCAGTCGCGAGGTTCAAAGTATATCTTTCAGAGGGTGTTTTGTTAGTCGATGCATAGCTCAGGAGGGATGTTTTTGTCGAGTTCAGTTTGTCTTTAGAGGAGAGGTTCAATCGCGGTAGGTTCAGGTGCGGTTTTCTTCTGTGTTCGAGATTCTATCTTTTACACAGTGGTATTTGGGGGTGTTCAGTTGCGGAAGGAGCGAGGTATTTGTGTCATTTCAAATAGTTGTAGGCCTGGCTTTCGTTGAGAGCTGTAGAACTTGAAGGGAAAGTTGCCAGAAATAGTAACTCTTGGCAGACTAATAGGGGGCTGTTAAGCGTACTCGGAGTGCGGCCATTCCTGTTGATGCTGGCGATCAAACAAATAAACTAATTCTCATTGAGCGATATCTGGGCACCTTATCCTCTCTACTACAAAAAGGTGCTGATACGTGGCTGTAACTTTACAAAGCCTTTCTACCGCCGTGCTACGGATACTTATGCCTCCCCTCGTAGTACTTGCCTTAGTCCCCCAGACGGGCTTAGTGGGCATAGCCACACACGCCATGCTCGAAATGGGCTAGTCATTGACAAAGCAGACTTTGTTTCACATCTTACCAGGAGAAGGGGGTAGCTAAAAATACGAGCTAAGTGCTGTTAGTAGAAATCGCAGCTATTCTGTCAAATGACGACCATACTAATAAAATAAGAGAGGCATATCTTGACCATACTATGATCATATTTTTCAGCAAAATACGTTACAGATAATAAGATTTCATCAGATCACGGACAACTTAGCTACGTACTCTGGTATACGCTAAGCAATCTTTTATGGTTAGGCTAATTTAAGCGCACTTTTGATGGCTCTCCTAACATTATTTTTAGAGGACCTCTTCCTGCTAAGATTGACTGAGCCATCGTCCAGCCATACAGCATGGCTGAGAACTGAGGCAAAGTCCTACTAACTAGTAGGAAATTGTTAGGATGTGACCGGGTTGCTAAGACCGCCAAGGCCTATGCGAAGTATATGCGCGGCGTACGAGTTCTATGTGTTACACCAGCGTTTGTTCCTACATCCATGTATTGAGCTAGAAGTAACCACCATTATTTACTTTGTGTAGCCATTAGAGGCTGTTGCTCTCTAACAGAAATCCCCTTCCCTTCTCTTACATATCAAGTTCAAGCCCTCCTGGTGTCAGTCTGAGCCGCACGGATTTACAGAGCCTCACGAGCACTCCAGCTATGTCGATACTGACCTTGCGTTTGCTTCTGCTGGCTCCTCTCATCCACACCATACATGCAACGTGCTACTTTCCCAATGGCGAAATATCCTCCGCGGATGTAGCCTGCGACTCTTCTGTCACTGACAGCTTCTGCTGCTTCAGTAACCAAGCCTGTCTCTCCAACAAGCTCTGCTATGACATTGGCAACAGAACATATGCTCGTGGAACTTGCACGGACCGGACCTGGCAGTCCTCTGCATGCCCCAATTTCTGCAATGATGGTATGTATATCCGTACGTTCTTCGTGGCTAAGGGCGTGAGGAACGACTGATAGCTTACCCTTTTCTGATCAACAGCCCCAAACCTCGGAAACGCCGTCCTAAGCTGCAACGGGACCGCTTCGGGCGATTCATATTGCTGCAACGACGGTTGCAGCTGCGGCTCAGGAAATAAAGTCCTAAGCTTCGCTGGCGAGCCGTATACCATGACCATCATTGGCCAGCGCCAAACATTTGCGAATCCCAGCTCGACTAGTTCGGGCACGTCGCCTCTAACGGACACTTCTGTAAGTACCACAAGCTTCGCCGTGTCTTCGTCCGGTGTTGCGGCTTCGGCGACAGCCGCTTCTACTGGCGCTTCTGCTTCCAGTTCAGGCGTCGGTGTAGGGGTCGGTGTCGGAGTGGGCGTGGGCGGTGCGGTGATACTCGGCGCTATCTTGGCTTTCTTCATATTCCGCAGAAGACGTGCGAGAAGTCGGCACGATTTGTGGGCGACGGATTCGGAGGAGGGACAGAAAGATCGCCGTATCATGAAAATCGTCCAACAGAGTTGGACAGTCAGCAGAAGCTACCTGTGCTGGAGATGGGCAGTGAGGTACCGCAATCAGAGCTATACGACGAGCCTCCTCTTGAATTTGTGTCCACGAAGCGCGTTCGATGATTTGGCCGCAAGGAAAACTGGCTTTCACAGTGGCTAGTTGTAAATAAGTAGCGATATTATACTTTTCCATCAGACCATTGTACAAGAAGCATTGTTACGGAGGGTATGTTGTCTCGCGTTTGTCAAAATACTACGTACGCGTTAGGGACAAGGATGAAATTTGATAGCGAACGAAGGCCTTTTGGATAGACGGTACAAGCTCTCACTTGATCCGGCAACACCTTCCTTGCTGCTCGTCGTCTTGCAGGTTTTCTGATTCGTGAAGACCGTGTCCAGACAAGCTTGCCACCAACTCCAAACACGACTTCATGACTTTGGTTCTAATACGTAAGAGTAAACAAAAATATGCAATGATAAAAACCTCTAAACATGTCGATTTGCATCAAGATAAGGACCCCGACTTGACTGGACTTAGTGTAGATTAACATCAGAGCCGAGTCATCCATCCTGAAATACAGATTAAAAATGATTCAATGCGGGCCAAAAGAAGCTTGGCATCTCCAAAGAAAACCTCAGTCAGATGACTTGTTGAAGCCCTACTCTCCGATTTAGGGTTTCACACTCAAATCTCCATAGCGCAGCCAGCTTTGATAAACATCATTCAGAAGCGTCATTCAATCACACTTATTGACTGCCCCAACCCTGACAAGACTGTCTATCTTCTGCTTGTCACTAGATAGTCTAGGTCGTAGTCATGGCTGTCGGAAAGTCAGTATCATCTCCTCCAGGCTCTGCGATCAAATCGTGAGCGACTCCACAAGGCACAGCACTGACATTGTCTATCAGGAACAAGCGCCTTTCGAAAGGCAAGAAAGGCCTCAAGAAGAGAACTCAAGATCCATTCACCCGGAAAGACTGGTTTTCGGTTAAAGTAAGCCGAGATTCGCTCGATAGACTGCACAACTGCTAAACAATTACAGGCACCTTCGACCTTCAATGTCCGAGAGTATGATAGCTGTCGAGCGCTTTCTTCTCCTAATACTAATCTCCATGTTCAGCGTCGGCAAAACCCTAGTCAACCGCACAACTGGTCTAAAAAACGCCAATGACGCCCTCAAAGGCCGAATCTTCGAAGTGTCCCTTGCCGACCTCCAAACCGATGAAGACCACGCTTTCCGCAAGATCAAGCTCCGAGTCGACGAAGTTCAGGGCAAGAACTGTCTCACAAACTTCCACGGTCTCGACTTCACCTCCGATAAGCTCCGATCTCTCGTACGAAAATGGCAGACCTTAATTGAAGCCAATGTCACAGTCAAGACCACAGATGACTACCTCCTCCGACTATTTGCCATTGCCTTCACGAAGAGACGGGCGAACCAAATCAAGAAGACCACATACGCACGCTCATCACAGATCCGATCGATCAGGAAGAAGATGACAGAGATCATCCAGAGGGAGGCTACAAGCTGTACATTGGCGCAGTTGACTGGCAAACTGATTCCAGAGGTGATGGGACGAGAGATCGAGAAGGCCACCCAGGGCATCTATCCATTGCAAAACTGCTACATTCGAAAGGTCAAGCTGTTGAAGGCACCGAAGTTCGATCTGGGTGCGCTGTTGAATTTGCATGGGGAGTCGGGGACGGATGATCAAGGGCAGAAGGTGGAGAGGGAATTCAAGGAGCAGGTTTTGGAGAGCGTGTAGATGGGGAGAAGCATCGGTTAGGAAGCGTAGGGCATCAACCAGCGAGTCTTGACATTCCCCAAAGCTATTCAAAGCCTTAGCAACATGCAAAAGGGCACATTCAGCGAAAGCAGCAAGTCAAGGCATCGTCAGGCATTCGGGATACTCCTATCAACACTACCGCCAGCTCAGATCATAGTCTCGTCAGACCCTTCTTTTCGTTCAACCCTGGTCCTAGTAAGCCACACACATGCCAATGTCCATACATCAGTCAGTGCCGCCCCGTCAGCGACTCTATCTCCAGCAATGAACAACAACACGCAATCCATAATGCCATGCCAGCAGCATACAAGATCTTCGGTGTACAGTACTCTTGTAGTTCCTTTTCCTGTATAAAAAAGCTGTCATCGTTGTCATTTATCTGCATTGCGCACGTGCAAAACAAGCCTCTACTTTCCTTTCCTCTCCTTCCCTTTCCTGACCCGTCTTGCCCAACTACCCCTGAGACTCAAAAAGCCGTGTCGTGTCGTGTCGTCTCGTATTCTGTCCAGCTACTTAACTTAGTAGTCTTCTCTAAGACCCGTCTCCTGAACTGAGTGCCAACTGGACTAGACGAACGGCCATATAAGATTACGCTTTAGTTCAAGTTGTTAGAAGTATGCCATGAAGCAGTGCAGATTAGATTAGTAAGCAAGAGAAAGTAGATGGAATGGATTGATTGACTTGCTATCTCAACTCCTGAGGAGTAGGATGACCGCTATATATACGCATAGAAGAGGCAAGCTATAGAATCACCTAGAAGGAGATCATAAACCAGCGTTGCAATGCTAACTGCAGCATTTTGTGAGTGTATGCGTTTCTGAGTAATAGCGCGTGGCGAACAGTTGCGGTGGTCGGAGAACTCCGTCTTCCGCTGACACAAGTCACATGAACAACGACCATCTCTTATGTCATCTTTGTCACGGCTGCCATGCTTGTCGGCCGCTAGCGCTAGGGCCGCCGGGGATTGATTTGCACTACGCGTTAGTAAGGGGCATGCTCCCTATATAGGAGCGACCCCAGTGCCATCCTCGTCGGCTCTGCAGTCTTAGGATAGCACTCAACATGGGCTGAAGATCTCGCGCACTCGTCGCCTGCTTCCAACGTGACACGTGACAATCTTGATTTTTCACGTGATCTAACCCTTTTATGATTTCGAAGTCAGAAAGGGATAGGCAACTATTAAGTAGAGAATTGCCAGCGTTGTTCTGCCAAACAGAAAGAGCTCTTGAGGATTAAATATGGATCTGTACTATGTAGAAAGTATATCAAAATGATGCTGAGTTCCTCTTGAATCTAATGATATAGGTTAATACTAATACAGATCCTAATCAATAAAGTTGACTTCTTACATAGTAGATTTTATTTTATCAAAAAGGATTCTCTATACTTAAAATCTGTATCATTAGATTCAAGAGGAACTCAGCATCATTTTGATATACTTTCTACACAGTACAGATCCATATTCAATCCTTAAAAGCTGTTTCTGCCTGACACGGCTGCAACGCCAGCGCCAGCAATTCTCGATATATTGCCAAGGGATTCGCAACAATTATGCAACGCATAGTACATGATGGGTAACGAGGTTGCTTCTTAATTGTAGCTCTTCTGCAGCTCAGATCTATAAAACCCCGTCGACTTCCTAGCTCAATCCGACATTTTGCGCAGTGTAGCAAGAAGTGGTTTTCTGCTTTACAATGTGTTGAGTTAATCACGCTGTCAGCTTAGATCTTTACAAGGCTTGAGAGATGGTTTGAAGCCAAGAGGAGGGTGTATGTATTGTAGTGTCTTCTCCATGCAAGAAAGCATGATGCTACCCAAGGCTATATCTGAATCAGTCTATCTGTTGCCATATGCCACATCCAACGCTAATAGTACAATAGAAAATCGAGATGAGCGGAAACAGAGCCCCGAAGATATAGAAAGTCCCCGGATGAAGAATGTCTCTCACCCATAGGTAGGCAAATCTAACCAGACAACTGAGCAGTAATTACAGCAGTAGTGTTGATGAAATACAACCCCAACTCCACCATAACCTTGACTTAGCGCCGGTCCAAGAGATCGCGGTGAGCAACCCATACACTTCTAAGCCAGAGGAGAGCATTCATCATCCGTTCTTGATATCATCTGTGATCTTTTCTGCAAGCGCATCTGGTCCAATTGTCAGCCGGCCTGATCCCTTCCAACGTTGTAACACAGCCACTTACAGACAGTCGCCAGCAAATGGCCTGGCGGCAACAGTGCAAAAGAGCTTGCATCCACAACTCTTAGACTCTTCGTACCAAAGACCCTGCCTTTGGAACCGACGGCGCGTTAGAGTTATCCGCCGTGCCCATGGAACCTTGAAAAGATTGAGAGTCAGTTCTCATGGCTCGCAAAGACCAAGTTCGAAGCACACGCCAAGGTAGAGAAACTCACAAGTGCAAGCCGCGTGATATCCAGGACCGGCGTTCGCGAGCAGGCATTGCAAGATTTGTTCATCGCTCTGAACAGACGTTCCTGGTATGACCTCTGATATCATGATGGCCTCAAGAGCGTTCGTCGAGGTGAGAGCCCGAATGCACTTGAGAGGGCAACTGCGACGGCTTGGTCGGTGGCGCTACTCAAGGTGTTTGTGTTGATGACTGGAGGGTCGTTTGTATCGCTGGAAGATATCGTGATGTTCCCTGCAGATTACACAATCAGAATAGGTTCAAACTTCCGGTTGTCAACGGACAATACAAGGCCCACTCACCTCTTTCCACTGGGGCTGCAAGCATCCCGATAAACTCTGCATAATTTGCTCCTGCTCTAAAAAGAAGATCGCCAATAACATTTCATAATCAGGCCAATCTTTGGGAACCTTGGCGAAATCAGCTTTGACAGAGGCTGAGAGGCAGACATGCCTGGTTTAAGTGCTTCAGGGACTTTCTCCCAGCCGAAATAATCTGCACCCGTGTGGGCTAAGAGCCCGGTCGCGTTCGTGTTGTATTGCTCTACGGATAGGATGTCGTAGGGAGGAGTCAATGTCGCGGCCAGTGTTAGAACGGAGACTTCCTTGACCACAGAAAAGAATAGGTGGTCTTTATTGATATAAGCTGCCTTTCAATGAGAGGAGGTCGGACATGAGCTGTGCACCTGCATGTTTTGTCCCACACCTGGGCGATCGACTACTACCGGAATGTTGAGGCTTTTTAATTTGTCTGCTGGCCCGCCTCCAGAGACCATCAGAAGTTGAGGGGATTGAATCTGAATCAAGTCAGCATTTCCGGCACAGACGAAGTCTCCAATCAAGAATGACACTTACTGCCCTAGCTGAAAAAATGACTCCCTTAGTCGCCGTGAGGATGGACGTGCTTCCACCTGTTGGACTGTCACACCCGTCGCTTTTTTGGATCCATCAAACACGATTTTCTTCGCCAAAGAATTGATGCACAACTTCAAGTTGTTCCTTCCTGCCTGCACCGAAGCCTGCCCAAAGCTACTCTCGCTCGAGCTTCGAGTCCGATCCTTGGGCCGAACTGTGGTAGGCGAATATTGATTGCCAATCAGAGCACCGCTGGCCAGATCAGGAAGAGTATCAACGCCAATCTCTCTGAGCCCGAACACCCCATATGACGATACTACGTCTGCCCCATTTGTATGTGTAACGTCCAAAGGCCCACCCCACGGGCTATAATTATTGACGTTGAGACTTACCATGCTAGCGTTGGCTGCCCGAATGGGCACGTTCGGTGGAGTATATATGACGCTTTTTTGGAAATACGGTTGCAGGTTGTTGAAAGTGTAACTTTGATCACCCGCAATTTCGGCCCATAAAGCGTAGGAGTCCTTGGTTCCTCTATGGTATGCCATAAGATTTGTTGCAGAGCTTCCACCGACTTTTTTGCCCCTATTTTAAGCTATCTGACGGCCTCTAGGGCGGCTTGCGACGCAGTGTTGAAACCCCAGTTCACGGCTGGATTTGAAACTGCGCCACCATAGGCAGGCACGATGCTGAGGTTACCATTGACTTTCTCGTAGAAGTCACTAGCTTCTATGACAGCGATGCTGAGCCGTGGGTCTTCAGCAAGGCGCGCTGCAACTGTCAAGCCAGCTGTGCCGCCTCCGACTACGACCTATGCGAAAGGTTAGACAAGACAATCCCTTAGTGACACAGCAAGCATACATAATCAAACTTTGCGTCTCCAGGTTTGCCGAAGTAATTATCAGGGCCTGCAGTCCATCCGCTGGGAAGTGCAACGATTCCGGCCAAGCAAAAGGCAAAGATCGCGAGAAGCAGCATTTTGACTCCAACCGAGTTTGCTTAGAAATGGGACTGACTCTATTGGAAATAACATCATTGGGACGACAACATTGTTGGGAGCTTTATGCATTTCACCAGCCGTCCCAGCTCCGTCACAACGAGGCTAGATTTTCGACCCACCGCGCGGTCAATCCACCATCCTTCCATGGTTTAAGACGCGGTTACTGATTATTGAAACACTGGGACCTGGCATACGGACGTATGTTGGTGTCCTGACAGCCAACAGTCAAGTCCAAAGCCAACAGAGCCTCGTAGAAGGTGGGATGAGATGGATGGCTCATGATATGTTGGTTTCGTACGGTGGTGTTGAGCTGTCTCTAATGCGCCGGACTGAGCACGCGAGATTGCAATCGTCCATTCTGGACTTTAACCGAGACACCACTTCCCAGTCTCCAGTAAATGAGAGCTGAAGTCACCGTTTCTGACTAAATCTTCCCACGGAATGAGATTGAATGAGGCTGCGCCGAGAGCCATAAAGTATTGATTAGAGGTGACTCGATAATACGAGCATAGGCCAGCCATTACTTTGATGGGGCCATGAAATCGGATCGCATATCTCCAGCGGCACAGAAGACAGAGAAAGTATTAGGAAACCAGTTTGTAGCCTGAAAAGTCGACCTGGTCTGTTTAATATCCTCAGACAGACCCAAAACTTCCCTCAGGGCCCGAAAGCCATGCAGTCGGCACGTGGAAGACAAGACGATGTTTCACGGACGTCACCTTTGACGGGTGACATACCGGCTGTGGCGCTGTTCGTCAGCAACAATAAGGCAACAGCTGGATAATTACAACTAGTACCGCCCAAAGGTATGTGCCCACTTTACCCGCCAACACCGCCCCACCCTACTTACTATCAACAAATTATGGCTCAACTCGAACCTCTACCAAACGATAGGATCGGCGGCCTATGGGGTGGGTGTTCGGGCTGCAGGCCACAGAGTTCAGATTTGCGCCTCCTACAATCTGAAAACCCCTCGGACTCCATTCAGGCTGCCCTATGGTCCGAGCCGGTCCGGGTTAGAATCCTCCAAAGCCAGGGCTCGAAGCAGCCCGGAAATCTGAGAATCAGGTGCTCGGTGAGCCCGCCAAGTCTATTAAGAAAGTTTTAGTTAGCTAAAAGGTTACTAGAGTGATATTAACAAACTTGACAATGTAGTCAAAGCCCAGCATTGTGAGAGGTGATTTATTGGAAAGAAGGAGAATTTTGGTGGCAAATGGCCACGTGAGCGGAGGCGTTTATGGATGTCACTGGTACTGTGTGGTATTTCGGTATTGTGGGGAAGTCCGGATGTGACTGCGGAGATCACCTGGGCCGCTTCGGTCCCGTGGGATACATTCCATGACATGCCTGCCGTCGTCTGGATTCTATCAATTCTACGTAACGCTCTACCAGAGCCTTGTTTGGGACCCTGGGTCTGAAGACATGCCCTCTCTGAGAAAGGGGCATTCAGTCTCACCGTAACGTATGGATTCTCTCGTTCATGAATTACCCTGTCTCATATTATATCTGGCTTGCAAGGTTTTCTGATTCAATACGCGCCCCACTGACATCTCTTTTTTTAATGTCCTTTTCTTCTTCCGTGTCAATGAATGGGTTTCTCTCCTCATTAAGAGTAATTAGTGTTCCCACGATATCCGTGATAACTCAATGCTAGAAGAGAATATTATGCTTGCTTGATAAAGAAAGGGGGGAGATCTCTGAACTAACGTAGTGCTTACTAGCACCAAGCTATAAATACCTTCATCTACTAGTAGTGCCGTAAATTAAGGAATATCGAAGACCGAAAGTCAAGCGCTAAGACACTCGTACCAGATTGAGTGATCTGCTATTAACTTGATTAGGCCCAAGGTGCTTCTCAAGGTAACGCCTCAGAAAGCTCAATCCCCCCGGAACGATTTGATTGACTGGTAAGCGTCAGCCAACATCACGTGAACGATCTTCCCGCCCTTCCACCAATAATTAAATGGCGCATTTTGAAACTGATGAAGTGAGGTTCCGTAGTACTACTCCGTACCGTACCTGGCATCCGCATTCGTGGCGGCATTAGTGTTCACCGCTTCGAACGCTCTAGATACACATATCCCTGTCGTTCTTGGACAGCTATCCCTCTCGCTATCCTACGCGGTTCTGTTAACTCTACGAAGATATCTACGAGTTTCGCTTTCATTCTGCGAGTTCTGCGAGTTCTGCGATTTCTGCGATTTCTGCGAGTTTTACCCTCTGGATGGATACACACGCAATCCAGTCCTTACCCTCAGTATATGAAAGAGCATTTACGTGGCGTTGTGATTTTACCTAGTGTTTCTAGCACCGTGCTATGTATACTTCCGCCTTCTGCCCTAGTGATCCATGATCGCTGATCGCTCCTGGCTAACAAATGTCTCATCTAATGCAGTGACTTGGGGCATAGAGGGTTTAAGAAGGCCCCTTCGCTACCCAAGATGATGACTCCAGCATGTCACCTTACCTGTCGATGCTGTTTACACCTCTTACTACGCTACTTATTGCGCAGCTTCTCCACTACAAACAAAACTTGATTCTTACACAGGATCGTTATGTATTTCTCTTTCCTCATTCTTGCAGTTCTTCTCGCTCGAGTATTGGCTGTATTCAACATTGACTCTTCACCAAATGCGGTCGGTATCTGCTATTCTGTCTGGCATAGTCTTGGCTTCAAAGGCCCACAACCACCAGACATTACGGAAATCGAGAATGGCCGCGGAAGCTTTGCTGGACGAACTGCTTGGCATTTCTGGGGCCGTCCAGCCGGAGGCTACTACGGTGGAGGCAATCGAAACGTCTTGAAACGCCATTTCAGCCAACTTTCGGACGCAAAAGTTGACTTTATTGTGATTGATGCAACAAATTTACAGGTGCGCGGAAGATCTCATTGATTATATTAGAATTTTCATGAGTTGAACTCTCTTAGGGTTATGGAAATTATGCCCCGGGCCTATTTACCGAGCCTTCAGACGTGCTCCTTGACGAGATGAGACTACAGAGAGCTGCTGGTAAACCCACGTGAGTAGGACGGGAACTCCTGTAGGTTTATGAGCTGATATGGGCTTGACATAGACCTCATGTTGTGTTCTGGGTGCGAACAGATAGAGCCGACAGTGATCCAACAGCAGTTGGCCGCTTCGTCCTTGATAGGTACTATAGAAATCCGGCTTATTCGGACTTCTGGGTGACACTAAGCGGAAAACCTCTACTCGTAACAACCGATACGCGTCCAGGTATACTGGCGCAGAACTTCACCCTCCGTAAAATGTGGGGACTTCAAGGCAAACTTGCAGTGGGCGAGTGGTCGTTCCTTCAGGATGCACCTCAGAATGTTGGCATGAAAAACGGTTTGCCCGAGCAAGTCAGTGTATCAACGGCAAAACAGGCGACCTACATGAGCAACAAAGCAACTGCGACTCCGAGGAAGCAGGGCAAGACATATCAATTGCAATGGCAGCGCGCGTTTGATGTCCGCCCAAAGGTTGTCATTTTAACGTGGTGGAATGAATGGATGGCACAGAGGCAGGCTGATGATGCATCTGGCAACCCTCAGTTCGTCGACAATTATAATGGAGGTAAGCCTTTGAGCACAGATTACATCTCTGAGGGCATCAATTAATCCTTCGTGGCAGAGTATTCGCGAGATATCGAACCTCAGGATCCTGCTCAGTCTAATAGTCATGGCAGCATCTACTTTACCTGGACCAAAGCCTATGTTTCAGCTTACAAGTCAAACCAGCCACTTCCTAGAAACTTGGTTGGTTACTGAAACTTGATATATGCGCACAGCAAGCTGAACCTCAAGATTCAACTGGCTAGGCTCATAGTCGCTGGTGAGGAGACACAGAAAGTGGCTTAAAGGCGCATATTAGAGGTGGGAGCGCTCCAGGACAGCCAGCCATGCTTGGATGTTATTTGAATATTACATGGAGGTCGCTTTGTATTAGGGAAAGGTGTTGGCACAACCGTTAGAACTAACCAACGTAATTGGATCTTTTGACACAACGCAACTACGCAACCTTTTCGTCGCTTTGTTCTAAGTTTTGGTACAGTACTCCGTACTAATAGTACAATACAAAGTAAAAGAGTGGAGAGAAAACTAAATGAGACTGTTACGGGTTAAGTATTAGGGGTAAGCCCTAGACCTAACCAGCCTTGCTACCAAAAATACTAGTTACGTAATCGACCACTGGCAATATTGTAGTAGTCCGCTTTAGATGTTAGGGCCAGGGCTTGGCACACATTGTTGTAAAACCCCTACTACTTACTACTCGTCCCACCCGCGTCTGCCCTCGAGATAGAAAATCAGGCAACTTACGTAGTACACACCACTGTCATCGTTAGCACCTCGCTATCGCTAGCTCTGACGCCCAGAGCCACACCAGAGCCACACCAGAGCGTCGAGTTTCTGCCCACCAGAAGCGATCGGAGGAGCCGCACTATGTAGAGTTATAGGTGGTATACAATCGTAATATAGCTTCGAAGTTCGGCAGAAGCCGAATCCACCCTTCTACTCCTCAGCTATCCATAGCTAGCCCCTCTATCGTTTCTGAACCTGGTCCGGGGTCTGAGCGATGGATCGGTTGGACCGGCATCTCATGTCGAACTGGTGATCCTGGAGGCATCTCATGCCAGACCATTCGCGGCGCACTCCGGCCACCTGTAGAGGGAAGCTGCGCTCTGAACATCTGTCCCTGATCATTTTGGTAAAAGTATGATTGCGAGTTTGCGTTATGGAGGAATTTGGCCCGTTTTCTATGGCGGCGGAGGACAAGGAAAATAGCAACCAAAAACGTCGCAGCGCCGGCAATTGCTCCAATGACGATACCGGCCTTTACTCCTGCTGAGAGACTTGTCGACTCAGCCGCTGGAGATTGAGGACCGTCATCACCGGTAACGTGTTCAGCAAGAGGGGTCCAGACACTATCCCAGCTGGAGGTCCAATAAGCCTGTCCATCAATAGCTGTGATGGTCGAGGACAAGTTTTCGAGTGAAGTTGTAGTGGATGGTGGCAGTCGCGGCCCTGGTGCCTGTGCCATCCACCATAACCTATTGCTCCAATTCATGCCAATGAAGGCCGCCTGAAGGAATGCCCGGCCAAGATGATACTCTTCGTCTTCGGAGTTAGGTTCGAATGGTCTGCATGGAAAACAAGGAGTCGCAACCTCAACCAATGGCGGAGTCAAAGTCAAGTTGAGCAGGAAAAAAGGCACATTTATTGTGAAATTGTTAAGACTTCCGGTCTGTTTAAAGGTGAAAGCCAAAAATGCCGGCGATGATATTATAGTCCTGTATTGGGGAGAATCCGTGTTCCATATATAGAGGCCTAGAGAAGGCACGAAGCCGACTGGTAGATAGGCAGTGATTGAATCGCAGGTGTTCCCTGGGAGGTGGAGATAAGGAACTGTTGGGTTTGGTCGAACTTTTATCTCTGTGATGCTGCTATTCTGGGTTTGAAGCAAGCCATCCATTCTTCGGAACGAGAATGGTGAGCCCCCTTTCGCGACACCAATCGAAATATCGAGAAGAGAGATGAACAACTCACCGATGCCTCCAGGAGATTGAGCCGTATTGATATCGCTAATAACACGCGCCATATCGTATCCTCCGAAGACTAGCGAACCGGGGATACTGGCATGTACCGAACCGATATGAAGACCCCAAGTGTTTGATTGGATCAACCCGTTGCTCGAAAGATCCAAGGGTAGGTTCGTGCCAACGAAGTCTTCGGTCATCGGAAAATGTTCTCCACCAAGGGAGAGAAAACCAACATCAAGCGGAACCTGGCGACCGTCAGGCAATTGGTATGAGGTATCATTGATTGCCGCAAGACTAGTATTTTTGACCGAACCGAAGCTCTCATGAAACACGTCGTCGGTGAAGGCCAAAGCACGACTTCCAGACAGTGACATCGCGGGGCCTGCACCCCAGCCTCCATCAGGAAGGTCGCTCCGCCCGCTTGGTGAAAAAACCTGCGAAGAGCCGGCGCCTGTCTCCGCTAAAGAGGCATCGTAGACGCCTGACACGCTCGTGTTGTTCCGTCCGGTCAAGTTTGTCTGAACCACGTTTTTGGAAAGAACAACAATTGGATTATTACCACCAGGATATAGGTTAATCAGCTGCTGCGGTCGACCCACCATTATTGGAACGGCCTGCCATGGTCCGTCAAAGCCGAAATAGTGAGTCTCGTTGAACGGGAGGACGACTGGACCAGCGCCCTGAACACCGACGACACAGGACAGGACAAAGGTAGCAAGAATCGTAAGAATCATAATGGCGTCTTTGGAAAAATGCTAGGATAGGCAGTGATAACTCTATGGGGTTTAATCCCTTGATTGTTCACTTTGTTGGGCTGTCCTGCAGTAACACAGATAGAAGCAGTGTAGTTAGGAAAAGTTGGAGGAAGGTTGAGCGGTATTAGGAAATAGGACCACAAGGATAATAGAGCAGCAGTATGATCAAGAGGTTCGAACAGACTAAAGTAGAGAGAAATCTATGTACAGTACAGAAGATCAGTATAAGTATGCCTCAATCTTGTGCTGGATTACTTCATGCAGCCTTATCAGGAAATGTAAAAAAGTTATGCTTATGCATATCCCCTGTGCCACTGAGTGAATCTTCTTTAGAAATAGACTTTCTACGATTTAACACAATAATTGCTGTGTGGCTGTGCCCACTAAGCCTGCCTAAGGCACTGTGGCAAAGTACTTGTGCGGTATTCAGAGCTGCTTATTCATCGCTTAGGTTACAGCTACATGTACGGAGTACTCAGGTCTCAAACTAGAAATAGAATTAGGAAGATCAAGATTCAGGTGTGAGTATAACGGAATTAAATTAAACGAAACGAATTCTATTTTACTGATTTACTTATCTAAGTGTGACTGAAGTAAAATGGATGTTCGAAGATGATAAGATGATGACGTGGTGTTGAAGAGGGTTTGGTTGATTAGTACGAGTTGTACCTTATGCGAATTTAGTGTGAGTGCTTGGGAATGAAGGCAATGCTGATGATCAAGTGTCGTTTGGGAAGACATTTGACCATCACCTGATAGAGGCCAAGACACTGCATCTGATGACTGCACACCCATATTCATGGCATTAATTTCTCTTGACTTCCTTCACAATGTCCGACTACCTATTCCGTCCACAGACGCCCCAGGCGATGCTTCATCACCTGCTGGACAAGCCGGACCTTTCATCCGATACAATACAAAACCATCAAAGTACATAATTCTCATCATAGATTCAACCACAGTAGCAGGCAAGGTGCAGGTGGCTCAATCGGTCTCCAATGTAATGCTTTGATAGATTCATGATGTGCACTACGAGTAGCAAATTTATCGCCCAGTAGCCAACAGTGAGGCTCAGGTACAGTAGTTGTAATGATGGCCATATCGAAGAGGATGCCACGCGATAGACAAGCTTCTCTTTCTGGATCCTTGCTCAGCTCACAAGCTCGAGAGTGCTAACATGAAACTATGACACCTTCCCTACCGAACAGGCTCCAGAGGTTGAAAATATAAACTCAGATTCCGACGAGCCTTCGGCCTTGATATTCGGCCCGTCTATCTTCCGCTCGGCTCGGCACGAGGCCAAGGACAATAACCAAACCTAGGATTCCGTATTCTGTAAGAGACCTGACGTGGCCTTACCGGAATCGGAACGCTTTTCGAGCGAAAGGAGATATGAGATCAATGGAGAAGCCAGTCAAGGGATCCAGAGAGTAACCAGGTCTTCCGCCCAATTTTGAGGCTTCATCGAACAAAGCGTAACATTGGGGCGGTCTGAGGACCTTGACAATGTTCTCGATGGCCAAGGCAACGTCCTTCGCAAAGCCTCCAAAACGATAAAGACAGCACCAAGATCAAAGTGCTTAACAAGTGAAGCTCTCACTGATTCCAAAAACGATGTAATGCTTCTGCAATCAAATTCAATTAAATGGCTTGGTAGTCAAAGGATTGAAGACCATTTCATTTGAGAGTACAAGTTCTTTGTAGATACAGTACTAACGCAAAAGTAAGGGTCCATCATTGAATTTACATCAAAAAAAGAGGAAAGGGGCGGGGGGGGCAAGTCCCACCTACCCAGGTCTCGTTCCGATTGAAATAATAGCCAACAAATATCCGGCTCGAGAGCATAGCAACCAAACTGCTCAGCTTTTGATACAGCGGCAGCGGCGTCCATTTCATGCCCAGAAATTAAGCAAATTACTTATCAATATTCCCATTCCGATCCCACAAACTTGAAGAAGAATCCCATCACAACATACCCTTCACATCCCCAATATTCTTCCTGACCGTATACCCCACCTCATTCTGCAAATCATTCAAAACATTTGGGATATGCTTCGTCAGGTCCGACTTTGCAATTCACTAAACAACATCAGCATCCGGTCCCCACCACATACGCCCGTCGTCCTAGGCCCCTCCCTTTTTTCTTTTGGGGAGGTGTTGAGGGAGAGGAGCAGGGCGGAAGCCGGGTCTAGATCCGACCTTCACAGCATGCACCAACCAGCAGAAGACACCAGACCTTGTGATGAAGGGGTCTACGGAGTGATAAGGGGTTTTGGATGCTGTGGCACATAAGACAGAGTAAGAGTAGCCTGCCAGGGTAAACAGGGTCTTCCTGTGAGCCTGTCTCGCCAAAAATGAATGCTTGGTGGACGAAGGGACAGAGAGGGATGATAACGCTATGAGGAGAGGAAATAAAAGCAGAAAAATAGCTTGTTTGGGATCCCAGGTTGTGGCGAAGCAGACTGAGGTCCTGCTATTGCAAGAGCCCCCTAAAACGCGTCAACCTTGTCCTGGCATGGAGATAACCAATAGAGCTGTCTTTTCTTTGAACTTGTGATCAAACAGTTATGGAAGCAAGTAAGATCACACAGCACATCCAGTATATCGCATAGGTTGACTAAGTAATTTGCTTTATGCTGATCAGGTTTCCGTGTTAGCATGATCAAGCACGTGGAATTCGGTTGACCCACCAGGATATGAAGTAGCTAAAATGTGTATGAGGAGAATGATTTCCAAGTAGAGACGTTGTATATCACGGAAGAGTTAGTTGAACTCGCAAGTTTGATCAGCGGGCAAGCCAGTAGTAAGGGTCAGAGCCATGGAGTCCACCAGCAGGACAGGCAAGATGCTGAAAGTTTGCACAAAGCCGGTAGTGACAGCGGAAGTTAGCCAAGTTCTTGGATGGAAAGGTGCCTGCAAGCACTGTAATCACAACTGAGACATTTTTGGCTAGCTGTCCCTGGATCATCATCAAGAGCAGTTGGCTTCCTTCCATGAGCCACAAAATGCAATGTGCCCTTTCTAGACGGTGCCAATGATCACCATAATATCTCGTCTTGTCTGGCGCCGCCCCCGTTCAGGGCCGTTTGTTCTCCTGAAATCTCTGCTCCACCATCCTCAGCAACTCCTCTTCTTCCAGTAGTAGCTCATCCGGGTCCTCTGCAGCCTTGATATGCTCCTTCCCTTCCACTTTACCGATCTTGTAGCAGAATCTACCAGACCAATATCTCACATCCAACACTCTCATCCCGTCCTGCTGACCCGCAGCCCCAACCTCGTCGCCTACTAAGAATATAGGTTTCCTGAGATCACTGTCCCGACAAAGAAACAATCCTTGCAATGCTGGATTGTACCGGGGCGTGCAATCATAGACATAGCATTGCTCAGAAGCTTTGTAGCCGATGTCGACGATCTCGCATATTTCACGGCTGGAATCACCTTCACCAACGACGAATACAATATCTGAGAGGGCGAAATTGGGTTGTGGAACTGAGGAGTCAGGTGACGGCAGGGGATGTAGTTCCTGCAGAAGACTGGTGGCGGAGGACGAGGTATTGGTGCTGTGGATGGAGGATGAGCTGGTGGAAAGGGCTCGGTATGTCATGGCGAATGGCTGCGCGATGGCGGAATTTGCGATGCAAAGGTCAAGAGAGCTTTCAAAAAGTGGAATTGTGAGCAGGTAATGCTTAAAGTATCCCCAGATGAGGACCGGCCTGTTCTTGGCTTAAGCATCCACAGTCGAGCATAAGGTACCTTCAAACACTTCTTGACATTTTGAGGAAGAAATAAGGTCGCAAGGGCCTCATTCGAGCAGTGTGGCAACGCTAAGCTCAGGATCTTGGAAATTTAGTCGCAATATCAAAACACGTGGGGTTTTGAAAACACTGTTGATCAGTAAGGCCCGCCTGCTTTGGAGGAAGCGACGAGAGAGTCTGGAATATGGACAGGATGGGTGGATTTTCCATTTCTTTAGGAGCAGCAAAGTAATAGCTCTATCCACTGCGACTGCGACTGCCATTGCCATTGCCATTGCACAGAGAATGCTGATGATAAGCGAGGACATCCTCGCCGGTTGCAGAGATGCTGCTGGTGCGCTCTCTCCCGATAGCACAAGCCTGCATCACCCAGACCCTCCATAAAAGCACACAAGCTGCCCTGCGGCAAGCATATCGTCATCTCTCTGCGAACATGTTGTTTCAGTCACGGTTGCGCTCGGCTTCATCCCATCCTCTTCACTTAGTCGGCCCCTTCAAGTAGCCTTCCTCCTCTTTGTAGCAGCCGCCGCCATCTTCTCCAGCTTGCCCTCCTCAACATCAAGTAAGAGACTGCCCTTCTTCTTCCCAGCCCCTGGAATTCTGATCCAATACACGAATTTGCCATTCACAAGCTCAAGACATTCGACGCTCACTTTCCAATCACTGATGACTCCCACCCCATTCACACGGTCATCCAGATCCCTGACGCGAAGCTTTATTCCTGGCTGAAACTTAGGCTTCCGGAGGTATTCATCCTTGCACACGATGATGGTTTGGACAGAGAGGAGAGTATCGATCGTTTTGCAAAAGTAGACGTACTCGCGTTGTTGAAGCCTGTACCCGAAATTGATGACTTCGCAAAGGTTAAAGCTGGTGTTGGCCCTGTTGTCTGCTAAGCCGAGGACGAATACAATATCATGCTTCAAGTATGCTGGAGGAGGGATGACGGGTGGTGATCTCTTTGGCTTTGGTTTCGCGTCAACCGGATCTGACCATTGGAGGGCCATCGTTTGTCGCTTTTGCAGGAGTTTCTTTGCCTGGCTGTGCAGCCTGATTGATATTGCCGTGCTCAATTCAAGGTGGACCTTGTTCGGAGTGATGGTCGGTGGCTGCGAGATCAATCAAAATTGGGAGAGAGTATGCCTGTTTTGTGAAACGATGGTCGCGTGGCCTCTGGCTTGGCTGTCAGGAGAACGAGGTCCGAGAAAGAACTCAGGACAGTGCCTGTGCACAAATTTTCAAGGTGGAGGAGTTCCATAACGAGAACACCGCAGACAATCACGTTCGCAGGGAGGCAATTTCAGAACATTCCTACAAAGGTACCTTTCCGAGATATCATCACTTATGCTGTTGGAGGATTGCTGCTTCTTTAGGCACATGCCATGGATTGTCCCCTCTTGCCATTCACTACCGTGAACGCCTCTTTATAGCTAGGAGCCCCTTTGTAAGGATGATGCTGGGTAAATAATTGTGCAGAAATGTATGGAGGATGTTAGGAAGACAATTGGCGTTGGAGGAAATCAACCACCCCTTTCCGGAATTCCTCAGGCTTTTCACTGATAACCCAGTGCCCGCTCTCGATCTCAAGCAGCTCAAACCGTGGAAAGAATCGACCGATCAATGGTAATGCCTCATCAGCTACATAATGACTTTTCGTCCCCCTTACAAACAGCGTTGGCCCTTCATATCTCGCCTCATCTGGATCACGAAATGGGAAATCCCCCAAGTGATCTAGGGAGTTTGCAAGAGTTTTGATGGGAATGCGAAATTTCACTGCTTTGGTATCGGGTGAACGAGTCAGGTTTGTGAGCAAGAATTGTCGAATTGGTAGAGCTTCCTCATACTTCTGCAGGATTGCATCAGCATCCGATTGCCTGCTAATCTTAGAATCTTCAATAAGCCGCATCGCTTGTACATATTTTCCAAAATCTGATTTCAGGGCGGCGTCAATTGGACTGTTATCGACAGGTATAAGTGCGGAAACTGTTTGCGGATTTCGTAGGGCTACAGTCATAGCAACCTTAGCGCCCCTGAACAGTTGACCCATGTTAGCAAAAGTGTCATATGTGCTGGTAAAGGCTCCCCTAACATAGAGTGTCCAATCAAGGTAGGCTGTTCTAAGCTCTTCTCCATGATGAAACCTTCAACATCTTCTGCCATGGCAGTATAGTCATGACGAATATCGTGCGGTGATTCACCATGATTGCGAAGGTCCTGACTAGTAAGTCAGCAAGGGAAGGAAACATAACCAGGTGGGACAGACAATTGCGTAGACTGGTCGGTTCAGATCTCTAGCAAGGGCCCTAGTTGGTGATTAGACAGCTTTCGACAAGCGCATAAAATTCCTCCTTACTTACTGATGCTCCTATTGTTCTGCTTTGAGCCAAAGAGACCATGCATGAAAAGAATGGGTGGGCCATCCCGGGAGCCGACTTTGGGAGACTCATGGAGCTTGTAAGCGAGTGGAACGGTGTGTTTTGCAGTTGATGTGGCGAATGCTCGCCTTGTGAGCGTACGAAGGGATGGATATCCAATCATAACCATAAAACATAACAAAGCTAGTTTGCAGCATGGGTGAAGCGCGTTGTATCCGAAGGGTGGATGTTTCCTTCGATGTGTGCAAGTGTATTTTGAGCAGTGCGTGGTGGTCGGTAGTTAAATAAATAAATACGAAATGGCTTGGCACATACGTAACTGTCCATTGTGTCCCAATTCAGGTGGAATCTGTGTACTACGTATATGGGACGAAAGTAGGCGGAATGGTAAATCATCTGGGCTTCAAGTACCACCCAGTGTCATATTAGTCCTATAAAGAAGACCCTTTTGGCTCATCATACATACATTGACACCTCCCGTGGGGGCTTTCTCGATATGGAGTACAAGGACCTTCACGATATGCTAAATATGCTTCTGGAAAGACATGCTCTGTCACCCTGTCATTCCTGTTTTATATAACAGCTATGCCTGCACTTCCAGATATTTTCCTTACATTCTTGGTCTACTTAAGACCAAGAATGATAAATGGGAAGAAGACGGAGAAACTACTCGCAACGGGTGTAAGAAAACAGAGCTTGCTTGGAAGATGTTAATGTGTACAGGTCATATTAAGGTTGTCTAGATACATGCAAAGAGCATAGCTTACGTTCTCTTTCAAGCCGTAGCGTCAGCCATCCTCCTTTCCATTTTCACGCAGGATGATTTTGACATGGCGATCAAAACCAAGGTCAGTTGAAGCAATACCTCCTGAAGCAAGCCGTGCAAGCCGCGGGTAAGGCTCCACCCACCTTCTTCATGATTGCACAGCCTAGACAGGTCGGGTATTCGGAATCGTCATTTTGGGTAGCAATTTTTATGCCATTGGCAATCATACCTACAACTAAGTTAGTCATTGTCAGTGTGAAGCTCGGGAAGGGGTATTACCTCTAGTCTCATCGGGTTGGTACTGCAGCTTGGCTGTAGGCTGGTTACTGGGAAAGGTGTAATTGACGTTGGGCACATAGATGATGGTTATCTTGCTGGTGTCGTTGCAGCCGAAGAACGTCGCGCGCTTATTTAGACCTTGACTGATGAATGTCTCCACCGAAGGGATTATTGGCATCTTTGTTAAACCGGCATTGAGTGACTGGACGTATGTGTTCAGGATTGCGCTGCCGTTGGGGAAATTGTTAGTGTCGGCAGAGTTGTCATTAACGACGATGACGTCCACCTCACGCGATGGCTGCAGCAAGGGGAAGATGGGATTGTTCTGGCGTGCTAGGCCTCCATCCACGAGCGAGAGCTCTTTCTGAGCTGCGACAAGTGAGGAGCGGTTGTAGTGGAAGAACGGGTTCGGGTAAATGGCATATAGTTCGCGAGTGCTCAATTGATGCGCGGCGCTAACTATAGCTGCGAGGTTTCCATTCAGGGTCGTTGCATTAGGCTGCGGGACATTGGAGCAGGCTGTGTTGAAGAGAGAGCTGGAGGTTCCAAGGGCGAAGCCGAGGTTGTCAAAATTCACGGTACAGCGGCCATTCTCGATAGGCTCTCCATTGCTCAAGTTGGATCCGAGAAAGCGGGATTGAATGAAGGCGCTGACTTCTTTGTCCCAGCTTCCAAACTCATACGGTGTCAATTCATAAGTTGTGGCATTTGGGCCTGGGAGACACTCGCCCTGGAACGTCTTGACACCTACACCAGTGATGATGGGATAGGGACTATTGAAGCTGCTGAAGTTAGATCCTGAGGTTATCCCGGACAAAGTCTTGTCTACACCGCCGTTGAAGCCCAATAACAATTGGTATGATAGCAATCTTCCCCAGGGATCAGTTAGTGTTGGTGGGAAACCTGCCCTGTCTTTCGCGACGACGTCATTGGTAACTTGTGCATAAGCTACCGCACTTGTGAGAAAGCTCGGTAGAAGTAAACTATCGCGGAAAGCTTGGATCCAAAGGTTGTCCCTCAAAAATGAGATTTTAGGATAGTCGTTGCCAGCCAAAGAGGAAAGAAGCCATGCACCTCCAGACAATCCCGCCTGATATGTGAAGGCCTGGTAAAGCCCACTCGTGGTAACATTGCTGTCTCGTATGTCGTAACCCTGAATGACTCCCGCGCCACAAAGGAGCGAACGGTACCCACCTCCGCTGGTAGTCAAAGCTAGCGTAGGTACTCTCCCAGTATTGTTGAAGCCGGGGTTTGTCTTCTGGAGCCAAGTTCGAAGTCCCTGATCAGCTCTTGCCTTCCTACTTCTGAAGAAGCTCGCTTCCGGGGCCGATAGTCCAGTTGCCGGACGTAGGAGAGATGTGGATGGACATTCGGCCTGACGCGGAGCATATCCAGAAGGAAGCTGACGGACAGTGGCACCATTGCAAATGGCGAGGAAGAGCGTGTAAAGCACGAAGAAAGAGAGCATAATTGCCATGGACAATTAACTCAGTCGATCGCCTTAAGCGATCGTAAGAGAGACTTTCCACATATAGGGAGGCCATATTGTATCTAGAATGTAGTATGAGTCAGGGGGACCTGCCAATTTTTGCAGAGCTGGAATGATGACGGCGACAGATGGTCTGAAAACGGACAAATGCACGTGGGACCAGGCGTGGATTGTGATTGACGTCGGGGCCTTGGGGGACCGTAGCCAAGATGATTGATCCATGTCTGACTTCTAAGCTCCCAGCTTCGGATGGAAACGATTGGCCCTTCTATTCTTACTATGAAGACTACATGATGTACTAGACCCATCCATTGTACAGGATTGTTGGAGCCCTGTAAGGTCCCGAAGGTACCTTGTAAACAGTGGCTAGGGCTCGAAAATCTTGTTTACAGTAACAATTTACAGTAAGTACTAGTCCTCCGTGTTGAAACAGCCGTAAAAAGGAAAGGTAAATGATTATTGGTTAAACCCAGATCTTGTGTTGATGCAGGCTTTACGGAGTAAGTATCCTTGTTCCTTTGGACAGTGGTGCATCTTGTCTCGATGTTTGAAGGGAAAGTTTGACTACACTACCCCTTGATAAAGTAAGGTTGGTAGCTGAAGTCGGTGGATGCGCTGTAGACCTGTAAACGCTCTGCCAACTCTTTGAAGTTTGATTGAAGAGATCTTTAGCAGCAGCACTGCCGAGTACGGGCATGATGGTACCTGATGCTCAGGAACCTCTTTCGTTCCAACGATATTCGTGCCCCGGAACGACGAGGGCCCAAGTATGAATCATCATCCTGATGCCCAAATACCAAACACATGAATCCGTCCATCTGCGCAGCCCTTACTGGACACTTTGTAAAGACCTATTCATCATCTCAGGAACAGCAGTGCAAGTCGTTCACTAAGCATCCAGTCAAATGGGTCACCTTATCAGAGTCTGATTGCGATTCGCTTCTTCCACATTGCATTGACTGTTTCACATGTGCCTCGACAGCGGTTCCTGGGTCATGATTCCTTGTTCTGAGTTTCAATCTCCATCTGAGGTACCCGTCTCGGTTTCTGACGATTCAGATGCCAGAGACCCATCCTCGTCATCCGAGCTTTCGTACTGCGTAGATGGATTCGATTCGAATGGCGTTAACGGCAATCCCACCGGCTCATTGAGCATCCAGCGCACGGAGATATTCAGCCATTCTTTTGTTAGGTTGCGAAAATCGAGAAACTCGCTGTATCGAACCTGCAAGCGTTGGTGCTCTGGAGACATGTATGCTTGAAGAATGCGAGCTCTGCTACCGTATATGGATAGCATGAGTATCAGATGGTGTTAACTTGGTATTGCTCATTGTGAATGATGAAACACTGACAGGAATGACTTCGTGCTTGAGATAGGCTTTTCGAAGCATTCTAGCGCCCATCAATTCAGGGAGTATCATCAATTCGTGACGGGTTGGCCCCGTGACATTCTTAATCTCTCCACATACTAAGCACGAACGATGTGGAAGTCCATGTTTGGCCGTGAACGTTCTGGGGAGTGACCACCTGGTCTGCTCGGTGGGTTCGTTCATCCCACGTTCAACAGAGGAAGGAATTCTAATTTCTCTAGCAAGTTGCTCTTCGAAACGACAGTAAGGTCTTCACCTCACTCAAGTCAGCCAACCGTATACAAGGTATTATTATAAGTTGTACTAACCCGACCGGCTTCCATGATGTGAACTCATATGCATACAAGATGTCTTCCTCATTTTCTCCTGGATACCCAAGACAGAAAAGCTGATCATAGATCGCACGCCAGATCTCGTAAGCATCGTTTTCAATTGGGGAGCTGTCATCAAACGAGAGTCTTGGAATTTGAGGTTGCTTGTCGGAGGTGTCCAGATGCTCCTGTGACATTGGTCGAAAGTACATGCTTCTTGTTGGAATTGGCTGTACGCGTACGGCCAATTCCAACATTTCCCCGGTTCGTTTCTTCAATGAGATTGAATTGACAGATGTCCACACCTCGACGATGTAGCTCGTCTGCTTGCAAATTGGAGACCATGCTGCTTCGGAAGTATACAAAAAGCACATCGAGCTTGTTGAACAGATCAAAGCAACGCTTTGCATTACGCTTGTAATGTAGATCCACGGAGGTAGTCATCTGGAGCCCATCAGTCTTGCGTCTTGCTGCCGGTGTGTTGCAGTTGCATCCTGTATATGCTCTTCATGGTGCCCTTCCATTGGGCTTGTGTGATTTCATGGTGGCGGTAACTGGGGTCCTTGACAGACGTTCCGATGCCTGCTGGTGTGCAATAGCCTGGTCGATGCTTATATCGGCAGTAAAGCACAATGGTGACCTGATCAATATCTTAACGTGAGTACTTTACAAAAGTTGACTGACTGGAACAATTTGGGCTGCAGAAGAGCTCTATGAGTCAGTGCTTCTTGCTGACGATAACAGGGGGGCGAGGAGCTCAGCCTTTTCCGTTCACTGAAAGCCCTCGTGCCATCCAACAATACGCTGGCATCATAATCTGCACTGTGAAGTTTTCCTCTATATCCATGCAATCCTGGTATTGCAGTTAATTTAGCTACCTTCTCTTACAATCATCCATCGCGACTTGTTCTTCTTGCGAGGGTTAAAGTTCTTATGGAGGGGCCTTGATCTATCGCTTCGAGGGAGTAACCCAATCGTCTCTTTAACTGCTTGCATAGTACGACTCGCCGTAAGCTTGGCTACGAATAGACTCCTGTTCATTTCAGACTGGCGAGGCGAGCCTTTCGAACAAAGCCGCAAATAGTTTTCTCGGACTTCTTCAAGCGCTTTTGCGACCGCACCTGCCACCGATTCTTTGAGGGAGCGTAGACTAGAGTTTTTGAACTCAGCCGCTAGTTCTTGGATTGGGACTTCCTCGTTCCGGACGTGACGTAAGATGTCAAGTAGATTTGATACTCCTGGACGGTTTTCGAGGTCGTAGGAAATGCCTTCTTGTGAGTCTGTCAGCGCTGTGCGGAATTTCCGATGTATAGTCTCTTCGTTGTCTGTGATGAGTATTCTCGAATTTGGGTTGGGATCCGATTTGGACATCTTCTTGGTCGGGTCTGTGAGAGACATGATTCGTTTGGCAGGCGCTGTGGAACTTGTAAGAGTTGCTCTCACATGTAGGATGAAGAATAATCACATACAGATCATAGCTTGTGGAATCTGGAAGAATTTTTGACCATAAGTGTGGTTGAAGCTGTTGGCCAATGTCCTGGCGAACTCGATATGTTGCTGCTGGTCTTCTCCAATAGGGACATGGGTAGCGCTGGGTAAAATTTAGAGCAGATCAGATGGTCAAGAGGTGGGCAACTCACTTGTAGAGCAGAACATCTGCGGCTTGAAGCACTGGATAGGAGAACAATCCCAGTTTCAGGGCAGACTTTGCACTGCTGTCATGTAAGGAAGCATCCTCAGGCAGATTCAGTTTGCTCTGTATATCTTTCAGCTACGAAACAATGTTCACACGGTGACGAAGTACCTTCCACTGTGTCATTCGTGACAAGTATCCGGTTGAAGCTAAGGTGCTGAGGATCCACATCAACTCCGTATGCCCTGCCACCTGCTATCGTTAGCGATGCTAACATTAACACTGCCAGGTACATAGCTTGCTCTTGACTGAAAGAAGATTCGTGATATCTTGGGATCCAGGCCAACAGCTAGCAAAGCGGAATATGTCTCTAGATTCCATTTCCAAAGCAGTTCAGGGTTTTGCGGAACGGTCAGGGCGTGATAGTCAACAATTGAGAAGTTGAGTATATCATTCTTTGATCTTTCGTTCTGTAGTCGAACCCATGGTCGAAAGGCACCAAGGTAATTACCAAGATGGGGGACCCCTGTGGGCTGAACGCCAGAGAATATGATCCGCGACGGAGCATCACGCAAAGCACTGCTGTAGGTCCAGCGACGGCCTCGGAGACTAGAGTTGCAAAAAGCTCGCCTGTGAGAGTTGAAGGTCAATGGTTTACCCTCTAAGGCTCTACGATTGTAACGACAGGGTTGCATGTCGTTCTGGGAAGAAAGGTGGTTAGAAAGAGTAGACCAAGACTGCAGGATGGTGATCATACCGTGACTAGTACAATTACTACGTAGTACTACTAGTACTATTAGTACTGTAATAACAGCCCCTAGTTAATTCAACGTTGCTTGGCTGCTGATCCTGTACGTACGTAGTACTAGTAGTACTCGTGTTGCCCAGTAGGGCTATCAGCCAGAAGCATTCTGGCCTGCCATGGCTCAGTGGATGGCAGAACGTGCGCACCACACCACAAAAGACTCACATTTTACGGCGACCCGCTGCAACATATGTAGGATACTGTGTTGCATTGCATGAGATTGTCTTATCCATTTGCTAAAGAGCCAAGAACTTCCTCCCAGGGTATCTATCTCTGAATCTCACAGGCCTGTTTTCCTGCACGGGTGACTAGATGAGAACCCACACCGTGCGCCAATATAGCATTACTATTTTCAGAACGAAAGGACTGTACATGTCTCTTGTTTCCTCGCCATGCATCACGTGCAATGGTTGCGTAAGCCTATTCACCTTCTGCCTTGTTCACCACCTCTTTCGGACAATAGATGAGTCTTGGGCTTTGCACATCTTTGTGTCGAGTCTCTGTGATTGCCGTCGGTATTCCTGCTTCTGTGCGTGAGTCTGCTGCTGAGTCTTTGATCCGCTTCTCCATGCAAGGACGGTCCATCGGCAAGTCTGATTAGTCATCAGGTGATGAACCGTTGAGGGATATTACGGGTTCTTTATCAGGTTTGTCCCCGTCGAGAACAAACATCATTAGCAAGATCGGCACATTGTCAAAGACCTCATGCGCGACATCTACTTTGTCGCCGCCCAGCTCTCCTCTGCAGCGTATGCCAGGTAGATCATTGCTCAGGATCCATCTGGCCTACCTGCTGCGATGGCATATGCCCGTAAGGTCCATACATGCCCTCGAACGTCATCTGCTGACCAGGGTTGACGTTGCCGTACCCGCCAGTGGGATCTGTACCAGGAACGTGGGTAGGATATCCCATGGGTTGTGTCCTGTACTCCTGATCTGGCTGGCCCATTGTGCCAGGGTGACCCATAGCGCCATAATCCATGTGCTGCTGCTGTGGTGGTGGAGGCTGCTGCGGCATCTGTCCACCCGGTTGAGGCACGCCTGGCGCTGCAGCTGCTGGAGGAGGCGCTGCGGCGCCTTGTCCCGTTCGCTTGCTGTGGCCTTGTGAGTCTTCTCGGGGGACGATATCGATCAGGAAATCGAACATATCACTTTTTGCTAATGCGGCTGCAATGTCCGAGCGTTGTAGGGTCCGCCTCTTGTTATCTTCTGCGTGAATCCAAGCGCGCATGGTCAGTTCGGTGATGAATATGTCGCAGCCTTTCGCAAACAGAATAGGGGCCTCAGCGCTGATCATTTTGACTTCTGGATCTGCTTTCATGACCTTTTTGATGCGCGCAAGAGGTAATTGGTGAAGCTTGAAATCATGGCTTTCGGTTTCGAGGGCGGTGATCGTTTGATGCCAGTAAGTCGCAAGGATGTCTCGAGCAGTACCGGTGAGTCCTTGATTTATCTGTAGATGAAAGGTGACGTTAGTTCGTGAGACCACGGTGAGCTCGAGAAGGGGGGCTTACATTCGCCCACGGACCCGAATACATATCATTCTGTGGTAAGTATCCGGATGCTGTTAGCTGTAAAGGTCAGATTGATGCGCTCATAGCTCAGGAGATTGTTTGCGACATACTGCTGCGCTTGCGCCTGTATGATGACTCGGATTAGCTTATGAATAGCGATGGATGGTCACACCGTAAGGCTGCAGAAAAAAGGCAACATGAAGTCAAAGCGTAGAATTAGGCACGAGCATTCGAGGCTCAACGATTGGATAGCGGGACGATATGGCTGCCATGCCATTGATGACAATGGAGAATTCTGATCGAGGAATTGGGTCCAAAACATACCATAATGACCTCCCTGGTTGACATCATATACGGGCTGCTGGGTTCTTTGCTGTTGCTGCCCGCCGCCAGCTGTAGACGGATCCATGGCTCCTTGGATTCTGTTTGTCGCGCCGTTCGATTCTCAATCAGGATTACCAGGATGTGCTTCTGCGCCGCACAGTATTTCCTGATTGGTATGAAGCTCTTCACAAACGGGTAAGGAGAGCTGCGTATAATTGGATTCGACTCGGTAGGAGGAAAGGAGGAAAAACGTTGATTCGTGGACGGGTGTGAAAGTGGGAGAACAGAAGCGGTGTAGAGCAGGGTGGCAGCTGGGGCGGGCTTCCGGTGGATGGGTCGAGGGGGTGAATGCGACGGAGGATTCGGTCACTCTGCAGCAAAAGTTGTGAGGGGTAGTAAAAGTATGGACGGGCCAAAAGGTGATGGGAGCGATAGAAGCTGCGTCTTTAGCTGAGTACGTCTATCACTGCTATGGTAATATGTGATAATTCTATTGCCTGCTTGGGTGGAAAAGGGGCGCTCGAAGCTGTTCTTATGAACGCAAGCTCTACGGAAAGTAAACATGAAGCTCTACTGTGGCCAATCGGCAGAGGATGGAGCTCTGAAGCTTCTGCATCCAATGACTTTGTCTGGCAGATTGTCATCGTGGCTCCAAACCTGGTCGAGCCACACAGTTGACAACTTGACTAGCGGCTCAAGGCGAAGCTTCCATTCAGTGGCATGCTCTTCTACTGGCTCGTCACCAACGAGCCGTTGGGGAAATGCCTCACTTTGAAGGCGGTGATAGGCTTCTCGTCGATAGGGCTGAAAGCGCCGGCAATCCTCTTCGTGTTGGATTGGTTAGGTGTTTGTACAAGTCACTGGGTCTGTCAGGTACCCGCTCCACTCTCAAAGGCCCATTCGTACGCAGTACGGTGTCGTGCAACAGCGGTAATGACGAACGAACGCAAAGCATCTCAACGTCGCTTAGGGACCTCCATGGCTCCGGGCTTGAAGGTTAGTAACGTCTGCCAACTGTCCATCGAACTGCCTCTGCCATTTGGACAGTGGCCAGCTGAACACTGATCCACCGAAGATGCCAATCAAATCGCAGGCTGCACTGGCTCAAAACTCCTAATGCTGTCGCAGGGTTGAATTCGTCCCTTTGCAGATTGATCCTGAGATAAGTGAGGGATAGTGTTGGGAAAGGGCCACATCAGGGTCTGCGAAGATGCTTCACTCTGGCTGGTCCGCAGTTCCGCGAACTCGTTAAATCCATGTCGAGATCAAGTATTGCTAGAGAAGAGTGATCAGCCTCGCTTTAGGTATCAATGCAGGAACCAAGATGTGTTGTCAAATGAAATGGGGAAGATGGAAATGAGATGATTGGTTGCCTCTCTTGCTCGGCACACCTTCCTCTTACACTAGATTTTTGGGCTCACTCTAGCCAAACTTTCTCGCAGCAAAGAACGAAGTACTATGCAGGAGGAATGATAAAGAATATCCTGACTCACCGCTCCGGGTAAGATCACACGTCTCACATTTTCAAATCTCGATCTACCTTTATGGCGCTGCAGGCCACCGCTCTTGAGCCTGCACCAAGCTCCTCAGAAGAGTCCGGCATCCTAAGCGATGAACAGATCGAGCAGCTTCTGCACGAGGCCGAAGTGAGGTTGAAAGAAGCGTCCGAGTCGATCGTTCAGGCTGCAAGAGCCCCAGAACTTCAGGACATTATTTCAGTGGGCAATATTCGGAAGCGAAAGCCGTATGTGTGCATTACCTATTACTGAGCCAGTAATGATTAAGAGTCTGAAGGTTGCCGAAGCTCATTGGTAGCCTCAAGAAAGCGTCCTATATCGAACAGAAGAATGGTATTGCTCAGGCCGATGGAAAACGACTGCTAGTCGACAAGCACAGGAAGCTGTCCAATGGCTTGAGAGCCGTTGAGCTGGATCAACTGGTGAAAGGATCGAAGAAGAAAGTGAGCTACCATTTACAAGTCATCCTGCAGCACATCCATGAGGAAAATCAACCGAATTATGCATTCTTGAGGCAGATCAGCGATTCGTCTTGGATCGTCCTGCCTTCATGAGAGCCAAATCTTTCATAGTTACTCTGACCAACCCGATCTCTCTTATCGTGCTTTCTTAGGATTCAGTGACTTCAGAGGCTAAAAACCCCTATAGGATGAGAGACCGACATCCGGAGCTGAATGGTTTGACCTACCGAAGACAGTCTTAACACCGCAGTTGAAGCGCGACCTGCAATTGATCGAAATGCGATCCGTTCTCGATCCACATCGGCATTACAAGAAGGCATCAGGCGAAAACAAGGTTCCCAAGTTCTCGCAAGTAGGAACAGTCATTGAGGGGCCCACAGAGTGGTACAGCTCTAGGATCAACAAAAAGGATCGAGCGAGAAATTTTGTGGAAGAGGCTATGGCTGGGGAGAAAGAGTCTGGTCGTTTCAAGAGAAAGTACAACGAGATTCAGGAGAAGAAGACAAGTGGCAAAAAGTCATACTATAAAAGCTTGATCGATAAGAGGAAGAAGCGCAAGTGATTCCAGTCGCTCCGTTGGTTTCTATTATCCCGAACAGCTGCGCCATGAATGCTTGCAGCGCCAGCCCAGCAATGATGCACGAGCATCCTCAACAGATCAAAAGACATCCGCGATGATCTGGCTTACCAAATTCTGTAACCTGTCAGCACCATCACGGTACAACTGATACTCCACCAAAATCCTACCTGGAAATCAACCGCGGCCAGTCGCCCCTCTTCAATGACTTCTTCATGATTTGCTTTGCCCTTATCATCAATATCCTTAAGTTGCTGAGCGGTGGCATTCTCAAGAAGCGGATCATCACCGCGAGGACCAGGTTCAAGCAGCGCATTATTAGTAACTAGGCTCAAGGCCAATACGCGAATGCCGCAATGTCTTGCTACTATTATCTCGGGCACCGTCGACATCCCTACTAGGTCAGCACCTAGTTGGTGGAGCAAACGACATTCAGCCCTAGTCTCGTAGCTAGGTTGAGTCAGCATACGGATTCTGGCGGGATGGACCGCATGCAGTTATACCTGGGTCCTCCCACAAATGCATATACACCTTCATGAAGTCTTCGTGTGCTACCGCTCACCTTGCTCTTTTGCCACGCGGCGTGTGCAGCTCTTCTGAGGTCGAGGTCATATGCGTCAGACAGTGGAGGGAACCGGGGTCCGAAGTGGTCCATATTTGGCCCTCGAAGCGGATGGGCACCAGCGAGACCGGCAAGAAAAATATGATCATTCAGGATAACAATATCGCCAACGGCATATTCGGGATGCAGCCCTCCGGCTGCATTGGTGACGAGTATAGTTTCTACACCGAGAAGTTTAAAGACCCGTACCGGAAATGTGATTCTCTCCATCGAGTGCCCCTCGAAATAACTCCCAAGTCAGCTTGCGGCGATCTTTTAGGATAGCTAGCTTACGAACTGTGTTCGTCCTACCATCAATACAGCTGGCACCTTTCCTGCAAGAAATCCAAATACTAGTCTGCCCGCATGCCCTTTCACTAGATCGGTGCAATTTCTATCAGGAGTCGGAACCAATCACAAGCACGGACGTCTTACCCGCAGAACGTGAGAAGTGAGGTATGAAGGCGTAGTCTAACTCAACCTTGTCTTTGTCATGTACAGTGCCAGCAAGGCCTCCCAATCCAGACCCGCAAATGATGGCTACCCTTGGCTCTCGAAGATTTCTGGGTACCTTGTCTCTCAGAAAATCTGCACTTTCCATGTACATTTCCATAGTTGTGTTGTCCATAGTCAAAGCGCAAACGAGATACTTGGTCCGCTGAGTTAGGACACGCTCGGCCCTGTGCATAGGCAGGCGCTGGAGCAAGCAGAATGAAACTGTAAGAAGAGCATTGAAGGTTTCTTGCTCTCGGTGTCGTTGTCTAGCGTATTTGGATCAGCAGAGATGATAGGCGGCGTCTCTGAGTCTAGTTGTTTACCGGCATCGAAATCGAAGGCTATGCTTACGTAACTTGACCCAGCTTTCACTGCCGACAATATTGGCTGTTTGGAAGAGTCACATCTTACCATCATCGTCCCATCAGTTTACCCCGTCTTCATCGTAGCTTTTGGGTTGGAAAGCATAGGATGTCGGGACCCAGGTCTTTACGAGCTGCTTTCGAGGCCTGCCAGCCACTGCGAGTACGGAGCAAGTCAGTCTCCAAGACGACGCCCGATTGACAATTGCTAGAAACCATCCCCTTATTCGAAAACCCCATCAAGCTATCGCAGCTTCTATACATCACGCGCCTCTCTCCTTGCAGAACCATCTCTGTCTCCTTCAGAAAAGCCGTCCGACTCCTACGACCTTCAGTCACGCATCGAAACCCCTCAAACTCAGCCCATCACCAGGACATCTGTCAACGAGCAACCCCCCTCCCCCCCCAGCGCCTCATCATCTCCTCCAAAGCCCCAGCCTACCCGTCGACTGCGCTTCCCCCGCGCCGTACAAGCGTCCTACCTGCAACCCCTCCGCTACAAAGGCGGCCCAACATACAACCACCCCGTTTGTACGCTGCAACTCCGCTCCTTCTCCGTCCGCAACGTTGAGTTCATGGCCGACTTCGCCATGCGCGCGGCCTTCTACCTCAAGCTCCGCGCCAGGGGGCCTGTCCCTCTACCGAAGATCGTGCAGCGTTGGACCGTTCTCAGGTCAAATTTTATTAATAAGAACAGCCAGGAGAACTTTGAGAGGATCACGTTGAGGAGGCTGATCCAGATTCAGGATGGGCATACGGAGGTGGTCAAGGTTTGGCTTGCGTATTTGAGAAGGTACGCTTTTTGGGGGGTGGGGATGAAGGCTAATGTTTGGGAGTTTGAGGGTTTAGGTACGTTGTCCCAACCTCCGGCGCTATACATCTATAGGAACGAATCGCTTTGGGTTTTTTTTGGGGGCATGCTAACCACTTTTGTCTCTGTAGATGTCGCTGGAAACATGGACAAAGCATACTTGGACATCGAGCAAGAGCTCGACGAGAAGCTTTCTTCCTTTGGCTACAAGCACAACGTTGCTGGCAAGAGATCGGTGCCGAATCTGCTGAGGAACCAGGGTATGAATTTGCCGGGTAGGCCGATGATGGAGCTGCGAGGGGACATTAAGAGGGAGAGACAGCCGCATTTGACGGAGAGTATATACTAGACGTTCGTCCATGGCTCCACCACAGATAGGATGTCTTGTAGATGGAGAGATGAGGATGAAAGACCTTATCCGCGAGCCATAAGCATGCAGAGATATGTGTGCGGATAAGCCGGCAGATCTTGCAGATCTCTTCATCTGCATACAAAGAGAACATCATACAATTACAGTGACTGCCATCTTCCACATCCCGTCTCCAACCTCACGGATCGTGAGACCAAGTCGCCCGATCTAGCCCCCGTGTTTACGCGAGGGCGATCGACTGTGACCCGACTTTAGTGGAGCTCAGCACAAGAAGAACAACAACTTGTCTTGAGTGGGTTTCTTCTCCTCCCAATTACTGGTTCTATTCTGATTCAGTACGGGAATGTCGGCTGGATCCTGTTGTGCAGGCTCGTCGGTGACTTTGAGCTCTGTTCTCGCCTCCTGAGCCTGGGCCCCTTTCCCTAATGTCGTGGACGAAACAGGAAGGTAGCTTTCGATTGAGAGGTTGGAAAAATTAGTGACTATAAGCAGTCACAAGCTGTGCGTGTTCTTCTATTGATCCAGTCCTACCAGATGAGCCACTTCTTGACCAAGCTCCGATGTTTGGTAATAGTAGACTGTGCTACGTAGGACGCCTCGCGGATATCCCTTGTCCCAACGCACCAAGCAGGTAACCATCAATTCGGATCCTTTCACGCATCTATCCTACCTCATCCCAAATCTAGTCCCGAACCCCTTTAGCCTCTCCGCCGCACTGGTCGCCGCAGTCTGCGGCGCGGCTTCTACAACCTTCGTGATCTTCTCCAGCAGCAGCGGCCCATTCAGCGGGTTCACCTGTCCATATTTCCTATTCCTCAAGCCACTATCATAGAACTCGTCTGAATTGTCCGACTCCATCAGCGCGACGGTCTGTTGGAGCTCATCGAGGTTCTGTTGGAGGATTGGGTTTTGCAGGGAGGAGACGAAGTCGCTAAGGAAGTGGACGTCGATGCTTAGGGCGGAGATGCCGTTGGGGTTGATTTTGGTAACGGTGGGGGAGAGGGGGAGGGCCTGTTGGGAAGATATTTGTTATTTGAAGGCTCAAGTGAGGAAGGTATTGCTTGTGAAGAGGGAGAAAGCCAGAGGAGAGAAGGTTAAGGTTCCCGCCGGTTTGAGATCTCTAGTAAATTCGCATAAACAAGACGCTGCTCGACTTACTAAAATTGCTTTGGCTGCATGACTGATGGCGTCAAAGTAAATGAGTTCCTTGATCTCGGTCGGAAGACTAAGCAGCATTGAATTCATGATATTAGATAGGTACTGCGTGAGTGTCTGGATGTATGTGCTGGGTTCGATCGGCTTCGTGGTTCCAGCCCAATCATATTCTGCCGTCTCTACCAAATCATCAATCTTGGAATTGACAAGCTCAAAGATACGCTTTTCGGCTGTCTTCTTGTTGTTTCTGAACTTTTCCGTTGCCCTGAGAGAGACTGACCCAATACTTGATTCGGGTGACCGCGCTTTGACGAGCAAACTTTCTAGTTCTTTGCAGGCAGTTTCGAAATGTTCGAGGTTGATAAGGATTTGCACAATTTGACCAATGTATTGGACGCTTAGTTTTTGGACCAGCGAACCACACACTTCTTCGCAAAGAAGATCATCGAGAGCAACTCTCAGAGCCTCATCAACAACCTCACGATGCGGGAAATCATCGTTGGCATAGAAGTAGAACTGGTTGAGGAAGTTCCGGATGTCGATGCAGCACAGAGGGTACATTTGCGAAAATGGCAGAACACAGGGAAACTTCGTATCATCAACAGCTCGCTCAGGGCAATACCAGCTGACGGTAATGACCTTCTCAAACTCTTCGGCATTTTGTATCGGCATAGGCATATAATCGTCTGTAGATACAATCTCGAGAAAATCGTCGCTAAACCTACGTTTGAGTAATTGAGCATATTTCTCAAACAGGGTCAGGAGAAAGCCGCTCATCGCAGCGGTAGGGAACCTCCAAGTGTTCATGGTCTGGATGAAGAGCGCGATGAGGTTCTTGACTTTGAGTAACTGTTCGGCGTTGTCAACATCGGGTAGCGCTTTGCCTATTAGTGATATCGCTGTTTGACATAGCGAGTCCCACAGCTCTTCGACCTAAACACGATCATCAGTACACTAAGAATCGGAGACCTTGGCAGAGCAACGACTTACATCGATCGAGGATCTCAAATCGGGCGCCCTCTTCATGGTTGCCCTTTCCACAATCGCAAAGCCAGCCATGTCCTCCAAGAGGGTATGAAGGTTTGCCATGTCTTCATCCACTAGAGATATCGAGGCAGGGAGAAGCAGCTCCTTCTGCCGCCTTCGGGTAGCTGCATACTCTGCACGAAATTTGTCCATCTGACCAAGTGATTGGTGGATATGTAGACACTCGAAGAGTGGTGTAAAGTCGACCTGTAAGTCATCGTTGTTCAGCACATCGTATTCCTCGTGTTCATCAGATACTAGCTCAATGGCGGAATTAAGCTTGAAATTCGAAAGATACGGTGTTCTTTCAGCCCTCTCTTGTTGGCGTTGCTTGCGTAGATCTGTGTTGTAGAAGGAAAGTTCTCCAAGATACTGCGACATCTCCCGAATTCTGAAGAGCCAGGTGTTGAGATCATTCATGACCGCATCGGCAATCGTCTTCTGTGTTGCAGGCACTGATCGTCGGATCATTTCTGCAATTTTGTATTGGGTGACACTTCGGAGGTGAACATTCTGCAGTTCGTCCAGGGCCCGCAAGGCAGCATAGAAATTTTTCCTGGCGAGTAGGTCATGCACCTGATTCGCAAGGCGGAGAACTTCAAGACAATCTTGAAGTGCATTGCCTGCCTCATTAATATTCTGCCTGACTCCTCGGGAGTCGACAAGGGCTTTCTTTTGCTGCACAAGTCTCTCGGTACTTGATTGAATGGATTGACTTAAGCTCAAGATTTCAGTCGTGAGGTTAACAGTACCTTCACGGATGCGCAATAGCTGGTTGACAGATGTTACGAATTCTTGATGACTAGCGTTACATATTCGCTCAATCTCATTCTCCCTATCTCCGGCAAATTCTGATAACGAATGTAGGAGTTGTGAGGTCTTGTTGCCATGGCTGTATTCACTGATCGAAGGTATGAGTTGGTCCAAATAGTCTGTGTCCGAAGGTGAGAGCACGATCTAAACACACGGGCATTAGTCGCAGCCAGCTTCAATAATACTTACACCATCCGACAGGTCAACAAACTGACCTGATTCAACACATACGAGGGGTCACTCCGAGCAGGAACGATAGAAGGCATCTTTGGCCTCAAAATTTTAAACTATCTTCATCCCACCTTTCAAGCAACACCCAAGTCTGTTTACCACCCTCCGTATCTTGCACTTCTCTGTTGTTGTTCTCTGCGCTGGTGAGAGAATAAAGACCACAGCGTGCACACAATCCGCATGCAGTGCACACAAAGATGACCGTGGAGATTCGAGAGCCTGCAGCAACGATCAGGAAGCAGCTTCAGGTTCCCTGTATCATGGTTAAGAGCATCTTGCCCTTTTGCTCCAGAGCCTGTCCCCGATCACAGGGCTGGTGATCAGACGCCGCGCCAAGACGCTAGTTGCGGTTAATCTGACAACAGCCGCCTCATGCTGAAACTTCTATCCCCTTTGGGAAGGAGCAGTCCACTTCCTATGTCGAATATGGGTGTCGTGGAATGTGAATATAACGTTGAAGAGCGCTCGCGAATGTCCTAAAGACCTATTAAAGCAGATGAGCTGCGGCGTTGCCGAACTGTCGGTAGGACATCATGCGATGGCTGCATAGAATATGGGAAAGATGAACCCCATATATAAACAAGATGTGGCTGCAGCGTTGCCCAACGTCATTTACATGATATCACATCAGCCCATGGCTTTGAACCGTGAAGACTATGGCGCTCGCAACGATAAAGAGTGGGTAGGTGAAAATTCGCACCTTCCAGCCAAGCGTCAGCCCGTACCTTCCGCATTCGATCTATGAATCAGGATGACAGCCTATGGAGCCCTGGGAGGGCCTGGAAGAGGGAAGCAGAGGCACTCTGACCTGGCCTTGGTCTCATCTCACTTGGTTTACCACAGCCAAATTGTGTGAGGGCTCTTTTACGAAGTGAGAGACGCAGTGAGATCGATCAGAGATGACAGGAGCTTGGACCGCCTTCCCCTGTCGTTCTATGGCCTGGTGTGTTAAGCCAGAAGTGAGAGAGTTCCCGCACGATTTGGCGGGTATCGTTATCAGGTTGGGACCGTCCTGGACACCACGCATAGTGATTTATATGGTGCTTAGCCGGCTGCAGGAGCCCAATTCGACAACCCCCTCTCCAGCTGCTCCATTCTTTCCTCACTCTTACCATCCTGCCCTCGGATATTCTGCCAAGGTACAGGCTCTACTCCCAGCCCAATTGACTCTAGTGCGAGGACTGCTCGCCTGGCCATCTCCATATATCTCTCTCCCTCCACCAAATCTCGAAACTTTTCGCCACCATTCTTCTTCACACATCCCTTCGCCCCATCATCTACCTTTCCATCCTTCATCACAACTACTACTCGTAGCCTCGACGCCAACATCAATCTCATCTGCATCAGCAGCAGCATCTTCGCAACGCGTAAGTCATCCTTTTTCATCCTCATCTGATCTCACATCAACCCTCCCAAACCTCCCGGTGACGTCAATTGACGTGTCCTATCCCCAGCCTCAACATCCAACTCATCTGCTTTGGCAGAGACATCTTTGCTACGCGTAAGTTGACCTGAAATGTCTTTACTTGACACCTCATCATCATTCTCATCCGTTGTGGCGACTTCATTTGACGCGTCGTGCCTCAGGTTCGACATCAACTTCATCAGCATCATCAGCATCATCTTGCTACGCGTAAGTCAGTCCTCCACACCTTCATGTGGTGCCTCACAGTCCTTCCAACACCTTGACATCACTTCCAGTTCGACGCGTCCTACTGACACTGCATCGATTAGAAACAATATGACGCGCTCACTTGCTGGCACTGGCATGAGTTCAAGCAGTCCTCAGTCTTTGGGGGATTTCTCTCATCATGATACTCCGTCTACCAACTTGACCGCGTTCTCTCCAGATGTAGTAAAAGATGTGGACAAAGTCATTGCAAGCCGCTTCAAGGTCAGTATCACCTCTACCAATGAGGATGCGGTTGGCAGCGAGGATGGCAAATTATCGTAAGTGAAATGACGTGCCACAATTGGCGAAGAATTTTCTGCTTACAAACTTGGTAGTGAGCATGATCCTTTCACGGTTCCTACCCCTACTCCAGCACGATCTGCGTTATCTCCAACCGCCACAAGTTTCACTCCCGGCGAAGTCAAGGACACAAAGGTCACTCGTGAGCCTGTCTTGACTGCCAGTGGCCGCATCTCCACTGCTTGCATTGTGAAAGTTCCTGGCGAAGCGAAAGCCGCTCATGGTCGTGTAAGCTCCCTCCACGACAATACCATCCCCGACCTTGTGACAACCCAGGTCACTTATTTTGATCAGGCCCGTACTTCCCATGGTGCTATCGGAGAACCGTCTCCTCCTCAAGCTCTTGTAGACGCTCTTCGTCAACTGTCACTCGGTGGTGCTGCCATCGTCGATCAAGATGGTCACTACCGTTTCTCCAGCATCATGGAAGGTTCGTTCACCTCCGAGGAGATATCCCAGCGCGCTTTCAAGGTCTCTGTCTTCTTCGGCAAGGAGTCTCTTGGTCATCTTCAGATGCTCTTCAATGTAAGTCAACCTAAAAGTCAATTTATGTGATGCTTCAAACTCACTTCGTATCCAGACCACTACCTACCCATCCTTTTGTGGTGTCATCAGTCGTAGCGAAACCGCCGTAGAGACTCTCCTTGTCTCGTTCTCCGACATTCGTGATGCAGTCAAAGCTTTCGAGGACGTTCGCAAGGGTCACTGGGCCGTCACTTACGTAAACCCTAAGGCCCTTGGATTCGAGATCACTGGAGACTTCGGACTGAATGGGCCTTTCCGCACCATCAGCAACTATGAGGGCCAGCTCAAAGCTCAAATCCTGTTCAATCCTCAGAACCCCGCTCTGACTTCTCACTATGTCATTCCATTGATCAAGGACGTACTCAGCAAGTATGGTGAAATCAAAGCAATCCATTCTGATCCTTGTGCCATTCCTCACGTCAAGGCCTACCGCATCGAGTTTTACGACACTCGCTCTGCCACTGCTGCTCAGGCTGCTCTGAACAACAAGGATATCGGCGTAAGTTCTGTCGACAAACTATGTCCCCACATTTCCACTGATGTTCTCACAGTACGAAATCAGCATTAAGCTTGAGCCCAATCGTGACGACGCTGCTGATCCGATGGTCGAGACTGTACCTCGCCGCCATGTCGAGCAGCCAAGCATTACCGGCCGCTCTACTGTTCCGATGAATGACCCAGTCTACAACTCCCTGCCAGCAATTCACTACATGGACTACAATCGTTCAGCTCAAGGCGGTTTCGGTCATGCTCCGGCTCCCAATCACAATCAGGTCGACATCATTCGCATTCGCCTTGGCCTTGACGTCCGTACTACTGTAAATCAACGTTCTCTCACCATGCTGAGGCTTTCCTAACATCTTCTTAGATCATGTTGCGAAACATCCCCAACAGGATCGATCAGGTATTGCCGCCACGTTCAGCGTTATGGTTCCATACTCACCTACCTAGGCAATGTTGAAGGCCATCCTTGACGAGACGAGCTTTGGGAAGTACGACTTCATGTATCTTCGCATCGGTAGGTCACTGTGGCTTCTATCAGTTCACGAGTGCTAATCCTTGATAGACTTCGCCAACAACTGCAAGTATGCTTGTAGAGTCTAACTGTACCTGATTTTGGGTCACTGACACTTGTAGCGTCGGATATGCGTTTGTCAATTTCGAGGATGTATGCCACCTAGTCCCCTCTTCGATGCTTTTTGCTGACTTTCCCAGCCCATATCTATCATTGATGTATGTCCGACCTCTTCAAGCATCCTTCCATCACTGACCTTGTAGTTCGCCAACGCTCGTGCTGGCCGTCGCTGGTAAGACCCATCCGCCATACACCTTCAGTTACCTTCACTCATTTCAACTTAGGAATCGCTTCAGCAGTGACAAGGTCGCAGAAATTTCTTATGCCAGTATGGACATGTCCGTTGTCTGTGACTTACCATCTCTAACCCCCTTCATAGCCATCCAAGGCAAGGACTGTCTCGTTCAGAAATTTCGAAACTCTTCTGTGATGCTCGAGCATCCCACATTCCGTCCCAAGGTATTTCCTGGCCGTCTCCCCTCATTGTCTGTACTGACTCCTCCAGATCTACATCACCGGTACTGGTCCCGACGCTGGTAGCGAAGAGAAATTCCCAGGACCCGACAACCCATCAAAGATGAGACGTTCGGTGGAGAATGCAGAGACTGTCGGTATGCGGCGCTACCTAACCCGTGGTCCCAGTCCTGCTCATCATACCCGTGATGTCCCTACCTCCCCAACTGCCCATCGTGCCCGACAAGTCTGCTTCGTCTACGACCCACCAGCACGTGTCCCCATCCATGACCCCGAGACATCCCAAGGCCCTTTCGAGTTGACACTCACAGCCCTTGGAAATGCCTGCTGCTACTGTCCCGTCACTTCTTCTTACCTCTATGGTGTCACGCATTGCCCAGACTGTGAGGGACGTCGCAGCACACATCGCATCAACTTCAATCGTATCCCCACCCGCCACTTGCACAAGTTCCATTGCTTCGATTGAGTTTGGCCTGAATACTTATCGTGTTGACGCAGGTCTTTTTGCACCTCGCCATGGCCAGCAGTTTCGGGATGACCAACGCCGTCGACGATCTCAGTATGACCGAGGAACAACAGCAGCAGAAATGGAGGCTCGGCATGAAGGCATATACGACCCCGCTCGCGATCCCAGAACCTTCGGTGCACCTCGTTTCGGCCGGACGCCGTTTCTCCCATATTATTGACGCGTTTCACCTTGGTATTGTCCTGTTGGGGAATTGTGTACAACCTCAGGTCTGAACAGCTCGTACCTTGCCCACCGGCTTGGCTATGATGCCTTCAACACGACTTGGCGGTTGGTCTTTGTTTGAACGAATGGTCCTTGGGGATCATGACTGGAGAGCATCGACAAGCACATCACCAACGGCAACATTACACACATTGCACATCACCACATCACCTGTTCTTATTTCCCCCATCATGTCTGCCCCCTACCCCCATGTCACTTCACACATCACAACACATCGATCGAGCTTTGTCATCCACAACATGACTGACTTGTCGAACATGTACGAGTACTCTGCTTGAGCCTGCTTCACATGTTCGCACAGCCAAATCATGTACCCACAACCACATCAAGTCAGCCCAACTTGTGGAAACTTACCAACTGTCATGTACATGCGAGCTACTTGTGCGAAGGAAGGGAAGAAGAGCTGAATGAGCTGAATGAGCTGAATGAGCTACACCAAAAGTTTGTTTGTTAGCCAAAGTGATGTACTTTAGAACTCAAGGAGCAGATCGCGTCACCAACAGCGCACCTGATCCTAGCGAGTGATTCCCCTCGAAAAAGCAAAGGTGTAATTACACAAACCCCGTTCCTTCCATCGCGACGTTCTTGTGAGAGTAGTGCCTAGAAGATTCACAGTAGGACTTGACCTTGACAACGACAGCGACGGTGAAGTTACAGCCAGAGCCAATGCCATCACCAAAAACCCCGACCTTCTCATCGACCTGCTAATTCTTCTACCCCTCGGCTTTCCCACCTTGGTCAAGGTAGTTCAGGTTATTTCTTCTCTGCGTCTCCGAGCACTTGATCACTGTAGCCTATCCTCCTATGGTCCACACACCATCATAGACAGCTACGACACCGAATCAAAGTCGGAGCAGACTGTTGTTCAGAAAGTGCGAACTGGCTATCCTCTGTATTGGCCTGAGCCCGGGACTACAGCAAGTTCGACTTCTACATGGCAGGATTCCCCATGCTATGGTCCACTTGATAGGTTAGGTGCCAATGCAAGGGGTCATGCGTCGATAGCAGTAGCATGAATTGGACTACTTCCTATCTCATCGCTTGCAATGGACGACGTCTGATCTTAGCCATTCAAGATTCCGAACTTTCGCCATGGCCTGTCAGCACTGGGCCACGTCACCGCTCTTTAAAAAGTACGCCGTTCAATCCCCAAGCACCCATACTGTACTAATGCTACTCGGTCCCGCATATCACAGCACCTCGCTATTTACAAAATATTCAACCTCGTCATCCCCTTGCGTATACCTAAGCAGAAGCCTTGTCTTGGTCCAACTCAACAGCCTCACCCCAAGAAGCTCCCGTTCCTGCCAGTCGTCTTCCTCCCATGGCATTTCTTCGGACGCGCCCCCGGCTGTTCGCGGGCCTGGGAGTAGTGTGGTAATAGGAACAAAGTTTTTCTTTTTGGGCTTCCACAATGTGCAGACGCGGCCGTCTTCGGAGTCACTGCTGGTGACGGATAGGTTGGTCTTGATGGAGAGTCCGGCAGACATAGCTGTGGAAGCAATGGCCCTATCGTCAGAACCTTCGCCTGCAAGGTCGCTGTCGTCGACGTTGGTATCTGACCAATTGTCGAATGCGGCCATCTGGTGCCATAGCGTATCGGTGATCGAGAATTGCTCTGGTTGATGAAGAATCGAGGTCTCGTCGGCTGGTTGGGCGGAGTAAGTGCTCGAGCCGTTGTTCGAGTCGTGATCATTGTGCTTATCTGCACTTTGCTGGTATTCCTCCTCGTCCTTGGTTCTCTCAACGTGAAGCGCGGCAAAACGGTTAGAAACCGGTTCCAGGATCTGGAAGTCACCACCACGTAGCCTCGATGGTTGTGACAATGCTTCCTGAGGCATCCTACTAATTGGAGAGTTCGTGGTAGATTGTTGGCTTTGAAGATCTGGCTGGGGCAAGGATTGCCTCCAGGCGGCCAGGTCAGTGGCAGCCGTTCTTGTTGATATAGGCGATCCGCGGTAGCCATGCCGTCGACCTGTCCCACCTTTGTGGAAGGGACGTCTTCTATCACGGCAACCTTTGCACTCGCAATTCTTGGCGTGAGCCGCTGTGCCGGCATGGGACGCAATGTTGTCCTGCCTCACGACTGCGCGGTCATCTTTGTACTGTGTACTGATGAAACAGGGACTCTCGAAGAACTCTTCATAGGCTGGTGGGGATTCGTCTTCTGGTGGTCCATCTTTGGTAAGAGTGGCTTCAGCCTGAACCTGTCCGACAGCGAGGCGATTATCAGTGTCTACATGCAACTTGTCGACGATGAAGTGCGAGCAACGGAGAAGATTGTCAATTGACGCTTCAGCAACGTTTTGACCAAAACGCCGAACAAATGCAAAAACCATGGTGTTGACTAAAATGGTGAACGTTGTTGATGCCTCCAGAAATTAATGTGGTGTAGCAGAAGATGTATGATGAAGAAACATGTCAGAAGACAGAGGGAGGAGTAAGGGAAGACCATGGGGTTATGCGCTTGCCGTTGATGCTGGAGGAGAAGCTGCTATCCATCTCCGGCAGCTGCGTGTGCAACGAAGGAGGGAGAGAGCGAGGGAGGTTTGAGGAACCATATTGCATTCTGCATTAGGAGAACCGAAGCCAACACGAAAACTCACTGGTTACTCCACAACTCCTTTGACTATTCCAGTTGTTCGTCAGAGACATGCTCAAAGGCATAATCGAGTTTTTGCATCCAGATCATTATCAGCCATGTGGAAGCGATCGACATACGCAAAATCCTACTGGACTCCATCGCCAGCGACCCAAACGCTCCAACAGAGGAAGATTATCACAAAACAGGTACCACTCGTTAGCATATAAAATCACAATCGTAGCCTTCTTCCCAGATTCCAGCCGCGAGGCGTTCCGTCTTTTGTTCGCCTGAGAAATGCTGTCGAGCTTAAGAATATCGATAAAGGCGCTCGTTACAGATGATATGGTATGCGGAGCCATCAAGCACGCAATGTGCAGCTCGCTCTGTTTGAAGAAGAAGATATAGTGGCAGAGAGGAGAATCGACAGGCAGAGACCACAGATACAGCGCATCAGCGCCGCCGTGGGCCGCCACTAGCAGCCTGACTGTGACCACTTCTTGGCTGGTCCATCCTCCTGTCCAGTTCATCAACTCTTTTCCTCAACTCTTTGATCACATCTCTTATCCTCTTCACTTTGTCGAATTCACCCTCGAGGTGATCGATTTCCGCCATTATTCGTTTCATTCGTGCAATCTCCGCATCGGCGTTCTGTATCATGTTCCCAGCTCTGTCGTAGCTGGCTTGCACTGAGCGTTGAGTCGCCTCTTCTAGCTGAACAGCAGTGGATCAGTAGGGGCGCCCATTATCCAGCAGCGTACTCACATCAGCTATGCGATCCTGTATCCTCCTCATAAGATGCTCGAAATGAGCGTATAATCTCTGAAGACTTCCAGGGTCAAGGAATACCCTGCCTTGGCCACCTTGGCTGCTGGCTGCGCTGGCTGCACGAGAGCTAGGGTTGGAACTTCGGCTCTGACCTCTGCCACGACCAGCTTGTGATTGCGTAGCGTGTCCTTGAGCTGCAATCTGTTGTTGCTGGCGGAGAATCTGAATCTCAGACGCTGTGAGGCCCAGATTGGTGTCTGCGATTGATTGAGGGAGGGACATGGAAGTCAAGCCCGGATGCCGGTGCTGACCTTGCCAAAGGCTTTGAAGAAGAGGTTAATTGTTCTTGATTAAGTGGATGAGGAGGCATGACATTCCAGTTTTGTTGCCGCAAGGCTCAGGCTGTGGGATCGAAACTAAAGGACTAGACGGAAGCCAGTAGTAGTTGTAGTTAAAGCAGCAAATATGTAGCTGTTCATCGTCACGGAGCGGATCCTCCCACAAAGCCTCGAGAGGCCAACTGTCAGTGTTGTGTTTGAGAAAGCGCTCGAGAGCCTAGCTCTGAGGTGAGCTTATGAGGCCACTGAAGAAGCCTGGCGGTTAAGGGCGATCTCCGTCGCATCCGGCACCCGGTGGATAGCCTTGTGGTGAGACCGGGTGGAGGAGTCCAAGGCCTGATCTTGAAAGGCTGGCAAAGAAAACGATTCAGGCTGCGGCGTGGGAGAAAGGTATCAATGCTGTCAAGGCTGTCAAGGCTGTCAAGGCTGCCAGGCCAGGGGGAAAGGAAGAGAGTCAGTGTGTTCCAGGGATGGAGACCGTAGTCTGCGGTAGCTGGATGGTGGAATAGAGGGATCGAGGGGCGCCTGGCTCGCCGCGAAGATCAGACTGGGCAGAGGAGAGCACCTGTGCGTCGTAGTGAGAAGCGCTCGTTCATATGCACGGTAGATCGCCCAAAATACTGTACGTAGTAGCATATACTCATGCCGGCAAATTCTGATACATGGATGACCACGGCTCAAGAAAGCTCGTGTCCGGTACATAATGAGCAGGATTGTTATTGCCCGAAGCTCCCCCGCATGATGCCCAAAACCCTAAGTGACCAGGTGAGGCCTGACATGGTCAAGGTGTCTAACTACGACAATGACTGGCTAATCAAGCATTCTTCAAGCCCTGAACTTTGTCCAGTTCCCCTCGCCCCCCTAGAGCTACTGCATCTGTTCATGCAGGAATCTGCATCAGCAGCCTCTGGGGAGACAGATGGTGGAGCTGTCCACCTGCTGCAACGTCGATCTGCGCTAACGCAGCTATGCATCGGGTCTCATCCTAAAGCAGCCAAACACAGTCGATGTTCCATCCTCGCCGTTTGTCTGTGCTTAACCTTCCCGGCGCTTTCCAAGACATTCATTTCACCAACCCTGTTCCTGCTTATAAAAAGCCATCACCATGCCTAAAGACAAAGAGCGGTCTGTGAACCCTGCGCAACAACAGCGCAAATTGGACAAGGCCAAAGCTCTCAAGAAGGGCAAAGCCGAACTTCAAGCCCGTAGGAATGAAAAGCTGGCGCGGCGGAACCCGGATCGCCTCCAACGACAGGTCGACGAGCTCAAGGCGCTGGAGGAGTCGGGCAGCATAAGGCCAAGGGAAAAACAGATACTGGAGGGGCTGGAGAAGGATTTGAGGGCTGTGAGAAAGGCAAGAGAGGCGCTTGGCGAGAAAGCGCCTCAATATGGCAATCAATCTGGTCCAGAGCGGAGAGATGGTGGAGACGGCCGAGGTAAGGATGGAACGCTAGGAAAGAGAAAATGGAATGGAGAGCGGAAGCAGTACTGGGTGAAGGGTCAGGAACAGAGCTCTGGAAGTGAAACAGATGAGAGCGTTCGAAGAATACCAATGCCGAAGGATACACCACCTCCGATTCCATATCGCCGGGATAATCGTCATGGTACCAGTGCAAATGCAGAGCCATTAGCAGGCAATCGAAGCGGCGAAAGACAGTCGAATGATAGTTCCCCAGTTCCAATCGCGGTGCAACCAAAGACGACGTATGAAAGTGCACCACAGATTCGAGATTTGCGGAAGGAGGCCATCGGAAGGTTTGTACCGAACGTAGTACGGAAGAAACAAGATGCGATCAAAGGCTCTGGGATGCTCGTGGAACCAGAAGAGCTTGACAAGTTGGAGAGGGAGGGATACATTGGGCAGAAAGTTAAACAGAACCCCGAGGTTGTTCCTCAGCAGCCATCGAGCCTACCATCAACCGCTCCCATTGACGCCATTACGAACGTGGACAGTGAAGCTGAGGCACAACGCCTAGCACAAGAAGAAGAACGCTTCCGAAACGAAATGAGACAGGTGGAGATAGAGGAGGTTGAAGACGAGGATATATGATGCGCAGATTTCCAAACGATCACGTCATTCAACAGCATTGTACAGATGCATTCACCCCAAGTAGCAAGTACAATCTATAGGTATCAGGCTTTGCCAACTGGTCAGTCAGGTTGAGCGAAGGAGAGCTGATCAGACCGAATCTTTCATCAGCCGCATTCACTCCCATCGCCATTGCTCTTCGTACGACCTATCCTTACTCAAGCCGCCAAAGAGTCATATACGCCTCTGTACTTGAGCAGCGAGCCACAGTGCATGCAGTCAACACCATCTTCGAGGTGCATAAGATGGTGGTGGTGTAGCATCTGAGCCTCTTCCCGTCACGTCCATCCCGGGTTGTCATCTTGTTTCCGGTATCAGCCTAAACACGCTCTTTGTTCTGGGGCCAAAGGCTTCAACCGGTGTCCCCAAATTGTCCTGGATCAAGAAAGGCAGCGGCGACAAATGGCCAAAGACAGGAAATGAGCAAAAGCCATTGCTGGTCTATTCTACTACTATGGTCAAATTGGTGCGCAGATGGTTGGGCGAACTACCCGTCAAGACGAACGTGATTCAGTCCTCAGACATCCACATGGACGAGTCTTGCTTCACCTGGAACCAGAAATGAAGTCATCCATTACCAGTCTGCATGCGGGCTTTCAATTACGGCCGCGAGCGCATGACTCTTACCGCTACCCAAAACTGAGGAACGAGGACACTTTCCACTGGGGGGTGGGCTCACTCCTTTCGATGAAATGATGATTGAGTGTGGAAGATGGAAGATGAAAGACGAAAGACGAAAGACGAAAGACGAAAGACGAGAAACGAGGGACTGGAGAAGCAGATGGGAGCAAGACACCGTTGCTCTGGCACTGGCACTGGCACTGGCACTGGCACTGGCACTGGCACTGGCACTGGCACTGCACTGCATGACTTCTATACTACTACTAAGTAGGTACGTAGTAAGTAAAGCGCTTTCCTTGGCGTGGCTAGCAGCCTACTACTAAGTAAGTTAGTACTTTCTACTCCGTATATAGTATGTAGTAACTCCGTACTACATTGGTAATTGAATGCATGACCTTGGATATTCAGGAGTCGCCATCGCGGTTGCACTGCCAGTGGTGTGTGATCCTGCCAATCCTCCTGCTCTGGCCTACCCTGACTTTGCAGCGACCATGGAGGCCCTGTCAGACACGATATGGGATGTGGTGATTGCCGGTACGGGCATTCGACAATCCCTCCTTGCGCTGTAAGCTTACCTTGGAGATATCTGACGAAACACCAATCTGACTGACATAGCTGATCTTGCAGAGCTCTATCTCGATCCCACAAGAGAGTCCTTCACATCGATCAGAACAGGTACTACGGCGGCACAGAAGCAGCCTTCAGCTTAGAGGAGGCCTCCAAATGGTCCGATGAGTCGCAACACATATCTCGTGAGGCCTATCACTTGTTCACATGTATATATCCATCGACTGACAATCTAGTCGAGGCTGCGCGCCTAGAATCGAAGCCATTGCATTATGGAAAAATCCTCATTCAGAAGGATTAGGCTCTTCGAGATCTTACACCTTGACATTGTCTCCACAAATAATATACTGCAGGTCAGCAATATTAGCGGCCCTTGTCTCCTCTCGCCTACATACACAAATCGAGTTTCAAGCTGTTGGAACCTGGTGGATTGACAGGGACAGGCTGGTAGAGGTCTCAGAGAGCAACAAGCAAAACAACGGTGCGACCGATAGCCATGGTGGAAAGGGTCATCCGGTCGTCCAACCATCTGGCATGCTGCAGAAGATACCAAGTACTCGTGAAGATGTGTTCGCCGACGACACTCTGGCACCACGAGACAAACGTGCGCTGATGAAGTTCTTACGGACTCTCATCATGGACCCTATTCTTGACGCAGAGTCAAATCAAGATCACCCTATCCCATCAGCGCTGACGACTCTATCTGCGATGCCGCCTTTGCTCGCCCAACCGCTTCTAGCCCTTTCGATGTCTTATGATTCACCTAGTGCAGTAAGAACTAAGTCAGTTGTTTCACGCATCAGGCGGCATATACAGTCCATTGGGATGTTTGGTCCTGGTTTTGGAGCTGTCATGCCAAAGTACGGTGGAGGAGCTGAAATTGCTCAAGTGGCTTGTCGCGCCAGCGCTGTGGGGGGTGCAGTATACGTCCTTGGACGGGGTCTCGCAAAGGTAGATGAGCCCCGCGTGCAATCAGCAGAAGCAGAGGCATTAGCAGCGGCATCAGCAGAAGAGGTCGTTCGCTTGGAGCTGTCTGATGGAGAAGAGATCAAAGCTCGATTCGTGGTCGGTGGGGCAGAAGACATCCCCACCGGTGACATTGAGGGCGGTGCTCGGCAGTTGAACATCGATCTGGTGAAAATGGTTCATTCGATCAGCATTGTCTCGTCGCCATTGGAGCATTTATTTCCCCCAACCGCTGAAAGTGGACCAATGCCTGCTGGTGCTGTTGTGGTTTATGACGGTCATGATCACAAAACAACATCTGGATATGACTCGGTCTCCAGAGCCGGGCCGGTCTACATGGTAATTCATTCATCAGAAAGTGGAGAATGCCCCCGAGGACAATGTAAGTCTGGCCTCGCTTCTGCCTTGTTTCTTGCTCATGATCACTCCTGTACTGATGATTCCACTTATGAATACTTATCTACATTGCCTGCAACTTCATTGCTGATAAAAAACACTCTGACAACCTGATTGGGAAATCCCTTTCCACCATCTTACCCAGCTCGTTCCGCAGAAAGCCTGTGCTAACCGTCCTCTGATTCGCAGGTGTCATCTATTCTTCCACAGTCTCCTCTTCCGAAGGGAGCGAAGACGCAAATGTTCAAAGACTTGATGATGCGATTGCAAATCTCCTAGCTGCCTCCCCACTCTCAGACTCCAAGTCTGAAGTCCTCTGGTCGTTGAAATATCGCCTACAAGGTCGACCTATAGACAGTGACGCAGGCCCGGTCGTGTCAAGCCAGTCCGGTAGAGTCATGCTCTTCCCGGTCGCTTCCGTTGATCCTGTTTTCGACGACTCCGTTCTCGACGGTGTCAAGGATATATGGAAGCGGATTCTAGGGAATGAGGTTGAGGTATCCGAATTCTTGAAGTTTGAAGAGCGGACAGAGGACGACGAAGAAGGGTTGTGATATGCAGTACTACATTGGGAGAGCTTGACAAGGCACTGGTTGTTTTTACTTAGGTATTTGTAACAGCAAGCGGTTCGATTTCTTGTCTCTTGATACCGCACCTTTCTCCCAGGTTGAAGACAGCATCTTTGTTGCGACTTTAGCAACCCTGACTCTATTGACTATCATTGCTTCGCATTATTCTCCGCTTCTCTGTCCTTTGACCATCCGTCGTCTTTTTCCTTGATCGCCGTCACGTCAACAACCACAACCTCTCTCATTTCTTCCACGATCATTTCTCCCGGTCCCCATCTCCCTCCCTCCCTTCCTCCTTATCCTCCGCAGCTTTTTCCAATTTTTGCCACACCACCACCACCTCCTCATCCTTCTCTTCATCAGCAACAGCTAAAGTGCCGGCACTAGACCTTTGTAAACTACTACCACCTCCACCTCCCATCGCCACCCCAGTACACCTCCTATAACCCCATCACTATCAATACCAGCACGCACCATCAGCGGACCCAAACTCCCCATCCCCCCGTGACCTTCCCCGGATCCCACACATCCCCTTCCCGCAAACTCCCATCCACACTCCCACCCCTCCCCTCCGAGCTCCCCACATCACTCGACCAAGACTTCGCCCAGCCCCCCCTCCTCCTTCTCGTCGCCAAACAAGCCCCGAGTATCGGACCCACCACCATAAATGCCAGAAGAACGAATATCAAGGCCAGCCAGATCGAGCCCATCACGATGAGCGCCGAGTGGAGGGGGAGGGGGAGGGCAAGGTCACGGGGGGAGAGAAGGTTGGGTGGGCTGAGTAAGGGATCTGCTTGTGGAGGATTGGGGGCGGGCATTGTGACGGGTATAGGAATGGGAATGGGGGAGGGAATGAATTTCATGTTGAGGAAATGCTGATGCTGCTGTGACGAGAGCAGAAAGCAAAACGAGGGCGTGAAAGGAAGGATGTGAGAAGAGAAGGAGAAGCAAGGCGAAGGCATACACAGAGGCAAAAGCATAGGCAGATCGAAGTACGTGTAGCGCGTCGGCTGGAATGTCTATGTCAACGTGCATAACACGGGTCAGGAAATCTGCTAGGAAGAGAGAAAAAAGCTTCGAGCTTGCTGCATATCATATCTGTGTCTTGGACACCTTTTCTATGAACATGGTCTATCAGGCTCTGCAAGTTCTTCCCCACGGATTTGACATTGTGAAAGGAGCTTGCCGATGTGCAGTTCCCTGGGCGTAATCCTGGGCGTCATGAGCCATGATGAAGTACTCGAGACGCGCTTCAAACGTCCATAGCGCGATCATTTGAGTCTGATCACCAATCCAATTGAACCTGAACCTCGCGCATTTCTACTGGTAGAGAAGCCAACAAGCAATTCGTAACGATTCTAGAAGGCAGAGTCTTGACGGCCACCTGAGGTTCATCATTTATGCATCAGATGATCAATGAAAGGGTTTCCGGGCCTGCGGAGTGATGGTTTGCAGAACGGAAGTTTGTCACAGCCGCTCGCTTCATCTGCCGGACCCACGTAACCTTTCCATGATGGCGTCGATCGTGTCCATATCCTCGGTTGACACGTGGTCTGCCCCGACGATTTCGGATGGCAGATATTTTACCGCCTCATTGGCGGCAGGTTGATAGTTTCGGATGCTGGAACTCAAAGCATACACACACTTCTTCTGCACGGAGCGATCTTTCTCTTCTACCGCAAGCTTGGCGAGCTTTTGTACTCCGCCCATCGCTAGCAATCTCTCTTGTGACTTGATGTTGTTCTGCACCGCTGTACCAATACACCAGGCTGCCATCCTTCTCATATCTGGCTCCAGATTGTCGAGCTGGGCAAGTAAAGGACTCCAAAGACCAAGTGGTTCCAGATTGTTGGCATTGTCGAGGTTCTCGACCAGCTGCTCAAAGTTGTCAAAGGCGGTGACCTTGTCCGCCAGAGAGACATCAGGTGAATGAATGGCCTGCATCGACTCCTTCATAAGGTCGGCATCCGAAGGTCCCCCAAATAGAGTGTTGATGGTTTCGGCATTGAGGCCTCGATTTGACGGAGGATGGTCCGGATTGGTGTCTCGAGATACATCCGAGTTCTCGACACCCCATTTCAGGAGCGAGTTCAGTTCGGGATTATTCATGGTGTAGTTTGCAGCATGGAGAGTAGGGTTTGATTCGACAGTCAGGATGATAAAGGGCACTGGTTATCAGTGGGACGTCAGGAGCACCAATTTCAACACAAGTACGGAGTAGATGATGGAGGATGGACGCCAGAATAGGTTTCTCGTGTGAAGGGTGTAATTGTCCCTGTCTGGTAACCTTCTAGATCATGCGTTCATTTTGGTTGGATTCGCAGGCCTCGAAGGTTGTAACTCGTCAGCCTGGCGGCTATGTTGCATCCAGGGCAAGCAGAAATCGTGATCAAGATAATGTGAGCAGGTCAATGGCACATACTTGGTGATGCAGGAATACTTCTCTGGTGATTGCGGCTGGTCGGGGAGCAGGAGAGAATTGCGGGTGCTTTGGAGGCTCGAGTGCGGCGCATGCCTGTGGCGCGTCTTTCTCGATATTATACTCAAGTTACTCCGCCTCACCCCACGATTGTGGCTGATTGCCCGTCATTACATAGTAGTAGTACTACTAGCATAGTACAGTATGCTCATGGAACGAAGAAGTTGTTCGTGTTCGAAGCACTAGGTGACTGGCCGTTGGGGAGCCATTTCATGCACGCAATCATCTTGTGCTCCGCTTCTGCTGCCTGCACCAACACTGGAGATAAAGGAACACGACCAACTCTATTTCTGGACGGTACATTCAGAAGGGTATCATGATATTCGGCAACGGTGTATTCGGACCAATATCTTAGCAATAAATCATTTTGATGTATAACTTTTTGATAATCACATCATTCTTTTATTACTGTGTTTATTATCTAAATAAAGGGTCTTACGATCTGAGACCTAGCAAAGTAGTTTGATAAGTCTTGACAACACAGCACTGGTAGTCAATACACCGTTGCTTAATATACGGTTCTGAATATACGGTTCTGAATATACGGTTCTGAATATACGGTTCTGAATATACCGTTCGCAACGTCTTGCAGCTGAAATACCTTGCCAAGACCAGGTATTGCGCGGCTCTAGGCACTCTTCTTTGGAGTGGTAGGGGATGGAATGCATACCGACAATCCTGCTGAGCATCATCGAACATGGCTCGGAGTAGATTCGGTGGCTGTAGACGTAATCTTCCAGGCAACAATGTTTATGTAGACGCCGGGAGGTTGGGGGAGGGGGTCGCATACGTGTGTAATTGAAGCTTGACCATACGCGTACCGAAGCAGCTACCAATACTTACCCATGCTTACCTATTCTTAGCGCCAGCTGATTCGCACTCTCCCTCCACCACAGCATTGAAAACATCTTCGCCCGCCAACACCTTTACCCCCAAATTATCACTTGCATCTCACCCCGACCTCGTCGACTCCTTGATCCGCAACTATCAGTGAGGTCAAAGACACATCGCTTCCAGATACGTAATATCAACTTCACCATATTTACCCAATCTTCTAGAGTTCTTTGACCGCACTCGTTAGCCATGGAGGGTAGGTAGCCTCAAGACTTCAGCACTCCTGCTGCAGCCTTCCTCTGTCGAGATACAGCTTGCTGACGTTGATTTCTCACTATAGAAGAAGTTGCCGCCCTCGTCATCGACAATGGGTAAGCCTCTTCATTCAGCCGCTCAACCCTTGTGCTCAAAGCCCCTCCTCCGTGCCCTCAACAATCTTTGGGCTCAAAGTGCGAGAGCGAGCAAAGGGCTCCGGATGCATTAGGGCCAAACACTGACATCTCTCCAGCTCCGGAATGTGCAAGGCTGGCTTTGCCGGCGATGATGCTCCTCGAGCGGTCTTCCGTAAGTTCCATACATCGTACCAACGGCCATAGCTTCCTAGTAAGGTACGGTAAAGGAATCAATGATGGGCTAACGTCCATCGTCAGCCTCCATTGTGGGCCGTCCTCGTCACCATGGGTAAGTTGATTCGTACCTCGTTTTCCGGCTGTTTGAAGCTAACACCCAAAGTATCATGATTGGTATGGGCCAGAAGGACTCGTATGTCGGCGACGAGGCACAATCGAAGCGTGGTATTCTTACTCTTCGATATCCTATCGAACATGGTGTGGTCACCAATTGGGATGACATGGAGAAGATCTGGCATCACACTTTCTACAACGAGTTACGTGTTGCTCCCGAAGAGCATCCCGTCCTCCTCACTGAAGCTCCCATCAACCCCAAGTCCAATCGCGAGAAGATGACGCAGATTGTCTTCGAGACCTTTAACGCTCCCGCTTTCTACGTCTCCATCCAGGCCGTCCTTTCTCTCTACGCCTCTGGTCGCACCACCGGTATCGTGCTCGATTCAGGTGATGGTGTCACGCACGTTGTTCCCATCTACGAGGGTTTCGCTCTACCTCACGCCATTTCGCGTGTTGACATGGCTGGACGTGACTTGACCGATTACTTGATGAAGATCTTGGCTGAGCGTGGTTACTCTTTCTCCACCACAGCCGAACGGGAAATTGTGCGCGACATCAAAGAGAAGCTCTGCTACGTCGCACTCGACTTTGAGCAAGAAATTCAAACTGCATCCCAGAGCTCCAGCTTGGAGAAGTCGTACGAGCTTCCTGACGGGCAAGTCATCACGATCGGCAATGAGCGATTCCGTGCTCCTGAGGCACTCTTCCAGCCCAGCGTCTTGGGTCTTGAGAGTGGTGGCATCCACGTCACCACCTTTAACTCCATTATGAAATGTGATGTTGATGTTCGAAAAGATCTCTATGGCAATATTGTCATGGTGAGTTGAGATAGCCTCTACTTGTGGAGCAGTCTAATAATGCCCTAGTCTGGTGGTACAACCATGTATCCTGGTATCTCGGACCGCATGCAAAAGGAGATCACTGCTCTGGCGCCATCATCCATGAAGGTCAAGATCATTGCCCCTCCGGAGCGCAAGTACTCTGTGTGGATCGGTGGCTCCATCTTGGCTTCGCTCTCCACCTTTCAACAGATGTGGATCTCCAAGCAGGAGTATGATGAGAGTGGACCATCTATTGTGCACCGCAAGTGCTTCTAAGGTAAGACTTTTTCCCCTAGCGCCTTTGAAGCACACATGACTGAGCATGGCCAGCAGTGATGCAGCGATGCAGCGATGCAGCGATGCAGCGATGCAGAGATGGGCTTGGGGTGACATGACAAGCGTTCCTTCTCGGATTGGGGTGGAGTACTTAGATTTCTCGTTCGATGCAGCCAAAGAAGCTATCAAGGGAGATGGGCCCAAGCTAGCTGATAGAATGTTGTGTTGAGATGGGGCTTTTGGCCGGAGGGCAGTTGGTGACTAGCGGGCTGCAGGCATGCATCCTGGTTGAAAAAGCTGCCCCATTCCGTGCTCGCTCTATCTTCTTGTGCTCAAGCCTTTTGATGTGAGCGCCTCATCCCATCACACGTGTCTCTTTCTTGGTGATAGCAATAAATTCTCAATTATCACATCCCGAGTTGGCCGCCTGCATGCCTTGATTTTCCGCGAAAGCGATGACCTTGATTATGTCCATCTTGCAGGCTTGTTTCTTCCCGGATCCACGGGTCTACTGCAAGATTAGGAGAGCACTGTAAGTTAGTCAAATTCTACATGGTTGCGATTCACAGTCCAAATGGACATTGTGTGCTTGTGATTTTTGTTGTCAGTAGTTTCCCCAGAACATGCCGTTTTCCCCCCCCCCCCCAATATACGCGTCTTCATCAGTCATGCAAAGAGCAAAACAGCAAAACGGCAAAACGGCAGAACAGTTAAGTGTCTGTTCTCTGCCAAGCACTGGCAAGTCTTTTGCTGCGGTGCGGGTAGTGGTAGTAGCCAGCAGTATCTCCACTTTTCCCGCATCAGTTTTGTGTTTAGTGGATGGCCCGGGGCGATTGGGGCGACGGCGGCCCTTCGGCCTGTCAGAACGGAGCAATGCATGGAAAAAGGATATCATTTACTCTGTATCATCTATCATCTCCTCTCCTCCATGGCTTCCTCATACTATGGTAGTACATTTGTCTATCTATAGCTCTCTTCTAGTTCATCCTAACGTTAGCACGTTCTTTGGCTCATTCATTTTTGACCTCGTTGTTGACCTCTCCTATGTGCTACTACTTTCCCCTCCGTCTTCCCCAAGGAACAGGCCGAAGAATAATACCGTGAAAACTCGAAAAGCAAAGGCATATACATCACCATGGGGGAGGAGAAGTCGTATCTATATCTCATAAGTTGGTCTTTGGTGACAAGTTGATGGGCCTTGATTACACTGACCGCTGGTAGGGGTACCCTGCTCGTCAGCCAATATCGGTACACTGACCTCCCCTTCCGAGCCAGGCAAAAGGGGACCATCGCTGACATCGATACCCTACACCAGGCCCCGGCTTCGATGTCATCGGACTCGCCTTGTCCATGTACCTCGAACTGCGCGTCACCATCGCCCAGCCGCTGTCTTCACAATCAGCAGCACTCCCATTGGTGTCTAAAAGTCTGGCCAACTCGTCATCCTCCTCGCTAAACTGCACCATCACCTATACCGGCGTCTCGCCTGAGTCGATTGAACTAGATGCTGCTTCTAACCTCCTGACCCGCTCCGCCCTCTACCTCCTCCGCTGCCACGGCCACCACAGCTTTCCCCACCCCACCAAAGTCCACATCCACAATCCTATTCCTTTAGGTCGAGGCCTTGGCTCCTCCGGCGCCGCAGTCGTAGCCGGGATCCTGCTCGGCAATCTGGCCCTCTCCTCCCATTCCCCCTCGCTCTCCCTCTCCAAAGCGCGCCTCCTAGACTACTGCCTCATGATCGAGCGACACCCAGACAACGTCGCCGCAGCCCTCTACGGCGGGTTCGTCGGGACCTATCTCAACGAACTCGATCCTGTCGACATGGCGAGGAAGGAAATCCCGTTATCAGAGGTCTTGCCCGCGCCGGCGGGGGGGCTGGATACGGGGCTGAAGCCTCCGGAGCCGCCTTGCGGGATCGGGCATTTCAGGAGGTTCAAGTGGGCGAAGGAGATCAAGGCAGTGGCAGTAATCCCGGATTTTGAGGTCTCGACAGCCAAGGCGAGGGAGTGCTTGCCCACGCTCTATTCGAGGCAAGATATGGTGTGTATTCACTCTCTGTCTTCGGCGTGGTGCTCTCTCTCTCTCTCTCTCTCTTTCTCTCTCTTTCTCTCTCTTTCTCTCTCTTTCTCTCTCTCCCTCTCTTGTTGTCTTTTGTGTTATTTTGCTACCATTGCCCTCCCAGACTCGGTGATAACGAAGAGGATGAGGCATCAGGCGGGCACGCTCTCACTCTGGTTTTTTCAACCGCCATTTTCTCTTGGTTGAGTGCTAAATATGGGATGCAGATCTTCAACCTTCAACGGCTAGCCCTCCTCACTACCGCGCTGTCCGACTCCCCTCCTGACCCCAGTCTGATATACGAAGCCATGCGCGACAAGGTTCACCAACCCTACCGCTCAACCTTGGTTCCAGGCCTCACACAGATCCTCGAGTGCGTCACACCAGCGACGCATGAAGGCTTACTGGGCATCTGTCTTTCAGGGGCGGGCCCTACGATATTAGCCTTGGCGACGGGGAATTTTGAGGGCATTGCTGAGGCGGTGATGGACAGGTTCAAGAGGGAAGGTGAGGGGATCCAATGTCGCTGGAGTGTGTTGGAACCGGCGGAAGAGGGAGCGACGGTGGAGGCGGTGCAGGGGTGGGAGCATTTATGACATCTATGCCACGCGGCTAGCTAGATGGAGATGGGAGGCCGAGCTTGGTTGAGGCGGATACATACTATACATACAGTACATACTACTTAGAAGTACAAGGGTAGACTGTAGAATGTGCCAAGAAGGGTCATTATATTTGACATGGTGTGCACCAGTCCCAACCGGGGTCGAGAGTTTGCACAATTCCTTTTTGGGAAGGCTACTAGAGACTGCTTACTTCTCTCTCCTCTCTTCTCTCTTCTCGCTACTCGCTACTCGCTACTCGCTTCTCGCTAGCCCTCGCATTGTCTCTGCGTGTTCACTTTTGCCGATCAAGGTCCGTTAAGCTAAGCCCTATATTCTTTACTCTTTCTTTCTCCTCTGCTGTCCAATAAGGCATCCTGCGTATCCTGCGCATACTGCACATACTGCTCTTGCTGGCATACTGTCATATTATTTTCCGCGAGGCTTGCTGTCGAGGACGACACCGATGTTCTAACTATACTCCGTATATTTATCCACACGCTTCTTGTTGCAGACATTCACTCCATTCACTCAATTCACTCCACATACCTCGTCCCCTCTCCGCCCTTTGCTATGATAGAACGGCTTCGCATCCTGGTCATCGGCTCCGGTGGCCGTGAGCATGCCCTAGCCCGGACTCTCTCCCACTCCCCCTCGGTCGACATCGTGCATGTCTGTCCAGGCAACGGCGGGACCGCACTCACCTCCACCACCTCCGCCTCCCGACGACTTCACCAGCCTCGTCTCCCACGCCAAGAAACATGGCATCAATCTCGTCGTGCCCGGTCCCGAAGCACCCCTTGTCGCCGGCATCTGTTCCTACTTCCAGGCGGTGGGCATCCGCTGTTTTGGGCCCAGCAGAGCGGCGGCGAGGATGGAGGGAAGTAAAGCGCACGCCAAAGAGTTCATGCAGAGACATGGCATTCCGACCGCTTCATTCCGGAATCTGGCCGACTACGACGAGGCGAGGAGGTATCTGGATGGGGTGGGGCATCGAGTAGTGATCAAGGCGGATGGATTGGCGGCGGGAAAGGGGGTCGTGATTCCCCAGGCCAAGGACGAGGCTCAGAAGGCATTGAAGGCCATCATGCTGGATCGCCAGTTTGGCACCGCGGGAGACGAGGTGGTGATTGAGGAGTTCCTGGAAGGCGAAGAGCTGAGCGTACTGACATTCAGTGACGGCTACACCATCAAGTCACTGCCTCCCGCACAGGATCACAAGAGGATCTTCGACGGCGACACGGGGCCCAATACAGGAGGCATGGGCTGCTATGCCCCCACGAAAGTGGCCTCGATGGAGCTGATGGCAGAGATCAACCGCACCATCCTTCAGCCCACCATTGACTGCATGCGGCGAGAAGGCACCCCGTTTGTCGGCCTGCTCTTCACTGGGCTTATGATCACCCCGTCCGGCCCCAAAGTCATCGAATACAATGTCCGCTTCGGCGATCCCGAAATCCAAACTCTCCTCCCTCTGCTCAGCAAAGACACCGACCTCGCCCGCGTCATGCTGGCCTGTACCGAGCATTGGCTGGACGGAGTCGAGCTGAAGGTCGAACCCAAATTCTCCGCAACCGTCGTCGCGTCCGCAGAGGGCTATCCAGGCGCCTACGTCAAACACCGTCCCATGAGATTCGACCCCGTCCCAAAAGACACCTACATCTTCCACGCCGGCACAGAACTCGACAAGAACAAAAAGCTCGTCACAGTAGGCGGCCGCGTCATCGCCGCAACAGCTACAGCCGCCACTCTCGAAGAAGCCGTCGCCAAAGCCTACCGCGGCATCAAAACAGTCCACTTTGAAGGGATGCACTATCGCACCGATATCGCCCACCGCGCTCTCAAGGCCACCACCATCACCACGCGAGGCGGAATGGTGGCATTATCTCCTTTCCAGAATTGAATACCGATAAAGACGGCGGTTAGGATGCCGAACAGAACAAATAGAGCGATGATTCGTGCATTTGACCACGGGTACATGGTGCCGCCCCATTGCAGGGCAAGCAGACAGCAGACAATGGCTGGAATGAAGACGGCTGTTCCGATAGGATCCATCGATTCGAGCTTCTCTCTCCAGGTCTTTTCGGACTGGGTCTTGCGGTTGGGGGATTTGAAGAAGAGGCCGATGACAACGATGGTAATTGCTCCAATGGGCAAGTTGACCACCACTGATGCCAAACCCACCTCTCCATCCTCCCCCGCTCAGCCCTCCAGCCCAGGCCATGCGAACGAGAACAAAAACAGCCCTCTAACCTACGCCAGCGCCGGCGTCTCCATCAGCAGCGGCAACGCCCTGGTCCAGCGCATCAAACCCCTCATCGCCTCCACCTCGCGCCCGGGCTCCCCCCACACCACGATCGGCGGATTCGGCGGCTCCTTCGACCTCAACTCGGCCAACCTCTCCC